TTGCTTTTATGCCATGTGCCATGGATGTACAGGAGAGGAAATTCTATCATATCCTCCACAGTACTACGGTACCCATACTTGGCGTACCAAACCGAACAACTATCGATTACATAATCTCTACCGAGGCTTTTCGGTCTTACTTTCTCTAGGAGATATAATGGAAAACAGGAACGCTGTGATGCTTTATTAAAAAAAGATACTGAGGATAATCGTCGACAACAAGGCTACCGGAGCCGTGAAGATGCAGTCTACCAAAGCAACAAGTGCGCTTTGAAACAAGTATGGAGGGGCGGATAGGAGTTCGTAAATACGTAGCGAATAGCGCAAAAGGTCTTAAACCCTAACAGCAAGCTTCCATTTCGCCATGTGCATACGAGCCACCAAGTAGATGCTTGCTCCAGACAGGAGGATGACACCTGCAAAGACGTTCAGGCCCCAGAACTCGCCCTTGTTCTTGATGATGATTTGGCCGGCAACTGGGTTACCGATCAGACCCGCAAACGACATGGTGGCGAAGATGACTCCAACGCGTGTGCCAATCTGCTCAACCTTGGAGATGGAAGCGATCTGGGCGGGCAGAAGGGAAACCCAAGCGCCGGATGTGAAACCGTAGAAGCCAGCGAAGGCAATGTAGGCTGCGTTGTTGGAGGCGGTGATGCCGAGACTGAGGACTAGGATGCCGGATACAAAGGACCAGAAGGCTTGCATGTTGAACTTTCCGACCTTGTCTGCAAGAGCACCGGGGATGACACGACCGAAAATACTGAGGATGGTTAGCATATGTACTGTGCATGAAGGCATAATCGAGGAAATGCTTACCTGGCGGCGTTGAGAACAGCCAAGAGATAGCCAGCCAAGCGATTAGACATTCCGTCCGACATGGCTTGTACCTCAATGAAGTTTATGGGAATGAAAATGCCCATGAAGAACATGAAGGACCCAGCAGTGAGGAGGACGAAGCGAGTGTCCTTGTAGGGCTCCAAGAATACGCTCAACTCGAACGCTCTCGGTGTCGGGGCAAGCCGAGATTTGACAGTGAAGATAGCGATGATCATCATGCCTAGGATGAGGAAGGCCATCGCCCTCATTGTCCAGCCATAGCCAACCTTTGGGATCAAGTGCGATGCCATGATAGGGAAGATAATACCGCCCAAACCACTTCCAGCAGCCATAGCGCCGTATGCCAGACCTCTCTTCTTGAAGAACCATGTGGGGAGGGTGCTTGTGCCTGCCTGGAAAATACAATTGAGGCCCAGGGGACTGCAGATGCCTTGAGCGAGAACGAATTGCCAGTATTCGGTGCAGAGACTGGTCATCATGAGGCCGAATACGTGGAAGAAGGTACCGACAAACAAGAGATACTTGGGGCCGTGGTTGTCGTAGACGAAACCGACGATGGGTCCAGGTAAGAACATGACGAAAAGTTCGAGCGAGGAAATCCAGGCGATGGTTGAAGGCGTGTATTCTCGGAGTTGGTTTCGCTGGTAGTAGCTCTGGAATACACCAACGGCGTTGAGCCACCCAAAAGAGCAAAAGAGACAGCAGAAGGCGCCAAGAAGACAAAGATATGCATCTCTTCCGCCGTCAGGGTACTGGCTTGGGTCGAAAGGGCTCACAGCTGTAGGCGCAGCCGTATCAAGATGCTTGTCGTCCATGGATGCAATTGGCTGTTCAACATCGGTGTGTGGTATTTGGTCGTCCTTCTCGTGCATGGACACTGTTGAGCTTGCCGGTTGCGACATGGTGAAAGACGGATGTTGTCAGGACAAGATTTGGAGTTGTATGAGTGTCTGAGTAACCAAAGCCAAGGGGACAGCTCTCTTATTTAAGCAGACAGTCTGTGGGCTTGATTTACCAAGAAGTGCATGATGCTCTCTTTGATAACACACTAGTGCTTGCACATGCGGCGTAGGACTGGGTTGGGTCGGCCTGATTGAACACCGAACAGGGGTCTCGACTACATCCTTCCGAAATCTTCGCGCGCGTCGGGGCGCGAGGAATCCGCCGACACGACGTCACTGCAGAGGTGTCCACTGGTGGAATATTTTAAAGTGGCCTCGAACGCACAAAGGCCTGACACGGCCTTGAAAACAGAATAAAAAAGGTGCATCAAAAATGGGTCGGACAGGTCGGTTTTAGGTGTCGGGTGCCGCGCGAGTCGGGCATATCGGAGAAAGATCAAGATGGCGGTACGGAAGTCCGATACACAGGCTTAATGGTCCTGAATGATTGCTTGTCGTCAAGTTTCGGCTTGACTAGAAAAGGTGCCATGGTACCGGTGTGGAGATGTAGTCATGATACTATTGTTGCTCAGACGATTAGAGGTGGTTAGGGGTCTGAAAGTAGGGCCAAGCGGAGCTGAATGCCATCATCTTTGCTTAATGCTTAATAGCGAGCCGATGCCAGTCTGCTGCAACCAATACCCCGTGGGTGCACACCAACTATGCAAAATATGCTGCCTGAGGCAGGTTTGTTTCTTCTACCGGAACACAGATGATGGCGGCGGATGAGCAAACGAGGGACGATGAAGAAGCATGATTTGTCTACAAGTCGTCGCAGCGGCTTCGCACATTACAAAGGCCATGTTCCATGTTCCAGGTGGGTGGTTCACAGTACCGTACTGTAGGTGGTCGACGGTTGGGGCGTCTGACGGATAGGCGCAGGACATGTTCGCTTGATTGGGCCGCCGACGCACAGACTTGATTCGCGTGCTTTCCATTTTGCCATCCGAATGAGTTTGGTTCCCATCTTGCTTGCACGCGCACAAACAACCGCTCTCCCATTGCCTTTGACCATAGCCAGACAAATTCATCTCTCTCTCATCCCCGCGAGAGCTTCGTATATACGGCCATTTGTCCGATTCGGCGCCATCTATCCTCGTCCCACAGCGAAACCTCAATTCCGCACGCATTTCCCGCCCATCCTTCTCACCACGGCTCGGTAGGCGCGCTGCACCTTGCAACGACGCCCAAGTTTACTGACGCTGGGTTGCGAAATTAGCATCTAGACGCCCGTCTCTACCTTCACCTAACTCACCCCCCGCTATACGTCGCGCAGAGTCAAGGCAACTTGTCGCAGCTGTCGGTTTATAGTCGCTCTGCCCCCGCTCTCCAACCCACGCAAAATGGCATCTACCGAACCATCCGGCCCCGTCAACGGCAACTACGCGCCACAAGCGTATGAGAACAGCTACTCGACCGGCGCCTCCAACTTCACACCCTCGCAGCAACCAACCGCCAGCCAGCCCGCACAACAAGCAGCTGCCTCGGAGATCCCCAAGGATGAAGTCGGCTGGTACTTTGTCGAGCAGTACTACACCACTTTGAGCAAGAACCCCAACCAACTCTACGTAAGCCACACGCATGCCAATGGCTATCTCTGCGGACACGCGACTGATGCCAACTACAGCTTTTCTACAACAAGCGCTCTCAGTACGTCTCTGGTGTCGAGGAGGACAAGGTCAACGTCTGCCAAGGCCAGAAGGTATGTTGACACTTGCGAGCTACAGCCAAGCCATCTGACATGGGCATAGGCTATCAACGAGCGCATCAAGGAGTTGGACTTCAAAGACACCAAAGTCCGTGTCACCAACGTCGACTCGCAAGGCTCCGATGCCAACATCGTTATCCAAGTGATTGGTGAGATCTCCAACCAGGGCCAGCCGCACAAGCGCTTTGTCCAGACCTTCGTTCTGGCTGAGCAGACCAATGGTTACTTTGTCCTCAATGATATCTTCCGTTACCTTGCCGAGGAGCCCGAGCAGGACGACGAGCAGCAGGAGCAGGCACAGCCTGCCAATGGCGTGACTGAGCCAGCTCCCACCGCCGCCGTCCCAGAGGATGCCGACCTTAACAAGAGCGATGAGGTGGCGACCAGCGAAGAGGACTTGAACAAGGTGGACGAGAAGCTGCAGGAGGCCGCGCAAGAGGAGCCTGCTGTTCCCGAGGTTGCGCCTGCTGCCCCGGCCCAGCAGGTACCTGAGGAGGTTGAACTGCCCGCAGCGGAAGAGGCACCTGCTGCTGTTGAAGAGAAGACGGTTGAGGAGCCCAAGGCCCCAGTTGAAGAGACCGTCGAGGCTGAGAAGCCTGCCGCGCCCACGCCTGCCCCGGCCGCACAGAAGGCTGCACCCGTTGCAATGCCTTCTGCCCCCCCGAAGCCCTCCGCGCCGCGAACATGGGCTAGCCTTGCCGCTTCTGCACACAAGGTCGCCACCCCAGTCGTCAATGCCCCCGCCTCCCAGCAAGCTCCCAGTCAGACCAAGGCTGCTGCCCCTGCTGCCGCCCCCACCCCCGCCGCAGCGGCCGCTCCCAGCCAAAGCTCAGCACCTGCCCGTGAACAGTCTCCCGCAACAAGCCAGGGTGAAGCTGCTGGCTGGCAAACAGCTACCGGGCACAAGAAAGAGCAATCTCGTGCCCAAAACGCTGGGCCGGCCGCCGATCCCGACCAGAAGCGTGCTTACATCAAGAACGTGTACAGCCAAGTCGAGGATGGTGCACTGAAGGCTGCTCTCTCCAAATTTGGCGAGGTCGAGTACCTTGACATCAGCCGGGGCAAGGTGAGTAACAGTTCCATCCTAACCATGATTTCACTAACAAGTTCCAGAACTGTGCCTTTGTCGACTTCAAGACACCCGCTGGCTTCCAGGCCGCAGTCGCCGCCAACCCGCACACGATCAACGGCATTGAGATCAAGGTCGAAGAACGCCGCACCAACCCTGGCCAGTTCAACCGTGGAGGCTTCGGTCGCGGCGGTGCTCCCCGTGGCCGTGGTGGTATGGGCCAGACACCCCGTGGAAACTTCCCACCGCGCGGTCGAGGCGGTCCCATGCGTGGGGGTCGCGGTGGCGCGCCTCAAGAGGCATAAAGGAAGAACAGCGCTTCCGTGACAGGCTTTTTTTTCTCCTATCCTTCTTCATTCACATTCATACCTTCCTGAGATGGAATCCGAATCCTTTTATGAACTTTGTTTGACTCGACGGCCTAACGACTGACGGCTTCAGCTATGTACTGTACTCGACCCCCTTTCAGCGCTTGTATAAAAGTCATTTCATTTCGAGGAAAAGTGTAGGCGCACGCGCGTTCGTCCTTGGGGTCTTGAGCCCTTGCATAGCGAGCGGTTTCATTTTTTGCATGTTTCCTTTCTGTCGTCGGGGGTGTTCCTTCAACTCCGTGTTCGAAATGTATTCCCTTGTGGGTGCGGAAATTTCTGGTCAGCTAATATATAGGGATGGCTATCTGATGGTTCGAGGGCGGATGTACGGACTGGGACGTTATGACATGTAGTGTAATGGGTTCCGGTGCTGGGGTCAGTATATGGATGGCATGAGCGACAAGATGATCAGACATGACTGAGCAAGATGATGGTGCCATGTTGTAGTATGAAAGCAGTACACAAGATGTGCACATATGTTTGCTTTACCAGACCTGGTCTGATGTGTGATGTCTATAGCGGGAGGTAGTCCCGATAACGTCAGTCAGCTGATAGTGCGACACGGGCCGGTGGCGTCTGATTCGAGAAGGGGTAATAGCACCCTGCATGCCGGCTGCATCAGCACCAGCCCAGCTTGGAGGCGTTGCATCTCTCATGCCGTCTCGTGCATACGTCTTGTTCATGTTCAGTATCTTGACGCTTGTCACCCGACATCAAGACACGAGCTCTCTGCTTTGCGCTCCACTCTCACAAAGGATCTTGCCAAACTAAGAGTAGCAGTAGGTAGCTCGTCGCGGGGCTAAGGCGGGGCCGTTACGCGCATCACCTCACGACTTGGGACTTGGGACTTGGGCCTCTATTGAGCCTGAGCAAGTCTCCCTCCCCCAAGTATCTTTGTCCTGCTCGCTTTGCGACACATGCCCCAAGATCATTTCCAGTCATGCGGCCGCAACTGGGCGGCGACGCCCTCACTCCGGCTGTTAAGCCACCATCTCGCAAGTCAAGCGTCGACCATGCCGTCGCCCCATGGAGCAATGTCCCCACTACCTTCGTCATGAAGCGCGCCGACGAGGTGGAACAGCCCATGACTCCTCCCCAAGCTGCGTCTTCGACGGCAAGGTACCAAGATGGGACATATGGAGTGCAGAGTCTCGCAGACACATTGGAGGCTGCCTTCGGTCCAGAGAGCACAGTACCTGCGAAGGAGCCAGTGAAGGCGAGCAAGACGGGAAACCACAGCGCAAGGAGTTCGGGGTCGGTTTCGCATACTTCGTCAACAAACTCGGTGCCACAACTGGATAAATTCCAGGCAGATGCGGCTCGGAAGCTGAAGAGGGGCTATTCTGCCCATGGCTCATCTACGCCCTTGAAGCTACCCGGTGCTGAGATACCCTCCCCACACCCCCTGTCTGCATTGTCTAGCACGCCCAGGTCAGCCTCCATAACATCACTCAAGCTGTCTGACGAAGAGTTTGCCATGGACGATGTCGCGAGCCAAGCCGTTTCCTCAGGTGGTGAGGATGAAGAGTCAGTAGAGATAGAACAGGCACCATCCAGCTTCCCACAGCTTGTAATGCCTGTGATGCAAATGCCAACGAGGAGGCCCTTTACGACGAGAGGTAAAGCCATGGGCAAGCTGAAAGTCATGGTTGCTGGCGAGACAGGTGTGCAATACCCCTGCCATATACAGAGGTTATACTAACAACATCCTGTAGGCCTTGGCAAGTCGTCTCTCATTCGTTCCATCGTCCAGGCCTGTGAAGACATTGTACACGTAGACCCGCTGTCACCCTCACCCTTAATCGCGCAATCACGACCACCAAAGTCCAGATCTCGAACAAGAAAGGCAGGACATGCAGGCACGACGCGCGTGACCGAAACCCATGCCAGCACGAAGCCTTACCCTCATTGGTGGGCTGATATCGAAGAGAGTCGTGTACTGAGAAGGAGAAAGAGCGGGACCGACACCGTCTTAGAGAGGAACATTTGCTTCGTAGACACTCCTGGGTACTGTCACGGACCAACGGAACAGGATGACATGAACTTGGTAGTGGACTATGTTGAGTCGCTATTATTCCAAACGTCTTCGGTAACGACACTGGAAGACAATGACGCCCTTGGAGTCGTCAGTGGTAGCGGCGGTGTCTTAGTAGACATTGTCATCTACTTACTACCACCCAGTATGTTATAGCACCGCTGTTTTGCTATCATACTAACATAAAACAGACAAGGATATCACAAAGGACATCGACTATATGCAGCGACTGTCATATCTCACCAATGTCATTCCAGTCATTGCCAAATCGGATACGCTGTCTGCACAGGAAGTTGTAGCATTGAAGACCTCAATCCTCGCTCGGCTCCAGACAACCGCTCTCAGGCCTTTCTTCTTTGGCGAGGCCATGGATGATGCGCTGCTCGCTGTGCAAGGTCTTCCCGTCGTCGGAATCTCAGCGTCTGGGGCATCAAGCGAGGCAGCTTCATACCCCTACACTACTCCCACTTATCCCTATGCCGTCTCTTCAACTTCTGGGCCAGACAATGATAACATGGATGCATCACTCCTCATGTCGCCCGACTACGTACAGCCTCTGCTTCCTTCTGAACTTGGAGCATTGGTACACAAGGTCTTTGACCCTGAGTCTATTGCCTGGCTTCGACATTCGGCAGCAAAGAAGTTCCTAGCCTGGCGGCGAAGGACAAGGCTGCCGGGCGATTCGGTCATTATGCAAGGTATAACGCACCCGCGTAGCCCAACCATGGCTTCTGTGGGCCTCAATGGAGCTACTATGAATAGTAAGGCCGAATCTCCTTCGTATCTGCACAAGCTAACTTTTCGCTCAGCGTCTCTCGCATCCTCGGTCTTCTCTGCCGCGTCACCATCAGGTGTTTTAGTGCCAGGGTCAGGATCGCCCTTTTACCCTTCCAACCTACAATCCCCACTCCTATCTTCTGCATCACTAGCCAATTCCGAGGCTCTCGAGCCGCCGGGCAGCTTTTCACTGGCGAAATACAACAAGTCCATGCAAGGCGATCAACGCTTCAGTGAAATTAGGATAGCAAGATGGGCAACAGATTTGCAACGCAGTCGACGCAACGAAAAAGACAGGTTTGAAGAATTACAGAGCAACGAACGAGCAAAGTGGCTGCTCGAACGCGTTGGAGAAGAGGTGTCGAGAGGTACAATTGTTGCATGTCCCGATGGAACTCCGAGAGCCGAATGGGCCGTAGTCAGGCACGGTGACGAGAAAGGTAGCAAAGTCGGTCAGCGGTATGCCAAAGCTGTCGGACTAGACTCGCGAGACCCCTTGGGTCTATGCGATTTTAGTGATGAAATAAGGCGGCGGAGCTTCGTGCTCGTCAAGGTATTGGGGGGTATGAGTGTGGTAGGTGCTGTCGTTGTGGCAGTCATCAGAGCTTGTGGTATCGAGACGGGATCACCACAGAACTGGTGGGCTTGGATCACTGGTACGGATTAGGTATGATACGATTCATGTACCCTGATCTGTGACCGGGAAAGCCAGAGGTATCAGATGAGAGAGTCAGTGATGGAAAGTGCCGGTGTAAAGGTGTTTGCTGTGGTTGCTCGGTATACCCATGCTATCTGAGCTTTGATGTTATTGAAGTAGTGGAATATTATATTGAATACATTTTACTGTCTGATATCTACACATTACTTCTATGAGGCTGGCTTTTACCCTATACGATTTAGGGAATCTATGACAAGTAGTGTGAGTTCCAGCTTGAGAATTACAATCGTCTGGGTATCGTGTCTTCAAAGAATCTTCAGACGGGAGCAGACGTGATGAGGCACGTTGTATGTGCCGCCCAAATCCTTCCAAAAGTCAATGATGTAACTCGACATATCGCAGCGTTTCAGAAGCTGAATACGTATACCTACGTACGCGAGGGGGGTCTGTTATGCTGACAGATCACACACATCCCTGACATGGACGGTGGATCTGAGATTAGCTACGGGTCCTACTTCCTAATCGTATGCTTACACCCCCGCAAGCTGGTGATGATGCGTATAGAGGGGTGGTGGACAGGGAAGAGTGATGCGGATTGATTCGGGAGAAAGGGGTTCCGGGTCCTTGCGTTGAATGTTGTTAAATCGCTCATTGTCGTGCGTGTTGGCGTGCCAGGGTGTTGGGCTGTGTTTGAGTAGTGATTGGGCTTGCGATTGCGAAGTTGGCATATGTCCCTTTGACTGGTACCAAATCGTCCTTTCAGCCCCAGATTGCACTCCTGGAACCTAGTATAATTTCAGCCAACTCACCTCTTTGTAGCTACCCTGGTATCCCCATCTTTTATTCGTCATTTACTTCCCACGAGCCTCAAACACCTCTTAGAGGTGAGGCGAGAGTCGGATTTGCTACGGCTCTCATACCCGAGTCCATGTGGGTAGTAAACCCACTCTCCATCCCCCCAAAAATACCTCACCTGGACGCGATGATGCGATCTCGATCACAGTCCCACTGTCACACGTCCTCTAGATCTGGCGTCCTTGACCCATTATGGTTATACAGCCCGCGCCCAGCGATGGAGCCCCTTCGCTTGTCGCACCCACCGCGGGGGTCAACAAGCCCAACCCACTGTTGCATTTTTCCCGGTCGACGCTAACACCAGGGTAGTGTTGCATGATTTTGTTGACGATGATGATGATGACAAACGACGGTCACGGTGGATGGAGATGAAGGGTGATGACGACCTGTACCGATGATGTGGGTAGGAAAGTATGAGAATCGGGAAATCATGGTGTGTAAGATTAATGTGGAACCGCCTTTCATCAAGCCAAGGCAAGCCTCCCTTTGCATGCATTTCACGCACACGCACACGCACCGTGCTTTCGGTGGGTTGTGTCTTGTAGATGATGCAGCCCATGGGGGGGCGGCAGCGCGGCAGCGCGGAAGCGCGGAACGGGCCTGGACGTCGAGTGGTGGCCTCGCCGGCCGCGCTGCCCACCCGCGTGTTGAGATGCGTTGCCGAGATCTAGGCGTCGAGTATTGAGACATGGGATGGTATGATAATCGATCTTACGCTAGTGGAACCCCTCGACCGCTTTATGTGGGGATTTGATCGATATCGCCCGCTGGCTTGGGGGCGCTGGCCATGTTGCACTTTTTTTGCACCACATGCGTGGATGCATATGCGTGATACGACAACATGCCATCTTCTTGTTCCGCTTGCCCTGTTGACGCAATGTACACTTCAGCCCTGTGGCTCACTGCTGTAGGGCTGTCTCATCGTGCTTTTTTGCCTGCTCGTCGCGGAGCTTTATTGTGTCATGGCAGTTTTTGCGGATTTGGGGGCCGGAGATGGTGGACCCCCCATTTCGGCTGTTCGATCAAAGTGTCTTCAGCCTGTTGTGTGACATATCGAGCCAAGGTTGACCCGAGGATCTGGTCACACGTGTAGCCGTACCCATAGCATGGTTGTGGTAACTGGTAGAAGACCGGCGCTTAGGGTCTTCCATGAGGATGGCGTGCTGTGCAGCTGTCGCGCTAAAAAAAAAGGGGGGGGCGACAGCATGCGTTACTTGGCCTGCAGCCATGCTGTCGAATAAAGGGCTTATAGAGAATATGGTGATGTAACCTTGGCGAAAGTCTAGAGCCAACCAGGGATTCGGGAAAATGGAACTTTTGCTTCTTCTTGAGCCTCGTATGACGGTTGACATCAGTTGCCTAAGATGGTATTATGTACAAGGAGCAGAAAAAGAAATGTTGGGGTCCATGTCTCATGTGCCCTGTGTACCATTGCCTTGGGCTGGTTTAGCCACAACGACATCAGGATTCAAGACACGATTCGAGATTGCCGAGATGAAGCAACGCCCTGTTGCCATACTTTTTCTACGTTATTCAATAGCTATATCATGAATCGTGGGCTGCTACTAGAACAATTTCTGCCACTGAAATAACGTGGTGGAACGACGCCTTTTCACCATGCCTCATCCTTGCCCGTCCATGTGGGTGCCGTGTCTTTGACCCTTGTTTGACGCCTGCATTCACCCTGGAAACCGTTAAGCCCGAGATAAAGGCCGGTTTGAATTACTAAGTTTCACTGCTGTGCCTTGTCAGAGACCGGTCAACCTTGAGGGGGGGTCTGGTTCAGCTTACCGTGTACGACCCATTTACCACCATGGGTTCAGCTCGTCCTACAACCGTAGTATCGACGTCCATGCGCACGTGGAGCTTCAGTCCCATGTGATCCCTGCCATTCAGCGTATTTGCCGCGTGTTGCGCCAACTCCTTGGATGCAAATTTGACGGTTGCCACACCTTTGAACACGCCGGTCTTGCCATCGCGGAGGAACTGGATATCGATGGGATATCCGACAGTTTGAAGGAGCAATCCATTGAGATCCTGAGGGGTGCACTTGTAACTCAAGTTGCGAATGAATATACCACGAGCTTCGGTAAGTATTGCCCCACCTCGGACGTTTACCGGCATTCCGTTGGTGCTCGTCGAGTAGATAGGTGGCGATGGCAAAGCATAGGCCGGGTAGACTGGGGCAATATTGTATAAGGGCGGCTGAGAAGCATAGCCCTGCTGATACATCCCAGTCGAGTACCTGGACTGTGCTGTGGTATATGGCGTCGGTACCATTGTAGTGGCTCCTCTGCTGCCGCCCAACTGATTGACTCTTCCAATATCAATACCGCAATGCTGTGAGGAATGACCACCGTCGGGCAACTCAGGGAACAGTGTTGAACAATTGCATCGCATCAGTCGGTAACCCTCACCCTTGCGGTTCGTCTCCCACACGTGCACCAACATGCCTTTGGCTCGGTAGTAGACCTCTGAAGTGGATTAGCCAAGTTTCGCCGTTGATATCGCCCAGTGATTCTTACTGTACACAGCATCCGCGTCTTCCTTGTCCTTGAGCCGACACCACCCCTGCATTTCTCCTCGCCGTTGGCCTTGGCTTGAGTACACATCAGCCCAACCCGGCTGTTCTTTGACCACTTTTCGAAGATGGTCTTTGAACTCTTGCCATCCGGTCAAGTAGGGTGCATAGCGGGTGGTACCAGATACTACGAGCAGGAAATCCCCTTCACCTTCCTTCCAAGATCTTCCGTAAGACATTGCAGTAAATAGATATGTGTGATAGAGAAGTGGCGCCCAAGTACAAATGGCAACCAGAGCGTGATGAGGTGCAAAAATGATTCTGTAAATATATCTTGCTACCAAACTGTTGTTTTCCGTGTGCGTACAATCGAAGATTGAATTATTTGCTCAAGAATGGAATGAAATAGATCGGTGATCGAGTTGCACCGGCTCCATACTTATAGTTATTCTTCCGCGGATTATTCAAGTAATACCTCGTTTCAGTGGTCTTGTCCGACTGCCATATTGGCTGAGCCATCGTTCTCTCGAAACATGGCTAGGTCGGGATGCTGGATAGAATGGCTGGACATCGAGATGTGTAGCCTATAGGAACTGTTACCCGCTCCCCGTCTAGATCTCGTACTATTTCGATTCACCCGCACTGGGTGCACGAACTCCTGTGTGGCGTGTGGTGCGTGGTGAGATACCCTGGAATAGGATGCATGGCGTATGCGTCCTGGACACCTGCATCTTTACGCCACGCTTCTTGGAAAGGATTACTATACCTGTAAAATGTAAACGTCATTAAGTGCTATCATCTTCAACGACATGCGCAGAGCCCTGTCCTTGCCTTCCGTCTTGTGTACTGTAGTCATCCTCAGCTAGCCAAACAAAAGCAATTATCGTTAGTCTCAATTCGGCATATGAAGCGTGTAAACTGCAATAACCACTCTTAATGGCTTAGGCATGATATTGAATGTCGTTGGCACATGAGGTTTTGCTGGCTGCAGCTCGTTCGGCGTGCTTCGGGAGCTGTCATGTCCACCTTATTCTTGCATTCGTTTCACAACAGGGACCACCACTCATCGCCTACAGGATCTGTGAAAATGACATTGCTAGTAGTGACTTCACTGTAATTCCACAAGTTCTGTGTTTCAAAATATCTCCAATATCTTAAATATGACTTAGTCATGATAGTAGCATATACAATTCGCTTAAGAAGGACTCCAGACGATGAGCTTCTGATCAAAGCCACCGCTTATCAAGTATTCGGTATTGCTTTGATCGTCTGAAACTTGAGTAGCGGTCCCCGTCAAATAACCCGCCCAGAGACATCGCAACTTTGACCCTGGTTCGTGTGCATGTAGGGAAGAAATGAGTTTCCCGCTCCTTGCTTCAAGGCCGCGGACTACTCCGTCATCCGAGCTCACATAAACACCTGTACCATCTGGGCGCCAAACTAGGCGTGGAGTGGAATAAGCCGTTTGTGGCGCTAGAGTGGAAACGTTGACTAATATAGCAGCTTCCTCTTTATCTGCAGTGGCTAGCTCAGCTCGTGCTTGCGACGCCTGTGTCACGGATACTTCCATGGCTAAACTAGCTTCCGTGACAGTCATTGAGGAATATGTGGGAGGGAGTAGTAGCTTCACTATCAGTAGCTTCATATGCGGCGTACTGGAGGTAGCGATGGCTGCTAGCTGTGGGTTTGTGGGACAGATTTGTATGTCTGATGGTGTGAATGCAATCCAAGCATTAGAGTGTGGAGCAAGGTTCTGCTTGCCAATCAGAGTGAAAGCCAGTGACTCTGGGCTGGGTACAGCGTAATAGTGTAGAAACGTAGAATCTCTCCGAGCGACTACCAGAGCTGGAGTCCCATCCCCGGGCAAGGTGACGAATACAGTCGATTCTGGAATGCTTGGCAAATCCAACGTTGCTATTGGATCTCCAAGCTGTGGTTTCTCGGCGCTGACATCCATCTGATATAGTATTATCTTAGCATCCCATCCTGAACTAGCAACTAGTATGGAGCTGCCATTGGAAGACCACATTGAGAGCTTGACTAGATACTTTGAATGATCTTTGCGTTCCTCTAATATCCTGTTGTTGACAGTGTCGAATAGCGTCAGCTTTCCGGACATTGAGGCGATTAGCAGATGTGTTGAATCCACAGCTACAAGATCCAGTGTCGGCGAATCCTGAAAACCGGAGAATGTGTGCACAACATCGAGCGAATTTGTCGTTGGATCCATCAAGTGTAGTTGTCGATCAGCAGTGGTGACGCCAACATACTGTTTGATCTCTGTTACTGATGGCAGCTTGAGATCGAGCACTGATATGCTCAGTATATTCGACCGACTTGGTAGGGACGGCACGACTTTCGGGGTGACTGGTGCGTGGATGGCCCATCCCTGATTCGTTTCATCGACACCGAGCTTCTCGAAGCTGAGGCTGAGGTCGAACTTCTTCTTCTCTTCCAGAATAGACTCGATGGTGACGAGACTATCGGAAGCTGCTCCGATATCAGAAGGCAATTCGGCCTCCTGAACAAAGCTATTCAGCGTCTACAGGAGCGTTAGTGATTGTCACCCTTTCCAATTAGGGACGACGTCACCTCAGTATATCCACTAGCTCTTAGAAAACGCGCAACAAGTTCGGCCGCAGATGGAAGCATGACTGCTGATATCTGTGTTTCACAAGAACCCTCACTACCAGTTAGTTGTAGGTGATAAAAGTGTCGATATGTAGAGCGTAGAAGTTGATGATGTTCTAACGAGGGCAAAGTGAAGTGGGGCTAATTAGCTTATCGATACGAGGGTGGGCACATGGCACCGTGACGAATATTTTGTGGAAAATATGCGACGCTGAGTTTGGATTGATTGATTCATTGATCGGGCTCCTCATTCGAGATGCAGGCAAGTCATCTTACTATGGTTTTCACAGTCAACCTGACTTTCCTAGAAATCCAATGTCCTACGCGAACGCTTAACACGAGAGCTAGTTGGGCTGCAAGAGACCACAATTGATCAGCCTTACAGCATATTGCATCGTCTCAGACTTGCAAAAGCATATAGAGATCTTGGATATCCTGACCTCGCGGCAGGAGATGCGTACAAAGCCTTGATTCTGATTGATGAAGTGGTTCAGGAAGGCGAATACCATGACGACGCCCTGGAGGCGGCGCGAACGGACATCGCCACTGAACAAATGAGAGATGTAGCTGTAGATTCTGAGAAGGAAGTTACGTCTTTTGAAGATGACGAGATCGCGGCCTGGGCACAAACGCGATGGTCGAAGAATGCGTATGTAAGCGCCGAGATAAATCTATACACATAGGAAGCGATTACTGACGTGGCTAAGACACGATGCCCTCATTGGGTGTCTGATAGATTGTGGATGTTTCCGCAGTGCGTTTGATTACATCTCTCGTGCAAAAAAGGCGTTTCCAGACGATAAAGTCTTCCATAATTACGATGATACATTGTCGAGCCGTCTTCGATCCTACTTCGCGGACAACGGAGAAGCCCTAGAAGATATAAATATAGAAGAGTACCCAGATAAAGGCCTGGTTCGCCGCGAGAAGTACCCTTGGAATCATCACGAACCAAACCGGTTCTCAACAGAGTGCCTGGACTTTCTCAACAAGGAGCTCACAAACATAGCCCCGATGTTGGAAGTGAGGGTCGCTGAACTACCTGTTCTCACTACCACGGACACCACAAACGGATCAATTCCGGATTCAAAATATACGAAACAACTTGGACTCTTTGCCAAGGAGGATATAGCCCCGGGCGAGAAGGTCTTGGAGGAGAAGTCTCTGCTCACTGCTATCTCAAGGCTCCATGATTCATATTGCGATGCTTGCAGTATACCTTTCTCGACTTCCGAAGACCAAAAGGACGCAATCATCTCATGCGAGGAATGCGATGAAGTCTTCTTTTGCAGTGAAGAATGCCACGATCTAGCACAAGATCACTATCACCCCTCAATTTGTGGAGTCAACTTGGATCAAGGCAAGGTACCGGTGCGCGAGGCGGCAGACTATCTCTATACCCTTCTCCTTTTCCGCGCTCTGGCATTGGCCGAAACTCAGGACCTTCACCCACTCGAGTTGAAAGAAGTGCGTTACATATGGGGTGACTACCACGGCAAGGATCTTGGAGTCGCGTGGCAAGCAGGCACGTCCGGTCGTCTGAGTAACCCGTTCGGTCATGTCCCACAAACACTACCTTTTTCTTTTAAGAACAACATCCTCATGCCATTGAATGTTCTGGAGAAGATGGATGTCAACATCTTCACACAAAGCCACCGTTACGACACTTGGATCTTCAACGCACTGTATGCGAAGTTCCGGGGAACGGCGTCCGCACAACAGGGCTTGGACGGAAAACCTGAGATTAGTGCTGTTCATCCCATGTGGTGTCTCGCAAACCATAGCTGTGATCCGAACGTAGCCTGGGAGTGGCGTGGATCGATGCGTTTCTGGACCCGTGAGCAGATGGTTGATTGGATGGGTAGAGATCAGGACAAGGGTCCTGGTCTCAAGAAAGACGAGGAGGTCTTTGGTCATTACTGCGACATTCGTTTACCGGTCAAGGAACGACGTGAATGGGCCGTGGGGGCACTTGGTGGTGAGTGCATGTGCGCTAGATGTGTATGGGAAGAGGCAGCGGAGCAGAAGCAGGGTGGTTCACATTAAGGAAGCTACCGGTCATGTGCAGAATCGAAGCTATTGGTGTTTCATTTCAAACACAAGGCCGGTTGCACACTATTGCACTCTATCAGCAAGCGACTTGGTATGACTTTGTCATGTCCAGCACATGGGGCATGACAACACTGGTGTCGATGGAGAAGATGGATGTACAAGGTGAAGATCTGGTACTACGCTAGTTCTCAGGGCCTACGTGGACAGGCTTCGGCAATCGCGCGTTATATTTCCGTCATCCAGCCCTTGAGGATGAACAAGCGATTAGCAACCACATGCGGCAAGCAGTTCGTTGGATAAGCCAAAAATCAGACCATTCATGCAGACCAGAGGCGGCGCCAGTAGATGTGTCGTATTGGGTAAGACTCTTGGGCCTGCAGTATGGGGTAGTACGTGACGAAAAAAGGTTCCTAGCCGCGCTCACCGTCCGGGAGTAACTTTCTATGCGCTTCAGCTCCGTCTTCATATTTTCCACAGTAAGCCAAGTGGCATATGCAGACAGGCGCCATAATCAGCCGAGATTCTGCATCTTACATCTTGAGCACCGCGTTTCTCTTGTGACCCTCGTGTCGTTCGTGTTTGATCGGTGTGCAGGCTGTGCATGCATCCGTCCTTCCTAATCTTGCACTCGCTCCCCCATGATGCAGTGTACAGTCTCGCGCAAATCAAATCAGCATCGCATTGTGGCTCAAGCCCAATCCCCAGATCCGAAGCCTGTCGCCGTTTCCGGGACTGGGCGCTCGGTAAACTTTACGATGCAAACGTGCGTTTCACTACCCGCTGCATCGGGCCCCTGATGATGACGACGAGAGCAACTCTAAGATAGTTCATGTGCCTGTTGCTCTTGCGGAAGGACCACGGCCCGCTGCGTCATCGCAAGGAGCCGCATCACGTGCCAAACTCAGCACGTAAGCATGCATGTGCGCATGTGTCTATGTAATTACGAACATCAGCGGCGTAGTATGCAAACTCGTCTTTTCATCTGGCCAGAACACTCCATACCTCTTGCGTAACACTCTTGGTTCGCTTGGATAAACCAGAGTAGCAAGCAAAGTACCACATGTGATGCCCATTGAAGCATCATGATTGCGTTGTCAATATCTAATATCAGCTATATTGTAGCCTCCACACTTGTGGAGACCGTTGAAGAATTATTTCGTTTCCTGCAGTAGTATCATCTCCACAACTTGGCTCTCGGCGACCATCCATGAATGGCAGTGCTGAACGAGACAAACATGTAACAAGGCATCTCAGCTACGGGGTAAACCTGTGCCACTCGCACACGGTAATGATATGATGTTCCTACACATATTGAGCTACAGATTAATATAGATCATGTGGGTATGATACGACTGTGAAGAAATTACTTCGCATACAGGTACAATTGGCCATTTGGGTCAGTGGCAACTGCAGCTTCACTTTCGGCAGTGGCAACGCCACTCACCCTTCCATTACTGTACATCTCCACCCTCGAGCGTTGGATTCTAATTCCAGCAGCTCTCGCTTGGAGCGCGATAAGAGAGTCTTGGTGATGTCGAGACATGCAGGAACCCACATGGCGGTGTGCATCAACCACACTCTCGGATCTATTCAGTCCCCAGGAGGCAGCTGCAGAATTACCACCTGCCACCACCCTACATACTGTATGCGCATATTAATGTAGGTAAGCGACCGATTTCGCGGCTAGCAGTTCCGGTACTATCATGTGTCTCAGATTATAGCACAGCCTTCCAGTAAGCGAAGAGGGTGTGCAGTATACAGCTTCGTGACTCGTCAAATTCGTTGTATGTGGGGCTTGTTGAGCGAGATTCAGTCTTCAATATCCCTGCTAGAGTGAAATGATCATGTGAGCACGACCATAAAGGTCACAATGTTAAGCTACGGTACCTGTGATAGATGGAAAACTGACATTGCTGACCACCCCTCCCCTTCCCCTATATCTGATTAATGATAACCGAGTCACGATAACCTACTAGATCATCTGCATACTAACTGTTATGCATAGCGGACATGACCGTAAGAGGCAGGAATATCACTTCTTCCCTGGTCTGACAAGGCATTGCAGTAGCTCCTTCGCTCATCTCGTCTCTTCAAGATATACTACGTATAGCTCTTCGCCTCTTCTCCTTCAAGATATGATATAACTCATTGAATCATCATGCATCCGGCTGGAAAGGTAAAATCAAAGGACACTGATCCACGGCGCTTTGCCGTGCGTACGTTAGCCCTGGAAGTGAGCACAATACCACACCTAAAGCAGAAGTAGACCTCGAAGATGACTGTCCATGCAAAAGACACAAACCCAAAATAGCCGTTCCTAATTTGAACCACTTGATTGGAAGACACTTTGATAGCCAAGAAGCCAGTGTGCAAGGGGCTGACAATCCGGGACCAATCCCAGGAGAGCCAGTATCCACTATCCACTACTGCACAGTCTTTCAGGCGTCCTTGGGAAACCACAGTGTCCAATGAAGCTCGAAATAAGCTAAATTTCTCTTTCTAAGTTTTCACCCAATACCCAGCATGCCCACCAGACCGAGTGCCACTTATTCCAACACTAGAGATACCGTTTAACTGACAACACTAGCGCAACAAAACGTCCTCCCAATCAACAGTGCAAAACGCCCCAGTATCTTAGCTCCGTATCTAATTGCTCCTCTGATTCTGTTTCTGCAGCATGGTACCCACATTGTCGCTCTCCTCCTGCCAACCATGACACTGTAACCCTAAATCCCGCAGTCGCCCGGCACCACCTCCCTCACCTCTCCGCATTAACGCCCTATCCCAACCACCATGCATCTGCGGAACTAACCCCCATGAAGATCCTGATTCCGGTTCCAACGGAAGTTGGCTCGTGGGCCGGGCTCGCAAATCTGCGGCGACCTGATTGGAGATTGATGCCCGATCGTAAAGTCGCAGGATTCTGTAGGATTTGAATCAGACTCTATCTGAGGATCTCAACCAACATGTAAGATTTCAATCACAATCTAAGATTTGGATCGTAAATCTAAGATTGTGGCACTTTATGTGGACCATGTACGTCAACTCTGCGTAGGCGAAGTGGACTAGAACGTTTTTGGTGATTGGAAGTGCAGGTATAATACTCACCTGCCTTTTGGTCTACAACGCTCAACTAGAATATGGCCAGAAATACCAATCACCTCACCTGATCGCCTCATGGCACTCGCAGTATCCACCACACACTGTGTGGGCCTTTTATGGAGATGTCGATGGCGAAATCAGACTGTAGTATGGCGATTATCTGTCGCAATTCACAAGTGTTTTTCATATGAATCGGAAGCTGCTGAGCTGTGGGGGTAGCCAGTTGTTTCCCTACTAACAGTTTCGAGGACGTCTGGACTGCGTGGTCTTGCGTTGATAGCGACCAACCGGGTCGCTCTGCTAGGCACATGCTACCTCGACAAGAGGTTATAGAAACCAGTCAAATAAATCGTCCAACATGATGCGCTAAACACACGAAAGGCGACGAGCAGGTGGTATACACAGCATCAGCCCCACACTCTCCTCTTTAACATGTCCTCAACTACATCCTCACCTATCCTTTCAACACCATCAACCCCCTCCAACCGCTCCCCAACCTCGTTCACAAACAAACCCGCAACACTCTCAATCCCCTCTCCAACCACTCCCTCCCTCTCAAAACTAGTCGTCCGCTTCCCCTCCAGCCCACACGCCACAATCCTTTCAAACCACGCCAAGTCAGTGTTGATATTCAAACCAACCCCATGACTTGTGATATTCCGCCGCATATGCACGCCAATGGCCGCAATCTTGTCGTCCGGGCTCGTCCACACACCCGTATGCTCCGTAGTCATGGCCTTGATACCAAACCGCGCACACGTAGCTATCAGGCTCTTCTCAAGCAGACAAACGTAGTGGCGGGGCGTGAGTTTATGTGTACGCAGGTCGACAATGGGATATGCGACAAGCTGTCCCGGGCCGTGGAAGGTCGTTTGTCCGCCTCTCATGGCTTCGACAAAGTCTGCGCGGCCATTGTAGCGCAAATGTGCCTGCTGTTCGGGGGAAACATTGCCGATTTCTCGTCGTCCGCAGGTATAGACGGGTTGGAACTCTGCGGTGATGATGTGTGGTGGTGGGGAAGGAGCGTTGGAGGGCGGTTTCGAGGCGAGGAAGCGGGAAACGAGCAATTCTTGGAGGCGGGCGGCAGTTGCGTAGGGAGCCAGACCGGGAAGATGGATATGAAAGAGCTTTTGCCGCATTGGGCTGGCCATTGCTGCGTTGTGTTACATGCTTGATAGTAATCGCGATGGGTGGTGCGTGGGGCGGAGGGAGCCGTCGGTATCCTCCCGAATCGGACTTATCGATAAAGATTTTGTGACGTGACGCGACGCGACTGCACCTTTTGCGCCCACTTCCCTCCTAGACTCTTCTATATGCCGAAAACATGGCGGGCAAGAAGCGATCAGTGAATGGCCAGGTCAAACCTCAGCCTCAGCCTCAGCCTCAGCCTCAGAGCACACCCGAAGACATCGCCATGACAGATGCAACACCACCATGCGGTCAACGGCCACCACCATCCAGCAAAACAACATGCACTCCCAAGACGGCAGTAGAGAGCACGCTAAGCGCCCCGAACCTTACTCCGAACCCCCCGAAAGAAGGCCAAATACTGCCGCCCACCTCTAAACCAGCACCCAAGTCCCGCAAGCCCGTTAACCGCAAAAAGCTCGCCAAACCCCCCCAAAGTACGTCTACCCCCTACATACGCAAATACTGTGCAAAAAGACCCCGAGAGATCTCAAGCCCACACTCTGACACACCCCAGATGCTTCAATATCCACCCGCCCGCTCCTTCACCCCGCACTCCCAACCCCACACTCCTCATCCGCCTCCCCCAAGACAATCTACATAACTGCAACAACACCCTACATCCCTTGCGTCAAGCGTGTGCGCAAACTCCTCGCAGACATTACAAAGCGTGAGAAGCAATCCGCCGCCTCGCTGGACAGTAGAGCAGGAGGAGCAGCCCGAGGGGGGCAACACGGTGCAAAAGTGCTAGAAGCGAATGGGCGACTAGAGGCAAAAGATGTGGAGCGAAACGTTGCCGAGGAGGCGAGTAAGAAAGGAGAAGCGCGCAAAGTAGGCGGGATGGTGTATTTGAAAGCGACGGGTAGGGCGATACCTAGGGCGCTGGAGATAGGGCTACATTTCCAGGAAGATGAGAGTTGTAGGGTGAGGGTTGAGTTGGGGAATGTCAAGGCGGTTGATGATATCGAAGTTAAGAGTGGTGCGACAGAGCAGGAACAACAGGCCGAAGGAGAAGCGGATGATGATATACCCGAGACGAGGATACGAACGCTAAGTTCAGTGACTGTGAGTATAGGACTGGTATGAGCTTTGTCCATGTCCAAATTCTCATTTGCATTTGCATTTGCATTAAACCTGCAAGCAAAAGCTAGTCTAGCCCACCTAACAAACAAAACGAGAAGAAGAATATCAAAAAGAGGAGAGGTCAAAGTATATATCATTGAAGGTTGTGGCGCGAAAAATATCCCGCTTCCACTTTCCAACCTATCCATCTACCCATTCGTGATGCCATGAAGAAAAAAGAAGAAGAAAGAAAAGAATCCAATTTCCCCTAAAGAAAACAAACAACAAGAACAACACAAAGAAAAGCCACCCAGATAACAGATCGAAAACATATGTTGTGTGTATAACATAGGAAAAAATCAAAATGGTAGATAAACTTGCTTGCCTGCCCTTGCTGAAACCTGATAGCGAAAAAGAAAACGTTTAGCCGTCCTATAGGCTACTTGTTTGTCCCATGCTCCCTACCCACCTCCACCCCCTCACTCACTTGCCAGAAGCTATATCGACTGAAAGGACCCAAGGGAAAAAATTCGCCTAAACGATTGAACAGAGGCTCGAGACCTCCTCAACACCGGTAGGAAACTTTGTTGTGACGGTGAATGCGCCAGATTGCGCTGGAATTGGTCAAGGAAAAGGTTTGTTGCTGTGATTTCGATGTCGTGACATCGCTCCTGTTGGAGCATTACGATTTGTGTGGTGGATATGGATATTTATTCCGGTGTCCGGTATAGGTCTGGATAGCTGATGGTCCTGTGCTAGGTGTTGCTAAGTGTCGCGCTCCTGCATGTGGTGGTGGCTTTGCTTTCAACGGAGTAAATGCAACCAATGCTCAAGGTGCGGTTCCGTGGCGATTTGACGAAGGATGCGTATAGTGCATGTCCAAAAGTGGATATTGTCTGGCTGTAGCCTGGCAATGTCAAAATAATCGCTATCGTAATCACCACTTCTGGCGTGCATCATCCTCTCCGTATGCATGTCTATGCGCTTGCCTCGCTGTACTCGACAACGTCTGTAAAGACTTTGTCTAGTGTACTGTTGCTCAACGCTCGGCTTTCGGGTATTGATTAAGCATCGTCATGACTGCCACACCTATTGCAACAACTGCCACCATGGCCCCAACCGGGCCGCCATAGTACATGGGGTTTCGGTCAAGCCGTTGAGCGACCAGGGATTCAGCATTCCGTGACTGTTTCGAATCCTTGTGTTGGACATGATGTCCATTCTGACGACTCGGCTCCGGAGCTGAAGCTTCCGGGCCGTCCTCGTCGAGATCTTTTTCTTTGATGATGACGATTTCGCCCTCCTCAGACTCATGACTGTCCCCCAGGTTCATGCCGGATTGCGCGCTTATCTTTTCCGACGCACTATCGCTTCTGCTTCGCCGGCGAGTTCCGTTGCTTGCTGTTTTTGCATTATCTTTTCTTATCTTTTCGATCATTTCGGCCAATGATTTACGGTCGGTCTCTGCGGTCTCGGCTCGTTCACGGTAACGCTCCATCTGTTGCTTCATCTCGTTCATTTCTGACATCATCAGTTCCAGACGTTGCTGCAAGCGGGCCGTAGTATCCTCAGTACTATCAGAAGGCACGGACCCGTTGTCTGATCCGGTGAGTTCTTCATGCTCTGGCCCGGCCGCTTCGGCTTCCTCTGCATCGTTGTCGCCAACAACAGTCTCTGCATCTCCATGATCCTTGTTCGTTTCACGCTCAAGTCGAGCCGCTCGTTCTTCGGCGTCTTCTCTCGCGCGACGCTCTTCGTTTAACAGAGTCTCGAGATCTCGTAGTCGCATGCCCTGAGATTCTATCTCCTTCTTCGCATTAGTCAAAGCCTCGGTGAGCGAGGACAACTGTGCATCCGACCGCACTGGAGATGCGGTCTTTTGTCGCTCAGTGTCTGACCTCTTGAGGGACGAGGCGGCGTCAGGCTTCTCGGGTAAGGGTTGCTGTGGAGGTGGTGCAGGTGGGTCAGAGAATCTCGCCTTGAGGCTGTTGTCTTTGATGGGTGAGATTCTCACTTGATTGATTGGAGATGTCTTGGTGAGTTCCTTCTTTGTATCTGCTGTCAGGATGGCATTAATGTACTGGTGAGTTTGTTGGAGGTCCTGCGACTGCTGCTTTGCGGCCTTGATCTCGTTCTGTTGCTGTTAGAGGTGAAGACAGCAGGTTACTGACATGATACTTACGTTGAGCTTCTTGACTACCTGCTCCATGGTGATAGGCTGCAGCCAGAAGTTGGGATGTCGTGGTTGCTGCATGCCGTTTTGATAGTTGGCCATGGCGCCGGGGCCCTGCATTCGCTGGCCGTTGATGGAACCTTGACTAGGTGTGCGACCTCGCATGTTTGCCAGTTGTTGTTGGCTGGTGGAGCCCATGATATTTGACAGTTGAGGGCCTTCCATTTCGCCAAAGTTGAGGTCAATCATCTCACTGCTTGAGCGTGAATAGATGCCCGCATGCTCGACACGAGCAGCAACCTTGTGATGGACAATAGTTTTCTGGTCTTCACTGACAATGTCGATGCCAAGTTCCAGCATGTCCTGCTCGCGAAGCTCGTGTGGGTCCGAGTCTCTGTTCTCTTGCGACAAGCGGGAACCGTTGACAAAGGTGCCGTTTGAAGACTTGACGTCTCGGATCCATATCTTGCCCTGGCGGTCTGCCCATACCTCGGCGTGCTGTCTTGACAGGACTTTTGAGTCGAAGTAGCCGTTGAGCGGCGTCGGTATTGTCTTGTTGTTGGTCTGTCGGCCAATGCGGAGAACATCCGGGAAGAAGGGAACGGTGATGGTCTTGCGCTCAAAGGTGCCGTTCATGGGGACAAGGTGCAGGACGGCGGTGCTTTCCTGGGCAGGTGTCCGTTGTGCACCGTTGGGCTGTTGCTGGGCGGCCTGGAGGGCGCCATTATGTTGCGAGGGGACCATGGCAGACGGTGCTTGCAGTGCGCTCATGGCCGAGGCAGCAGAGGAGCCGGGGCCGACGGATGCAATGGGCTGCGGGCGTGCAGCAGTGATTCCAGCAATAGGCTCAGTCTTGGTGGCAGGCCATAATCCCTTTGGCGTCTTTGCTTTGCGGGTGGCAGCCCAGTCGGAGCCGTTTGAGGAAGCGGTGCTGTTCGGCTGCGACGAAGATGATGAGGCAGCGGATATGGTGGATGTGGTCGAGGCCTGGGAAGACAGGCTCGACGACGAGTTTGACCGTTGGGCACTTTTCCTCGGCATGAAGATGCCACCGCCGTTGGGCACGCCTTCAGCGCTCCATGCCTGCCGGTTGATGTTCTGATAGTTGACGGGGGGCGCAACTGCCGTCATTGGCGACGTGGTGTCGAAGGAAGGAGGTGGTCGTGTTTAGGCTCGGCCGTCACTTTTGCTGCACGCTTCCCGTGTTCTCCGTTTTTAGCGGCGCGACACCAGCGTGACGAGGCCCAAGGGTTGCAACAACAGCTTTGCGGCAGCAGCAAAATGTCGCGGGCGCCGTCATACACTCATGCGTTGCGGTAGCAGGCGGGCTCTGGGTGTCGTCGAGGCGTCGTCGTCGGTCGTGTGCTACTAGTTACAGGCAGAAAGGGTGCGACGTCAGGGCGATGATGCAAGGCACTGCAGACAGGCGCACAGCACGGAAAGCAGTGTCTCTGGAAGTGCAACTCTTGCGGGCGCGGCCACGGCTTAGGCTGCTGGATGGGCTGCGGGGGATAGATAGTCTGGATGGGCTGGTTTGGGGGTTGAGTTGAGGAGTAGTAGGACGTTTGTTGTCGGGCCTGGTTCCATGCAACGCTGACTGGCCAGATGGGCGAGGCGAGACAACGGCACAGGCGTGATGCGGGCGTGGAGAAAGGGTGCAAGCACAGATGGCAATATCTACCTAGATGAAACGAGACAGATGCTGCTACAGCCCACCCACCATGACAGTTAGACAGGCCGCAGTCGAAACTAATCCGCTTCATTTTCGAGCGCAGGCGCCTCCAATGCCCGGGGGGTGGTCGAGTGTCGAGAGTCACGTGCCTATGCCACAGCCGCTCTCCATCAGCGCATCTTCGCCTTTGCAAGCCCGTGTCTCAACCCGTAATCATGACGGCACATGTGCAGTGGCAAGTCGATTAGCCTCGACATGGAGAGTGAGAGTGAGAGTGAGAGCGAGAGCGAGAGTGCCCATGGCCACACTTTCCCCGGATTTCGGGCCTCTCTTCTTGGCGCTGGAAGAGCCGCGGCGAGAACTTGCAAGTGGGACGACGTCCAACTGACACTGACTGTGCCTCCCCTCTTGCACTTGATCGTCAAACACTCCCCAAGATGCCCATACCAGTTGGCTCCATGCCCCAGGGCGCGCATGGCCCTTCAACTCTTGACAAGCGTAGGCTTCCGTCTGCGCACCTAGACATGTATGGCCGTGGCTGACAGTATGCAGTGAAGATGGGTGGCATGATGGGTGGATGTACGCTCTACGAGTAAACACAATCACAAGCATAATCTGACATGTGCGCAGCTGTCGGTTTGATCATTGGCTTCATTTTCGGTGCGCATTGACCCCGCGCTTCTACAAAAGGTCCTTTCCTAACAAGAAGTAGGATTCACCAACATTGTTCGATTTGGTCCGGGCCCGAATGGGATGCTAAGGACGCTGGGCCAATACATGATGGGCTCAGCCGCCACGTTTGGGTATGCATGTCCGCCCATACGTGCCTGCCAAAGCTAACGTCGAGACAGCTTCTTCATGGCCATCGGCACTACCATCCGAACCGACAGCTCCCCCATTGCGACTGAAGCTTTCCGCACCGCCAATCGCCGGCCCATGATCCTTCCGCGACACTACCAGTACCCACGCGCCGCACGCGAGGAGAAGAACTAGGCCGTATAATGTCCAGACAAGAATCCTCCATGGCGGTACAGGTTTCTGGCGAGGACGGAGCGATTTCTCATAAAAATCTTAACGGGTCGATTGCCTGCTAGGTTAAATAGGCGCAAAGGTGAATGATATCAGTCATACACTGGCTTTCACTTTCACCGTCGGCCCCACTTCCAATATTGCTGTGCAACTTGCTTGTGATCTCACTTTCACCTCTTCAGTATATGAGCATAGTACGCTCTCTACCAATCGGTCTACAACGCTTGCAAAGACTCTTCGCCGCCAACGTCCAGCCTGCAATCAGCCAACGCGCACTGCACTTCGATACTTGCGTCCAAGTTTCCATCGCAACCTGGTCAGTTCAAACCACAACAAACATGTTTCCACTCGATGTACCCACCATGCGCAAGCCGCATGTGCCATACGGCAAGCGCCCTATTCGCCCTAGCAATTCGACTCAACAAAGAGAGGCCTCCGGTAGTAACGAAAACGAAACCAAAGGCGAGCAAGCTTATGAAAGGATCAGTCAACAGGCTAGACGCAGGGACTACAGAGCAAAGGCGCAAAGACGCGTTGATACTATCTCCAGTCGGGGTAAAACAGCAGCACGGGACAAGGCGGCCATGCATGACAGTCCATCCTGCAACAGCCTGAAAGGGACTGGTGTGTTACACCGCAATAGACTTGACTCCGACACCAATGGTGAAGAGGACATTGCAGAAGCCGTGGCTCGCTCGCTCGTTGATAATGAAGGCGCTGCGCCTGAAGCTGCCGATATCGCCAAAGCCATAGTCATGTCGCTCTCAACCCATGACAAGCCATCAAGTCCTTCTCGTGCAGCCAGTCCCTATGACGCACTCAAAGTTCTCAAGGAAGTCATGGAAGCTTGTATGAAATGCTTAGACGAAAGCACACAAGGGCAGGACATGGTATCAGCGAGCCAGATAGCAGGATGCATTAAATCTTGGAGAGGCACAATATCCAACGTTATATACGCAGCCAAGACAGCAGAAGATCGGCGGATCGGGGATTTGAAAGTCCAATTATGCTTCGATCAGAAGGTGCGGGAGAAGCATCAGCAAGAAACGGAAAAGCTTAACCAAATGTGGGAGGCCAAAGTGCTGGAGATGCAGTGCGAGCAGCAGAAAAAGAAGGCCGAGACGTATGAGGCTCAAATCGCAGAGCAGAGGTCTGCGAGCCTATCTGAAGTAACGCTGGAAGAACAACACCCAATCGTAAAGCAACGCCGTCCGCAAGCCATCAAATCAGCATCACCCTACGTCCACGATGAGGTCTCGCGACTAAGCAGAGACATTGCAGTGCTTAGGTCAGAACATGCAGCCGAGCTTGAAAGCAGGCGCCATGAAAGCAGCCTTCTGAAGCAAAAGGCTGAGCGGCTAGCCGATGCAAACGCAGCACTCCGACAAACTCAAAAGACCAAGAAGAACGAACAGAAACAGAAGATGGAAAAGCTCATCCAAACATACGAGGCACGCGTGAAAATACTGCAGGGAACTCCAAAGCCTGTTGATACGAACACAGTTTCGAGGCCTACACAAGGACGGGTAACTCCTTCAGAGCTATTACTCTCCAAGATTGAAGAGTCTCAAGATAAGGCGCAGACTGACTGTCAAATCACACGTTCGGACCCGACAGGACGACTCGGAAGTTCCGTTTCTCCTCGTAAGCGTAAACTTGACGGGGACATGTTTAGTCAGGCCGAGAGTGTGGATCAGCCGCGCAAGAGGGTGAGAGCTCGGTCGATGGAGTAAGCAGTGGATACGGTAATCGGGCCACATGGAGAGGGTACAGTACTGTAGTGAATGGTAGCGAGCTGTAGTCAGAATGAAATGTGATACCTCGACCATTGTCCTTGATGAAGCTACACTAAACATGTGTCGCGATTACATAACTCACGCGATGCGGAAGCATCCTTCTGCTTCCGGCTGTGAATCTGAAACACAATAGCGACAAGGTTTAACAAAAGCATATGAATGGATTGCGGAGCGCCGGAACAGGTTTAGCGCAAGACGGTCCGAGCTCACCCTCCAGCTCATTCCTCTGTACGAGGACGACCGTGGTTCCGCCCACACCTGTCGCGCCATTATCGAACAGCTCGCGCGCTTCCATTTAAGCCGTCTTTTACGATCGCATCCCAATCAGCGACAAATCAAGATTTGTTGTGCGACACTCTTCGACCTTTCAACACACCCGTCAGCTTCTCGACACGCGCCCCTGTCCGTGTCGCGTCGAGTGCCTTGACTACCACGTCCATAACCGCCGTCTGCGCAATCATGTCGGACTACTCCAAGATGAAGAACGACGAGCTGTCAGCGCTCCTCAAAGAGCGCAAGCTCCCTCACACCGGCAAGAAGGCAGAGATGGTTGAACGCCTACAGAAGGACGACGAGAAGTCTAGCGCAAAGCTTTCTACCCGCGGTGAAGATGAGATCGACTGGGACGACGAAGGCGACGATGTCGTTGCAGCGCCTGCCACCACCACCACTACGCAAGAAGAGACCGTCACTACTAACGCAGAGACTGTCGCCAACGCTGGAGGTGAAGGCCAGCCACCGAATCCTCAAGCCGTACCCAATCAAGTCGCCGATATTGACCCCGCCCAAACGGACGACCTGAAGGTAGAAGCGCCCGCAGAAGACACAGAGGCCAAGCCCGAAGAGAAACAGGAGCCCATCCCCGATTACTCAAGAGGTCTTGCTGCCACTAAGCTTGACGAAGAGATCGAAAAGCGTAAGAAGCGCGCCCTCAAGTTCGGTACCAAGTTCGAAGACGACGAGGGTCTCAAGAAGCTGGAGCGTGCTAAGAAGTTTGGAGAAGTCGGTCCCCCCAAGGGACTCGACGAGGCTTTGCCGGAGCGAGAGCGCCGCCAAAAACGGACACGAGAAGGTACTGAAGATGCAAGCAGCAACAAGCGTCGCGACGCAGGTCGGGATGCAGGCCGCTCTGGAGGCCGTGGAGGTCGACGCGAGAACCGCAACCGAGACGCCAAAGACAGCCGGGACAGCAATGATAACCGTCGCAGTGAAAGGAAGACTGCAGGCGGCGCTGGTGGTAGCGGTAGCGGTAGCGGTACCACTTGGATGAGCGAAAAGGACAGGGCTGCTGCTGAGGCCAGGAAAGCCAAGTTCGCGAAGCCGGCAGCTTCGGCTTGAAGACACGGCGTTGGTTTCAAGAACGGCCCATGGCCGACTTCGAAGACGAACTTTCGACGGATTTCAGCTGAACGATTGAACAGCACCGGCGCACTCATTGTATAACATCTTTGCGGGTTTTTTGACAAGATTGCCGGACGGATTGCGATTCTCACTTCAGACACTTTACGGATATAAGAATTCAAAGATCATTAACCAACTCGGACACCTCATTCATCCTTCGCTATTAGCACACTCCCGAGTTCTGGGTTCTTGCGTCCAAGATTCTGGCGGGCCGTAGCGACCTCAGGCAGAAACGCTACGGAAGAAGATGTCCTGAAGTCACACTCATTACCCATGTCTTGCTGAAGCCGTGTGCCTTCCCGTCATCCAGCTCGGAGAACATTCACCACAGTTGCGCACCAAATCTCTTGTGGTTCAACATGTATTCGTTCACGTACCAGCTTTGGTCGGACCACAGAGTGAAGAAACGAGCACAGTCGCTCGGTGTTCCTTGTCGATAGGCTTCTCCTGTCGGTGGCTCCGCCTTGTACCCTTGCAATTCGATAAAAAGCTCACCGCACCCCATATTCGGCTTGCATCTCGGCAGCCATGAAGGTATCTAATGGCCGTTCGGTCTGGACACGAAATCTTCCCGACCCTTGTGGGTCTGAATACAGATAGAATGCTTGACCCTCTCGTATCGACTTGTCTAGTGCCGTCCTTGTGCAATCCTTGGCATCGTGTACCTAGTATCGGGCATCTCCCCGACCTCGGTAGCTACGTTATTCCCGCACACAAACCAACATCATCCAGCACTAAGAAGTGTGGGGATATTTAGGCGGTGGGAGTCCCCGCGCGTTATTTCCGCGTGCAAAGTCCGCATATGCTAAACTACCTCGGACTCATCTTCTCGCAATCCTTCATTCCGTCGAAACATACATGCGAATATTAGCGTGTGCCAGCTCATAGCTCCGGTGCTTCTTGGTTGCATGACTCGATAACAGTTACCCGTCGGAATGATATCGGAGTCGGAATCATAGGAGCTAGGATCATTTAATTTAGGATAAAAAGAACGCCTTCGAGACGATTTTGCAAAACGAGTTGCTCTTACAACCAGATGACGGCACAATCAGAGCTAGAAGAGAAACATGTCATCTCAGACAAGTTCAACTCGCAGGGGGAAGAGTACAGTCGCCCCTCATCGGCGTCTCGCGACGAAGATGTCGTGCAACACGCAGAGCCAGGAAGGAGCGATGAGGTAGCCGAAGACAAAGAAGCACAACTCGATGCTCGGTCAACCGTCACTGCAGAATCTGCAATTCCGCCTCCTCCAGATGGCGGCCTACATGCATGGTTAAAAGTTTTTGGCGGCTTCATGATTTACATCAACATTTGGTACGTGATGATACAATCTCTCCGAACCTTTGAATAATTGCCGATTTTAACGGTATGTGACAGGGGTTTCACGTTAAGCTACGGCGTCTTCCAAACCTACTACCGCACCACGCTCCTCAGCAGCTCCTCCCCCTCGGCAATATCCTGGATCGGCACCACGCAAGCCTGGCTCCTCATCATCGTCGGCGTCATGTCAGGTCCGCTCTTCGACCTCGGCTACTTCCGTTCCATGCTGCTTGTCGGCAACGCCCTCGTCGTGCTAGGCATCATGATGTTGAGTCTGAGCACACAGTACTGGCAGGTGTTCCTGAGCCAAGGTCTGTGCATGGGGCTGGGTGCGGGTCTGCTGTATATCCCTAGCTTAGCCATGGTGGGCGTGTGGTTTAGTCGGCGGAGAGCCTTTGCACTGGGGATCGTCATGAGCGGTATTGCTGTTGGTGGTGTCATTTATATTAACATGTTCAACCAGCTTGTCCACTCTGCTGGGTTTCCCTGGACTATGCGCGCAATTGGTTTCGTTGCGCTCGCCGCCGCGCTGCTTTCTATCCCAGCGCTTCTTTCTGGATCGGATTGGCTCAACCGCAAACGTAAGCGTCGCTCGCTCTTCGATAAAACGGCCCTCACAGACCGTTTGTTTCTTATCTTTACGGCTTGTACTTTTGCTACGTTCCTTGGCTATATCGTGCCGTACTTTTACATCCCAACGTATGCTAAAGAGCGCTTGGGAAGCAGCGAGAGCACTGCGTTGTACATGCTCGTCCTTGCCATCGCAGGTAGCTTCTTCGGAAGACTAATGTCTGCTGTTGTGGCGCATTGGCTAGGCGCTATTGTCACATGGGCAATATGTACGTTCGCAAGCGGGATTTTATCTCTCTGTTGGATTGTCATCGAAGATGAAAAGACGTTTATTGCGTTTAGTATTCTTTGGGGTAAGTATTCCCGGCTCGCGTTTACCTGTAGTTGCAAAACTAACATTTCCGCGCTAGGTTTCTTCTCTGCGGGTCTGGTAACTCTTCCCTCTGCTGCATTCGCAAACATCACCCCGGATCTTTCGCGTCTAGGCACGCGCTTGGGAATGTCATGGAGTGTATCCAGTATTGCAACGCTTATTGGCGCGCCCATTGCGGGTGCTCTGCTCAAGAAAAAGGACGGCCGAACAGACTTCATCGGCGTCCAGGTGTGGAGTGGGGTTTGTTTGATCATTGGCACGTGTTGTCTGATTGTGCTGTGGATTTTTACCGTGAAAACACAGAAGAAAGGATGGAAGGTTTAAAGCAGGAGATGTGGCGAGTGAAAAGATAGAATATCATAAAAAGTTGTTTGAACATAATATATAATACTACAAGCTTTATAAATGACAATAACGTAAGGCCGTTTGAGATACTTCTCGCTTTCTTCAACCAAGTGAATGCTCTTGCATGTCGTATTTGCTTCTCTGTGCCCTTTCTAGTATGAACCAACCTCATCCCTGGCTTGTACGGGGGCTTTCCCCTTTCCCTTTCCCGAGTAAGGCAAATATGGATATATGGGTCCAGATGTAGATGGCGAACGCTGCATTTCCGACTGAGGCGCGTAATCAATGCGTCGCCGTTTGGTAGACGGGCCCGGATCACCCTCGGGCGCTATATAGTGATTCTCAAAAGCGACATTGTACGTATCGTCGGCGGCGATGGTACTTGGGCTACTATCCTCACCGCACATGAGAGCATCGAATTGCTCCCACCCATCTCGTGTAGTACCGGTTTGCTGCCATCGAGCTTGTTGGCGCATGTTGGCTTCATTGACGTTGGCTAGTTTGGCAGAGCATTCGGCTAGGAAAGTTGGGCTGTCTATCGGGCCAGGGCGAGGTAAAAGCGTACGCTGTCGTCCCACACTTTGGTCTACGTTCTGCGTCCACGCACGTATGACTCGTAGCTCCGCTTCGCGATATCCCTGCATTTCCATTTCCCTTTGTGAATTTACAGAGCTTCCCCTGGTCGGTATGCTAGCGCTGGCCATCCTGTTGGAATCTAGATGGATGGGAGATTGCACACTGCTGCTATTGATTGATGGCAACTGCATCTGTCTTGAACTGGTCTCTTCCCAGACGTGCGAGGGGTATTTATCGCTTTTGAGAAGATTCTCCAAGATTGTGTTCATTTTCCTCTTGCGGTCCTCTTCATTCAGTAGGTATGCAGTCCAGTAGTGAACGAGCTCGTTTTGGATATCTCGAAAGACTATCACGTCTTCTTTTTCGCGAGCCACCCTGGCTCGATGCAGAAAAGTATGCTTCCCACTTCGGTACATGACGTCTGGTACATAGGATGACAGCTGGGTGTAGAAGTTGCGGAACTCGGCAAACATTCTCCGGATGGGTGGTTCCTCGGTCACAGCCGTGGAGCTTTTGGAAGAAATCTTGCGTTTCCATTCAGAGACATAGGCATCGAATGCAGGCATGCCTGCAACCAAAATTGGGTCATTGGTAGGCAGTGATGGTACCGAGCAGGTCTCGAGACGGTCTGGTAGCCCCCGAGTGTATGGTGAGTGGGGCGAGACTAACAACATGGAGTTGTCCTCTGGCCGTCCTTGAAACACACCACCCAGACTTACCTGACGCACATTGCGTAGTCGCTCAAAGGGCTCGAAAAGTAACCGTGAGTTTGAGAAAATCTGCTCTTCTGACCACTGGAATTCCGACAGACAGAGTCGAACTTGAAGCTTGCACAGCTTCTGCGCTTTGGCCAGGATGCCTGATACGACAACGGAGATATAATCTGTAGTCGTTAACAACAATGCAGTAGTATGACTTCACAGACCAACCTCGTATATCGTAGATTTCGACTTCTTCGTCCCAGGCAGGGCCCATTCCAAGAAATGCATTGACCCAGTTCTCCAACAATATATCGACAGTATAGTTCTTTACCAAGCCCCAATTGAATGTCTTCAGGAACCTGTTCCTAGCGTCATCGGCCTCGGCAGCCCAGACGTGCGATGACCCGTCCGCGCGCTTTGGCTCCAGCAGTCGGCGCCCACACATGAACGTACCGTCTCGACGAACATCAACCTTGAACGTGGCAATGCTAAATAGCAAGTCCTTTATTTCGTCGTGAACTTTACGGGATACTAGAAGTAGGCTCACTAGTCGCGTAGGAAAGACACATTTGGATGTTGGCGCTTTGCAGTGATAGCGAGATTGCGGGAGGTGAAGATTAGGGAGCCTATGAACTGCGACGAGCCTTTGACCGGTCGGACCAGCTTCATCGGAGCCTTCCTGATGGTGCGTAATGGTGGAGGACCCGATGGGTTCGGTAGGCAGTAGGTAGCGGTAAATCTCGTGACGCAACTCAAGTGGCAGCTGCTTGAGCAAGTAACAGGGCGTACCGGGGTAACCTTGGTGTTCGTGACAAAGCTCAAAGTACGACGGCGGCGTCCAGCGAAAAAGCCGTCCGCATCTCTCTCCGTTGGGGGGTTTGAACTGGCACCACCCCGCGAGGCTGCGTTGGTCGCGATGGGCGCTGCATGTAGGAAGGTAGGTGGGGTGAGTATTCAGGTGCGTCTTTTTGCCAATGACAGCGCTGCAGCGTAAACTCGTCTTTTTCAACACACCCGAGCATCGCTTCAGGAAGCCCTCGGGGTCTTTTGGGTCAATAAACGTGTATTTGATGGGTGATGGGGTCGGCTCAGCCAGGAGCGGCTCTGTTCCAGGACTGTCCTCCATCACGGTGGCTCCATCACCGACAGTAACTGGCCAGGTCATGATGGTGAGGCTGGAAGGGTGGGAAAGTAGTGAGCCAGCCGTCTCGGGCTGCTCAGCGAGCCAGATGAGAGTGTAAGATGACTTGAAACGAATGGAAAGCCAGCAAAGTCGGAATCGAGCAGTCAAATACGACTGCCCTCATGCAGGGAGAAAAGGCAGCAAACATGCCGTGTAGCCTACCTCGAGCAGTCGGGTCGCACAACCGGGCATCTGCTGCGTCTTGCACATGTGCAGTTGACGACAGGCCGCCAATGATGCGACGAATCGACTGGGCCTCATTTGCCCACTTGTGATCTTGCATATTGGCCAAAAGTCCTGCTTTGATGGATCCAGAGTAAGCGTGGTGTACCCCGCTTTCTGCAGAGGGACACTGAAACTGTACTGCTAAGTTGCACAGGATCACCGACACATTTCCGTTGAGGAAGTTGCCCACTGGAGACGATGAATGATGATCAACAGTTGGTGCGGCGCTCCTTGGCCGATTATGTCTAGTTCTACCGGCAGGTACCATGACCTGGGGGCCGAGTCAATATCCTCTGCTTCGGTATAGGCTCAGCGCTTCGCACCTTGGCCTACTGTGCGGCACTGTACGAGTCTGACGCACTCGGAAGAGCTGGCTGTGCAAGAAGATTCACCGCCAGAACATGGACAGAGGTTGGGGACATGTCTGCTTCTTGTGCTCGACATGTCTTACAAAGCATAAGACACGCCAAGTTCCTCGCACGAGGCTGAGCGACGCCTGCGGGACATGCCAGGTGATCCGGCTCTACTTCGCCTTACTTTTGACTTTGTATAATACGTGTGCGATAGACAGCTCCCGAGACCCATCTCTCTCTCCGCTAATACCCACTTGCAACATCCCAAGATTGTGCTACGCAATGGCAGGCGAGGTACAGCCGTGAGCCCCGGGACACTAGGAATGCAGATGATGCTGACGCTCACGCCAGAATGACCCATCGTCGCGCGATACCGCGTCGCAACCCTCATTTCGAGACGCTGTATATGGCAGCATCAAGCCCCCCAGATCCGTTCATGACTCCGTTATCGACATCAGCCCGACTGATGCGTCACAGCCAGGCTTCCCACCCACGGGGCGGTATTACATCTACCCACCCATGATAAATGGGCATGGACGTCTGGTCATCGCACATCGAACGGTGCCACATTTGGCCGGATGCCTTGTTGTCGTCGGGACGTTTGTCTGGGGTGTATGCGCGGCGTTATACGCATATCCCCTTTTGGGCGGGCACACGCATGTGTAGAAGCTGGGGTGTGGACGAGTTTGATGAAACCAGGCGTTTACGGAGTATCACGGTTGAATGTTACATGTTGGACTCATAAGCGGTTAATATAATAGGGTACATGTGGGAACTTGGTTGTGATGGAGCTAGCGGTACGGGTGCTGGATGCCGATACCTAGGTAGCTCTTTGCGGGGGTTGAAGATGCCTCGGTCCAAGGTCGTGGCGAGCTTACTCTTCCTCTTCATATGAGCAAATATGTAACATGATTGTTACCCTCATCTGACCGGTAGATACGTCAAGAACTGCGTCAGTAGCCTCGTCCGAAGATAGCTAGGGCGACGCGTCTCTATTGTCACCAAAATGTCATCGATCAAGCCCCAGACGGCTCCACCTCCAACTTCGCATGTTGGTCTATCCTATCCCGCCGACCATGTCCTACTCGTCACGATCAATCGGGAAAGACAGATGAACAGCATCCCGTTTGAGGGTCATCTGGAGATGGGACAAGTGTTCGAATGGTTCGACCACGAGCCGAATCTACGCGTCGCCATTGTTACTGGCGCGGGTAAGAAGAGCTTTTGTGCTGGACAGGACCTGATACAGCTTGGCAAGATTCGGAGCGGGGAATTGAAGCTGAGCCCTGGGCTCATGAGGCATCCGCTGAGTGGATTCGGCGGTCTGAGCCGCAGGATGGGTAAGAAGCCAGTTATTGCGGCTGTCAATGGGTTTGCACTCGGAGGCGGTTTCGAGATAGTTTTGGGCTGGTATGTCATTCGTGAAACGCTGAGCATACTGGCTATGTGCTAAACCTTTGCAGCGACATGGTCGTGGCTGCACCACATGCGATTTTCGGTCTTCCAGAGGCTCTGCGCGGCATCTTCGCGGGTGCAGGAGGCCCGGCACGCCTCGTCCGCAACGTCGGCATGCCCATAGCGACTGAGATGGCTTTGACTGGCCGACCCATAACTGCGCAGCGGGCCAAAGAGCTCAATCTCGTAAATCGCATCTCGTCGACTCCGGAAGGTGTCGTGGACGAGGCTCTGAAGCTGGCGAATGAGATTGCAGCTATCTCACCGGATTCCGCCATCGTTACTCGCGCAGCGTTAAGGGAAGCCTGGGAAACTGGAAGCGTCGAGCGTGCGACGCAGTTGACAATGGAGCAGTACAATGGCCGTCTCAATACAAGTGAAAATGCATTGGAGGGGCTAAACGCTTTTGCTGAGAAGCGGAAACCGAATTGGAAGCCTTCCAAGCTGTAGGTGGTGTTCTTGGTCTAATCTTGTTTAGTCTTTAGGCAGCCGGTACTTGCCCTTTGATAGTGCGATAAACGATGCAATGCATGGATGTTGAATCAGAGGCCAAAATATGGCCCGAATTTTGTTCCGCACTTGATCGTCTGTCCCCTGCCCATGTTAAATTCCGCAACTCCTGGAAGCTTAAGACACAGTGATAAGCCTTGCTCGGATACCACCTAAGCCCTAACTACCTCAGAAGCTGCGGGAGAAACTCTACCCTTTCCCTTTCCCGTTGGTGCGCACTACTGTACGGTACATACCCCGGCCCCCACCTTCCCCGCGCTAGGGATCACGCTGACTAAGGCCTTCCTCCGCCTCGGCCGTCCCAGCAGACTGGAACACGCGCTGGTGCGCCGTGGTCTTGTCAACTCGGTCCCGTCAACATTGCTACCTATTTGCTTGCTGACTGTTACTGTACCATTCAGAAGCAAGGAAGCGTCCAGCTTGACGTAATCCTACGACCATGGTAGACTTCCGACCTAGTGATGCTGCATCACCCCTGAGCTCCGCCGCTGCTCCAGCTGTCAAACGAAAGCGGCTTGCTTCGTGCCTGGGTGAACAGGAACGTCGGGATAGAAAGCGGGCCATTGATCGCGAAGCCCAACGTTCCTTGCGAGAAAAAACAAAGGCACACATCGCCGACTTGGAACGCACCATAGAAATACTGCGCCAACAAGACAGCAATGGAGCCACTGCGAGCTTGTTGTCCGAGATTGACCAACTGCGAGCGGAGAATGTGCGGTTGAAGGAGATTATCGATAGTGTCAGGAATCTGGTAGGTGGTCCAGTTGCATCACGTAACACTACGTCAGTAAATGCGTCCAATGGCCATGGCGAGAACGGTTCGTCAGCTGCGAACAGCATTACCGGTGAGCATTTCTCTACGCAGCTTCAGGCACAAACGTGGCACAGCTCACTCTGAACGGCAGGACAACCATCGCCAAGGCCTTTTCTTCCAAATGACCAAAGAAAATCATCGACATGTATCGTCGATCAAAAGACTTCCGCGGAGACATTCACAGCACCAAGATGCCTTGATCTTGATAGCATGCCTGTGCAGGCAGTCATGGATCCAGCGACAGCAAACGACCTCAATCTGGACATGGATATAAATTTGGAACTCGCTACGGTCAACGACGAAGAAGACGTTGAAGAGATGCCTCGCAATACTCAGCTCGCCGCCCCATATGCACCCTTGATGGAAGAGGTACACACTCTGGTTTCGTTTATAACAGTCACCAGACTAACCCATATACCTATCTCTAGCTCTTCGGCCCAGATTGGCGCTTACCCTCACCAACAACGCTTTACATCGGAAACCCCGACCTGCGGCTACCCGCGTCAATCAAAGTATGTCCTACCTGGAAAAGGTGCAACGAGGTCTTCGGCAAAGTACTCACCTACCGCCAACCACTGAGTCTTTCCAATTCTTCGCGCCTTTTTAGTGCCCCTCAAACCTCACAAGCCGCCGAACCAGGGCTACTTTTTCTAGGCATCAAACAGGGCTGGGATACCGTACCAGTCGAGCGTCTGCAAAAATGTCCCGCGATATCGATCTTGAGGCAAATGGACGGACTGTTGTTTGAGCATTTGCCCAAGATTGAAAGGCTGGCTGTTGCATACAAGAGCTATAAACTATTAAAGGTTAGTCTTTTCAAGGTTTGATGCACAGGATGGGGTGGGCTAACGAATCAGTACTATCTTCACGCTACTAAAGAGGAATTGGATAAAGTGCCTGAATGGCTGAAACCCAGGTCCGTCTACCTAAAGTCACTCTGACAAAACAATCTCCAAATCTAACCATGAGCTAACCCATTACCCACCAAAAGTCCCTCTCAAGCCTCTACCACTCACCCAATCGCTCTCGACTTCTTCGCTTGGCCCACACTCCGTACTCGCCTCCTCGCAAACCACGCTTCCATCTTCCAATCGACTGCTCTATCCCGCGCATACTCGCACCATCTCCATTTCGCTTGGCCCTTTAGCTTTGAAGACGCGTTTTTCCAAGACTCCAGGACGGGCGAGTATTATCCAAGTCCATTGTTCGAGCGGTATCATGGAGACTTGACGTTTTGGGGTGTAAAGGAGGGCTTTTATGATACTTTTCCAGAGATGAGGAGTGATATCGAGGGGGATAAGGGGAGGTTTGGTGAGGGCTGTGGATGGTAGGTATGTGCATGTCCGTTGCATTGGCCAATCAACGTAAGGAAAGGGGTCAAGGGGTGTCAGTCATACGGCAAAGCAATCACATGTGCGTTGCTCAACAAGCTCAAACTGAAGTTCTATCATCATCATCATTCGTGCTATCAAAACACCCATATAGGGCCCATCGACCGACACGACATTGCTTTTCCCCACTCTTTTGTACATCGTACCGAAGCGATGCGGGTGAACCGCAACCTTTCATGAGACGCTTCATCATCTCCACGTCAGGTTGCCCCGTACTGCATTACTTTTCTTTTCAATCAGTCATGATAAGATGGCTCTGAATATCATGTCATGTTGAACGCCTCCACCGAGTCCGTGGCTTCCTTTGCTCCAGCTTGCTCGCCTCAGGTTTCAATGCGCTGGTAGAACAGGATGTACGCCACCTTGTTGTCGCGTACATTCTCCTTGGGAAGCGGCGTCCTCTTGCCTGCTGAATTGGGTGTTGCCGTTCCGTTGACAACACCGCTCCACTTCTTGCCGCCATCCTTCTGCTTCTCGGAACCGTTGACCTGGTTCCATCCTCCTTTATCCGGCTCTTCCTCTTCCATGTCGAGCTGAGTGAAGAAATTCTTGCTCTTCCCAGCATCGTTCTTGTGCTGTTCGAGGGCAGCTGCTAGAACCTTGGGATCCTCCTCAGCACCACCCTCGGCAACCTCTTCGGCGCGGATACGCCGGATCATGGTGTCGTCCATACGGATCCACTCCCTTCCTTCCTGTCGGCGAATGTCAACCGTGTAATGGCCACCGCTGGCGTTCTTTCCATGATGGTACACAACGCCTGTCAGCCTGTAGCGGGGGAAGCCTCCCTGAACTTGGTAGCTTCCTCGTTTGTGTGGAGGGAAGACTTCCTTGGGAAGCTCCAGCTCCAATGGGTACCCGATCTTCTTCCAGATCTTCTGGGGGCCCTTCTCGTCGTAGTGAAAGCGTTTAAGGTGAAGAATCAGGACTGGTGGCAATGTCTCGATGTGTACTTGCTTCGTCGACGCTTTGGCACCGCGTGCGGCACCATCCAGTGTCTCCAGACGAGTAAGGTTCTTTAAAGCATCGGAGATGTTGTTTATGTTCTGCTCGCCAATGTCGAGTTGAAGCGGCTGATATGGCTCCAGCGTGACCGAAGCCTTCTCGCCGGGCCTCTTGTACTCGGATCGGAGTTTGCCGCCAAAGATCTTGGTAACGGGACTCTCGATGTCAATAGCACCAGAGTTTTGAGTAACAGCTGTTTTCTGTTTGTGTCCGACCTCTTCCCAGCCGCCATCCACTGAACCGGACCGCTCAGTCTTGGGTGATGTGATAGTGTCTGCAGGCTGGCTCTGTTTTCCGGTTTTGATGATATGAACACACTCATCATGCAGCCCAGCAAGCAAAAATCCTAGAAATTCTTCCGCATCCTCTTGCTGGCCACGCTTCATATTGTCGAAACGAGGAAGACGCTTGATCACATCGTACACGTACTCCGGAGTCAGCGGCTCACCATACTGCTCCAGATCATTGCCTTTCAACCGAAGACGAAGCTGTTCAACAGTTGCAGCTGAGTCAATGAGCTTGAAGTCGCGCAAAAACATAATCATCGCATCGACCAAAGGAGTCTCGGACTTGAAGCTATGCACAGCGCGCTTAGCGACCTGATCCAGAAAGTCGTAGAAAGGAACGCAGAAAAGAAGAACCTGAAGGATCTGGAAATTATTAGCATTGCACTTGGTAAAGCAACAGCATCTGACTCACGGAATTCATATAGCACAAATTGCCCGTATTGACAAGACCGCGGGGCTCAAGAAAGGAGACCTTTTTCTCCGAATCGACAGAGAAAGAGGCCAAGATATCGGCAAGCGTGTTGCTCTTTGGGACAACCGGGCCGCTGGGAGCAGCCACAGTGCCATTAGGAGTAGGAGCCGGTTGCGCTGGGGCTGGGGCATTCTTTGCTCGAAGTAGCTCTGCCCATGACTTTGGTGCCATAGGCTTCGGCGGAGACGACTTTGGGGTCTCTTCAGCATTACCACCAGCTTCTGAAGTAGTCGCAGTGGTTTCTTGAGCTTGCGTAGACTCATGCTCAGCTATGGCAGGAGCCTTAACCGACTGCTGTGTGGTAGAAGCTGCGCTTGGCGCCTTGGCGTTCCTGATGGGGACGCGGGGCACAGCGGGTATGGTGGAGTTGCGGGCGTGTTTCTTGGGTACAGAGGTCTGGACCGATGTTTGCGCAGTCGAAGGTGTCGTCGTGGACGGAGTCGTGGGCTGCGCCAGATCGACTTCGGAGGGCGGGTGCGAGGTAGAGGGTGTGTCGACCTCAGCATCAGAGGGACCGGCGATGGTGGACGCCTGCGACTCCTCGGGCTCCTCGGTCGGAGTCAGGTGGCCTTCAGTGTCCTGATCAGCTTCCTCAGTGGCACCTTGGTCGACAGCCTGCTCTCGGGAGGGCAGGGCGAGACCCTGTTCCTCGGTAGACACAGGAGCCCTCCGCCGTCTCCGTCCCCGTGAGGCGCGCGGGGGAAATTCGGCGTCAGGAACAGAGAGCCAGGGTAGAGGCGGATAGAAGGGCTTGAACGTGGTCGACTGCGGGGTCAGGGGAGCTGCCGGGACTGGCTTTGGCTCGACGACAGGCGGAGGGCTGTCGACGGTGGCGCTGGTCTGCGGGGTCGAGGAAGACATGTGCGTCTGCGAGTGAACCGAAGGGGTTGAGGGCGCGGCTTGAGGCGTAGGCATGCGCGGCACTGGCGGGGTGCGCGAATGGACAATGGGGGGCGTTTGCCCCATGGCCCGGTTGACTGGCGGCACCATGTGAAGATGTGAAGAAACGACTACAGGCGATGCATGGGGCTGCGGCTGAAACTGGCGCGGGGGCATGGCATATTGCGGCGGCGGCGGTGGTAGGGGCTGCTGGTAAGAAGGGTACCACTGTTGCATGGGCTGCATGTGCTGGGGATAGCCGTGGGGAAGGCCATACTGCTGCATGTGGTGGTAGGGGGCAGCATAGGGATTGTGGTGGACGGGCGATTGGGCCTGGGGCGGCATGTGGTGGTAGTACTGCTGCTCAGCTTGCCTCCTAGGCATATATGGGCCGGGCATCATGGGCGATTATGCGCCGTGTTGCCTCGACAGTCGGCGCCGGCTCGAAACCAAGCAGCCAACTTGTGAGGCAACGGGGAAAAGACGATGAGGCGACGGGCTTCTCTGCACCAGTGATGGCGCCTGATGCGATGGGCGTCGGTGCGGGATGGGCGCGCAGGGACTTGTCGAGAATTATTTGAATGCCAGACAGGGTCGCGCGACGGCTGTAGGCGAGGGTTGAGGTGTGAGTGGGCGAGCAAAGGATGGCGGGGTCATGGTATCAGGACGACATGAGCGCAGCGGAGGCTGCCCGCGAAAAGGAAACGCGTGGAGTGGAGGGGGTGAAGTTGAATTGGCCTGGAGATGGGGTTGGGGTTGGTCTTGGGTCGGCCGGTAATGGAACAAGTTCGAAGGCGTTCCGAAAGAGTAATCGTCTGTGCGGAGACGCGGTCGCCAGCGATGAGCGATGGACGGCCAAGAGTGATGATGACTGAATGCTAACGCGTGTGCGAGCAGACTGACGGGTGGATAGCTCGGGATACAGACGCCGCCCCAGCAGTACGGGTAGGCTTTGCTTCAGGTAATGCCCTGTAGGCTGTAGCGCAAACATGAAGCGTCCGCGCACGTGATGTCGCAAGTCGTCATGATCGCATCTGTCCGCATCCGCCACTCCACCTTCTGACCCTCGTCCCCGACACGCACCCTCTTGGGGACCCAACACTCGCAATTAGACCCCCATCGCCTTGATACTATCCCTTTTCTGTTTCCCCGTCTCTTTCCGCCATTTAGACCCTGGTTTGCCGTATTCGGTACCCCATCTGGCCTCGCAGACGAAGCCGGGTCCTGGTTCCTGGTTCCTGCGCGACCGCGCCAGCGTCAGCATAAACCGAGTCAAGTTTGGATTCCGAACCGCTCATCTGTGCGCATGCTTTTGTGAAAGCCTCGGCACTTGCAAATCCGACTTTTTCCACGGCCGTAGAGACTCGACTCTTCATAACGGTCGGCATTGTTAGCGTCATCGTCATCTATCGTGAGCCCTTGATTGGGAGTCATGTCTAGCAACCCACCCGCCGCGTCCTCGTCCAAGGCCTCTGCATCTTCCGGCCCTGCTTCCCCTGCCCAAAACCAGACTCCGTCCCTGAGCACCAGCAGCTTCTTCGCGCAGCCGCGGGGTAGTGCAGCGCCGGCGCGATCAGCGCCTACGCCTCGGAGCACGCAGCAGCAGAAGAAGCAGCACAAGGGCGCCAAACGCTTCAGGAACACCGACGAGGATGCCATTGTAGAGTCCCTCGCCATGCGTCCATTCAACAACCGCAAGGGCCAGACGTCCATCACCCACCTGATGAACTTCAGTCTGCCGCCACGGCCCACGAACAACCAGTCGCACAGCTATGGAAGAAATTACCGTCGCAATCCAACCTGGGGTCTCGGGTCTGGTTACCACGCCGTCGACAAGGCAAGGTGAGCAGTTTCCACCAGTCGCAGTTGCTGTATGGCTAGGCTAACGCTGCTAGATATGTGCATGCCAACTATCGCTTCATTGTAGATCCGCGTGGCGACTACCGCGCCCAGAGTGTAGACGCAGATATTCATCTGGACTGGAATAACGTCCTCCAAATATTGGCGTCCGAGCTCTCACAAGAGGCCTCCTGTCCCATTTGCCTCGGGACTCCAGTAGCCCCGCGCATGGCCAGATGTGGTCACATTTTCTGTCTCCCCTGCCTCATACGCTACATGCAGTCCGAAGACGATGGCAAAGCCCCGGAGAAGAGGGCGCGTTCCAAGAAGTGTCCACTATGCTTTGACACCATCTACGCTTCAGAGACCAGACCCGTTCGCTGGTATACGGGGCAAGAGGGCGAGCCTCCACGAGAGGGAGGTGACGTTGTCTTGCGCTTAGTCGTCAGGCCTGCTGGTAGTACTCTGGCCATGCCGCGCGACGGAGCCGATGCTCTAGCCAAAGACGAAGACATCCCCTGGTACCACGCTGCCGAAGTCACCGACTATGCCCGTGTAATGCGAGGTGGAGAGGATTACATGCTCAAGCAGCTGGATCAAGAGATTGTCAAGCTGGAGCAGCAGGGCAAAGAAGACGAGGTCATGTTCGCAGAAGACAGCATGGAGTGGACTAAGAAAGCAATCCGAAGTATACGTGAGGCAAAGGAAAAGCTTAAAGGAATCGGAAATCCCCCAGAGGAGCCAGCGAAACCGGCAGAACCAAAGATGAAGCGAGCGCCAATCGTTTTCGAACAAGGAGCTGCACCGGACATGTACACGATTCAGAACGCTTCCAAGGCAGGCCAAGACTTTACAGCAGCACAGAGTAGCACCGGGAATGGACCTGCCCAAGACAAAGACAGGACCATGTCTGTCTCGTCTCACTCGTCAGCTGCAGGTCACGATATTTCCCTCACTCTCGCGGAGCTACGCAACCGACAACAACACGAGCATCACAAGACTCCGTCTGAATACTTCTTTTATCAAGCACTTCTGCATTATTATTTATCACCACTCGACATTCGTATTTTGAAAGCCGCTTTCGGCAATTTTGCATCATTTCCTTCGACTATTTTACCCCGCGTCGAACATGTTTCCACAGGCCATGTGGTCGATGACGAGCTGAGGAAGCGCACCAAATACCTGGCTCATCTACCATATGGGTGTGAGGTTGGTTTCCTCGAATGCGATTGGACTGATACCGTCGCACCCGAGATTTTGGAGCGATTTAGGCCTGAGATTGAGAGAAGACGCAAGAAACATACAGAAAAGGAGACGAAGGAGGAGAAGGCGCGACAACGCGCGGAGAAGGCCGAGTACGCCGAATTCGCCTCGTCGCGTAGGAGGCGACCCAGCTTTACTGAAAGGTTTTCCGCCGACGATTTCCAGCCCTTGGCCTCTGGAAGCACATCTGAGGTGCAGCCCACCATGGATGGTGACCACACATCAACATCACCACCATGGCCATCACGCCGTGGTGATGGTTTCGCTTCATTGGCATCTCCTTCGACTAGTCCGTCAGCGCCACGGACTGTGTGGGGTACTGCGATGGTGGCAGGGGCATCGCCGGTGCTTGCGCCACAGGATCATCATGATGGTGATGATGGCTGGCTACAGGGTTGGGAGAAGGACCTCCTTTCCGAGGAAGACATGCTGGCCCAGGTACAGGCCATGTCACTGGCCGAGGGGGAAGAGACGCCGAAGAAGCAGGCAGGTGGGAAGAAGAAGAAGGGAAAGAAGATCACGTTGATGAGCACCAATGTGAGGAGAGGAGCATGAACAAATAGTTTCGTTAGCATCACCGAGTAGCGCGGGGCGAAAGGGAGCAATGAAGGAAATCCAACATGGTTTCCTGAATCAATTCAAATCCTCGTGAAGTAGTCGGGTTTAGTGAAGAAGTGCAGGTCTAGCAAAGATCAGGCTGGAAAGTCGCAGCCAGCAGCCATGCTAGATCAAGCAAGCACCACAGCCGGCTGTACCTCCCATCTTGATCGGAGGCCTTGAGTCTACCCTGCCAACACTTCGTCCCCCTCCACTTTCACCTCCACCTCCGCCGCCACTGCCCGGGCCCGCGTTGCCGCGCCCATGCATGCCAGCCTGGTAGCTGTCCGGTCCTGGTGTGGTAGTCGCTGGACGGTAATACGAGTTGGTGCCTGGTGCCCGGTAGGGAGAGCCTCGTGCTGCGGCCCACGTGTCGAGCGAGAACAACGTGGTGAGATAGAGGGCGAAGAAGGTAATGAGTGTGTCGCGCGTGCGGGAGACGAGGGACCTGAACTGGTCAGTAAGAGTGTGCAAGGGAGGGTGATGACTTTACTTGTGGCCTTCCATGTTGGCCCAGACGTTCTTGCTACTTGTTGCTGCAGAACAACAGCAAAGGGTGATGGCTTGTGAGAAAGAACGTGGGAGTAGTTGACCGTGGTCGCTGCCTACCGGTAGGGCTGAACAGGGGTGCTCACCGCGATCCGCGCTAACGCAGGACAAGATGCGCCTCTTTTTATTTTCTCTGCGACTTTACCTCCGACGCATGCGACACATAGTAGCAACCAAGTATTGATCTTCACCTCCTTCACTTAGCGACTATTCCGTCGCGACAGATAAGTTGAAAATCTTACCAAATTTAAAGCTTCAATGCGCAACAGCGACGATAATATCGTCGTCAAAATGCCGTCGCGAACCGCAGAAAACATAAAGGTAAATTAATCGTGCTTAACTCAAACTTGACGGATGCTGATGTCATTGCAGAAGCGCAAGGCATCGGCCTCGGCCTCGGTCGTAGTTCATCAAAACTCACATGACAACTCCAGCCCAACTAAGAAGAGGAAAAGCGATAATCAGGAGCAATCCATGGAAGATGTTGATACATCGAAACCCACTGCGATTTTCAATCCAACCAAAGGCCGAGACTGGACCGTCACCATCGCCTTACCTGGTAGCTGGACTCTCAACGCGAAGAAGCCCGACCACAAGACCATTCAAGTCGGCCGCATCGCACGCGCAGCGGCCATCTACTGTGTCGACGAAATTGTTGTGTTCGACGATGATCCCGTCAATATCGACCCCAGAGTCATCGACCCCAAGTACATTCGGAAAGGACGGTCAAAGCAACAAGTCCTAGATTCTATCCTGGAGCAAGATGAAGCATGGCAAAACCCAGACCAATTTCTATATCATTTGCTATCCTTTGCCGAGTGCCCTCCTCATTTGAGGTATGATCGCGAGGATCATCGGTTGAGTATCTTTAAGGAACATCAAAACCTCAAATGGGTTGGCAACCTGCCCAGCATGGACATGCCACATCATCTCAGGAGCCATGAGTGGTGTCAATACCGTGAGGGTGTCTTTGTCGGTCCAGCACCCCCGCTGCCGTCTACGCCCAAGAGCAAGAAATCAAAGAAATCAAAGGATGAGCAAGGATACGCATATGTCAAATGTGGTCTTCCGTATCCAGTTCGGGTTCCGACACCAAAGGATGTACCCATCGAGGAGGGCATGCGCACCACGGTCCGCTTTGCCAATATCGACCCACCGAATAATTGGCCACATCTTTCGCAAGTCGACTGCGATAACCTGGATGCTACAGCATGCGCTGCTAGTCTACCGCGTGAGGAGGGAGGCTACTACTGGGGTTACACCGTCCGACGCGCTGCGTGCCTCAGCGACGTCTATTCTGAATGCGAATACCCCGGCGGCTATGACTTTTCCATTGGCACCTCAGAGCGTGGCCAATCTGTCTACTCATTCATCTCGGGCGTCGGTCCATCTCAATCAGTCACGTGGACAGGAGATGTCGCCAAAGCCCCCGAATCCTTCAAGCACTTGCTTATCGTGTTTGGCGGTCAGGCCGGTATAGAACCGGCAGTGGCCAACGACCCGGTACTTGGGAAGGAGCTTAACAAGTCCACGGCAAACTCTATTTTTGACGCGTGGATCAATCTGGTGCCGGCACAAGGCAGTAGGACAATCAGGACCGAGGAGGCGGTCACTATCGGTCTTTGTTCGCTCAAGCCTTGGATTGATAGCATGAGAGAGGAGTGAGCAGGTATACCGAGTGGGGGCGATTAAGCATCTTACAGCACAAGCTTTGAGGGGTATCTGGGGCAATGCACCTAACAAAGGGTACAGTGATAACTGTAGCTTGGAAGGTCGAAATCCTGGGGATGAGATCGGACCGGTTGTAGGGTTATTGAGCAAGTGTCTAAATCCATTAGGTACACGTAAACAGTGAACGTATGTACGTACCGGTGCCGGTGCCGGTACCGCTATCTCAATGTCTCCGTTTCCCCATGAAACCATGAAACTCTCTAGTCTCATATACGTATTTACATGCGAATCATCAGTTTATGACGTTATTCTACCCTGCAGAAATATTCTTTCCTTGACCTTCTTCCTCTTCCGTCCAACGATCGCCCAAACCTTATTTCCAGCGCTTCCCGACAAAACTTTCAGGTTGGAGAACCTGTATTCAGGATCGGAGCCGAGTCAATGCTATCTCGTATAAGATGACGCAATGGTCATGTGTTTCACTAATGCCGATGAGCCGCAGTCGGCGCTAATCACGGAGTCTTACTGGCAATACGAGGTAATGATATTCTTCAATATCCATTCACTTTAGTGTCCTTATGTAACAGAAAACTAGCGTAAGAAAGAATGTCACCGCAAAGGTCTCGTGTGCCCATACACACGTACACACATACGCAAACATACCAAACGAGGAAGATCAATTTTTGGAACCTTGTGGCTTCCGAATGCTTCGCTGCCTTTTGTTAGAATTGCCACCGGGAGATATTGACCGAGTTGTTATACAATCAAAGTGGAGGTACCTAGAACAAGTGTGCGCTGGGAAATAAGTTTGGTTTTTAGTGTGTGGTAAATTGATTGCAAGAAGAAGACTAGACAAAACGAGCAAGTTGTAGGACAATGGACCTGTGATGATAATCCCACTAATTACTAATTAACATCCCACTTGGGACAGATGGTAGAGGGAGGCTATGTGAGGAGGCTGGATTGTGGGATAAAAAGCACAGGTATATCGCTGGGCATGTCATTGGAGATCATAGCCCGTGCACTCGACACTTGGAGCACGTGGGCATCTCCGTATGCCCCGCAGAACAGAGGATACTCGAGACACCCCAAGAGACGTGCGTGAACAAAGATCTGGGGATACATGGGTACACGAATGCTTCTTTTGCTTACTCATGCACAGGGGGGAGACAAGGAACGGGAAGCCTCGCAGCGAGAATTGGCTGTGCGTGTTTGTTTACATGAAGAGAATGGCAGCAGTTAGTTAGATTAGACGTATATCACAAGGTGGAGAATATCTGGGTGACTTTCAAGAACCAAGCGACGTATATGGTTCACAGGATTGTAGACTGTATGGTGACAAAGGCACACGCTCAATGTCCAAGAGGACACTGAAGGAGGGCTTGTAGGGTGTAAATGCATTCAAAATTGCTAAATGTGAACGAGGAGAGTTTGGTGGAGCCAAGATCTGCTCTTCTGTACGAAATGAGCACGTTCAGGTAGTGTACAAGGTATGATGTGCGAATTATGAAAAATCATGTCATAAATTCGATAAAGCTAACATTCCCTCATCATGCTGTCGTGACCGTACGTAACTATAGCCTATTCCCATTCACTACTATGTACAAATTAACCACGCAGCTCCGCTACGTGCCTTGAAGATTGTATGCCGAAATGTCCACCGCCGTATCCCACACATATCCCAAGTCTCTCTCATTCCCCGGTGGGGCGCATCTAGAGGAAATCACCACCAAGGCACCTTTTTGGAGGAATTTTGGTCCTGGCGCATATAGAAATGAGGCCGTCAACCCATGTCATATCACCATATTGCTTCTCGTCGAGCGTGTCAATCATATAAGGTCCCCAGGTACCACCACCGCCAATGACACTCGTAAATACGTGCCCGGTCTTTCGATTCGTCCACGCGTTGGTGACGAAGGCGCCGTACTTGTTCGCTGGTACAGGACCAATAAAGGCAGTAGTATCTACAGTCGACCATTGCCTTTGCTTTTCAGCATTCCCGCCGATTGTGAAGATTGTTGGTACCGGGCTCAACTCTCCCCTGGCACCGAAGGTAACGCTGTTGCCGACCGTGAAGCCCTTAGATACGGAAATGGTAATAATCCCCTTTGTCAGATCACAGATATCTCAGCCACGCGATCGGCCGCACTGATCTCGGTCACGCGGACAGGCGCACTGATCGCGGCGTCCGAGCAGCGCTCAGACCAGACCTCCTATATCTAGCTCTTCCATAGTTCTCCTCCGCAAGACAATCAACCAGAACAATCACCGAGCAGAATTCATTCCTAGTTATCGTTATTTCCTTCCAGCACTAGTGCTATAGACCGACCAACACCCTTGGCTATGTTGCTCATACGAACATCCCAGCCCAGCAACCTGCTTTAGGGTCCAGGTACCGTGATCTGGATTGTTCCGCGCGTCCCGTGTCGCTCATGTAGCGGAATTTCGCGCTCCGTGCAGTTTCCAGGTTTAACAGATCTGGACTGAACGGTCTTGTTGGAAGGCCAGTTTGGGTAGACCACCTTTTCGCCGTCCCAGCCGGCCGGGGCAGGTGGCGGGACGGGGTTGCTGCGGAGTTTGTCGAGCAGGCCAAATTCCGAACGCATACAGAAACCGAAACACTGGAGGCGAACACTGGGATTCATGCAAAGACTGCAAAATGGTAAGATATAATCAGCGACTTTTAACTTCAAATCACACACGCTAACAATCGAATACAGGTTGTCATCAGCAACATGCCAATGTGCTTTTCTGACGCTAAGCACTTGGGAGGCGACGAGGTTGAATACTACTGCAAAAAATTCGGTGCTGGCACCTCCTTGGCATGAGGGCGCTTGTGAGGAAGTTAGGAGGGAGTGACAGTCTGTACATATAATTGGGTTCTGCGGGAAGCAGTGTGACTACCATTATGAGGATGTTTTATATGGCCGTTAAATGAATATGATATAATACCAAACCCATCTGCTTCACAACATATTTGAATTATTTTCTGTTTACTTGTGCTTACCACTAGTATTATGGTATGTAGTGATTAGGAGGCCATAGGGTACATGGTGAAGATACCGCCCATAAGTCATTTTCACACAGAATATATCAGAACTTATACTTCTATTGAATTTTCAAATTTCTAAGAATCACCATTGATTCACAATGTCGCGTTCCATGGTAAATGTTTTGATTACAACTCAGCACAACCTTCATGACTTATGCACACGCTGTATGTAGAGCACTCGTGGGAAAGTCTTGGGGAAGTCCTGCAGACGTTCTTGCGGAGAGCCTGCGGACAGTGTTGCGGAGAACCCGGGAAAACCTATAGCTACCTACTATTCTGCAACCACACGACTCAACATGAACTCTACGACCATAATGAAAACATACGCTGTACATAGAGAACCCACAGGAAATTTTTGCGGAGAATCCATAGGAAAGTCTGACGAAGAACTCACTCGCAAAGATAATCGACCCCTGGTCTCATATACCCACACATGGTTGAATGATGTGCTGGTGACCACCGAGAGGGACCGATGAACCCTTCTGGTACTCTGGTCCAAATCACGGACTCTGGTGTGATAGTGACGTTTCGACAGTCTTCGCCTTGTTTGAGACTTGTCGTTGAAGCTTACATGCTCTGGCGAAGTGGCTGGATCTAGCGACTATCCAGCGCCGTAGCGTTTCCGAGTTCCTTCTTCCTCTTCTCTAGCTCGACACCAAATTTCTCCACCAGTTAATGGGGAAAGGATTGACCGCTCAGGGCATGGAGGCCCAATGTCCGGACGGTACCCAGCACTTGCAATAGGTATTTGATATGCTGGAGTGCACGAGTCTCACAGATGGAAGAGATTCGTGCCGTCTAGCCGTTCAGATGGCTAATGAAGGATGTGAGCATCAAGGATAGTCTGGCGATGGAGCATTTCAATATGGACAATTACACCGAAGTATTTGCATCTCTTCTGAAAGAAAACCTGCTTTTTGCTAGTATGGCATCATCTTGGCAGCGTTTGTAAAGATACCGCCATCGACGATCCAGCTTTTGAAGAGCTTTCTGGTACCAGCTTAAGCTGGCGTAGAGCACACAATTGGACTGCCAGGAGTCGCAACCCCTCGCCCCTCCTTTTGTTTCCCCTCCCAATGGCCATGATAATTATCTTGCGATGGCCGACACCAAGAAGTCCAAGATCACGGCGAGGCATAAGAGTCGGTTGGATCCAAGATTCTTAGTTGATTGTAAGCCATGTATATACAGAACCTACGCATTCATCATAGAATATCTCAAGAAGCCATAGGTACCAGAGCACCCACAAAAAGTGATCCGTCGTAGTGGAAAACTATCGACTTGTCGCTAGGCATCATGTCGGCGTTCGCGTCCTGTACAATGGAGCCCTGGAGTAGGTAAACGAGCTGTGATGGAAGCGCTTTCCACCCACCGCCCCTCCTGCCCCAGTTTGCACGTGGAGGAAATGCCGGTGGGTAGAAAACACCCCACCTCCTGCCTTGTCGAATTCCGATTTGTGCACCTTAGCGGCCCGCGAGATATACGTAGGCTAGCAATTATGCAGAGGGTAGCTGGTAGAGGCGCCTACTCGGGCCTGTTGCGCTAACTAACTAACGTACTAGTTAGTTAGGCATCGCGACAATGGGGCAAAAGCTTCTAGAAACCACGTGGGCGTGCAAAACATGCCTTGGCGTACATTGTCGGCCCGGTTGTTTAGGCGCCGAGGTGAGTCAGCTCGTACCCTCGCTCGAGACGAAGCCGAATACAATTCATGGTGGAGCTGACGACCGTGTCAACCTAGCTGCGGGCCGTCCGGATGTTTGAGACTAGGGACTTGAGCATTGCCTTATCAACAACCAGACGCCAATGCACAAACAGCTGCTACTATTACTACCCAAACTGATATGTGCGCTTGATGCAATGCACTTCCAAAACCCCTAATTTAACTCAGAAGTAAAGATTTTCGCGGGAGAACAAACGCCGTATAGGCCTTGACCAGATCGCCCGACATATACAACTACTCTTTTACCATCCAAGTCCTAACGCTATCTCTAGTAGTCTGTTTTAAATAAACATTGCCATCAATATCTTGTGATCTTCTGACGTGATAGGGATGTCACCGGCTTGACTTTTCATAGTCGCGACTTTCCCTCTCCTCACTCCCTTTCTGCAGTACTGCATGCTACCTAGGTACCATGTCCTTCTTGTATGTCTCTTCAGAAACAAATTTCCTGCAAATATTATCCATTTGATTATACCATGGTGCAGTAGATGGTTACATGCCGTAGGCGTTAGGTGATCAGGGCTAGGGCTAGAATTCTCAGGGAGGCTTCAGCAGGAGAACACCTGATATCTCTTCCTTTTTTGGATAACTTGATGCCTCTTATTTAAACTCTGCTCATTGCACATTAGCGGCGGACTCTCTTCTGATCATTAGGCTACCACTCTACTACGTTTTCCTCCAGTCTCCACAATGTAAGTTTTATTGTCATCATTTGTAAGGACTTCCTCTTGTATATGATGGACAACGTGCTAGAAAACCTATAAGTGCCAAATGATTTTAGAACTATAGAATAGAACCATGTCCACTTTAGCTAGGAGTGGCAACACAAGCGGCGCATGCTCACCTCAACTGTGTGCAGTGAGCCCAACACCCTGCGACCTCCACTAGCTGCAACATACGTCATCACTAAGACTGCAGACTACGGCTATGGTATCCTGTTAAGAACAATTCCGCATTTTATTTGTTAGTGCTTAACGGCTGGAAGTTGTTTGTCGTAGTTGCCGAATATATGCAGTCTGCGTACTAAGCATGCAGTTAGCGTTCATAAGCTGTACCCAGCCAATGAAAGTTTTGATTTCTGTATGTGTACAGACAGCATTGGATACGGTTTAGAGCATCTTTCCTTGAGGATTTACTAAGCAACATTATGGTGCTGCTGTGGTACTTAAAAGCTGAAGATTGTGTCTAATCCCCCTGTCCCTCCCTTCATCCTATCTCTTGACTGTCTTTGTTCAGTTGAATCTTTGTCTTCGCCCAATATGCCGCTTTCCAACGATGGGAAAGTGAACGAGACTAGCAATGGACTCGTCAATAAGCTTCGTGAGATGGCTGGTGACGTCCCACATAGCTTCAGGCCGGGTACGTTCAACCGAATCATGTCTGACAATGAACGTAGCTCACATACAAGCCTGTAAGCCCATGCAAAAGGCCATCTATTGAGCGGAATTTTCTTTCCAACAGCCACCGCATCGGGTCTATCTTCGGCCCCGCATTTCAACGAACCTTCTACACCACTCACTGTTCGTTTCTCCTCATCCACCGGCATACCCCAAATACCCGATAACGACGCAAACGCAAACCCGAGGGGTCTGGCAATTCGCTTTCACCTACCCTCTCCCGACGGAAAGCGTCACCATACCGATATCATAACGCACTCTACGCCGTACTTTCCTACACGTACAGGCGGAGATTTTCTCGAGTTCTTGCAGGCAGCAACAGGGGATAATCCTGGGGAGGCCGTACCTGAGTTCTTGGAACGGCATCCGGAAACCTCACGGTTTCTGAATGAGGTGAGACTAAGCCCCGAGAGCTTTGCTACGGAGAGGTTCTTCGGCGTGAATGCATATCGATTCATCAATAAAGAGGGCCAGGTCACGACTCTGAGATACCGGGTTTTGCCAGCTGCTGGTCAGAAGTATATCGATTCAGAAGGGTTGAAGGGAAAATCTTACCTCTTCGATGAGTTGCCTTTGCGTTTGGAATCTGGGGAAGTTAAGTTCAAACTTGTAGGACAGGTCGCTCAAGAGGGTGACGTGACGGACAATGCGACTGTCCTCTGGCCTGAGGAGAGAAAGATAGTCGAGCTCGGTATCATCAAGGTTCAAAAAATAATGAGCGATTCAGAAAGTCTCCAGCAGCAAAAGACTATCATTTTCGACCCGATACCACGTGTTGAAGGGGTGGAGCCGAGCGATGACCCACTCCTAGACGTCCGCGCCAGCACCTATTTGATTTCTGGGAGACAGAGAAGAGCAGCAGAGTAGGTATGGAAGCCAACGAGATATCTCTGTCTGTCGAGAGGGTTGGTTAATGAGCGTGTCTATACCTGGTTATTAGCTACAGCCGGAACTAATTTTATGATGCTCAAAACTTATCTGGCTGGGCAGTGTAAATGGCCAAGTAGTTATTAGCAAGTCGGTGCCGTGTGAAGACGTCGCTGCACCCGACCAATACACAGGGCAACCCTATCAGTACTTGCAGTGCAGCGGTGAGCTTGTTCATTAATAGCACAATTAACGCTCGCGCCATTTTTTCAGTGCTAGGCTACATGACAATGCGGCCTGTCACAGTCGTCAACACGAACGGTTGGATGTCAGCATGCCCTATCGTGCGGCCCTTGGGTTCTTTGTTCTTTGAGGTTGAGGCGTTGAACTCGTAGCGAGGAGCCCTATCAGATAGCGCGACATGTACGAATGGGTGGGCGGATGTGACATATGATAGGAGCACAAGAAATGTTCATTCACAGGACATAGTGTAGGCTCTCGCCAAAGCTCGTGAGAAGCGGGATATATGATGGATTGTCAAGTGTGTTTCTACCATTCGATATCCCTCTTCATCCAGCCACTATTGAGAAGGGGTATTGCGTGGTGAAGTCATATAGTCGGTTCGATAGCTTGGTGCCTTTGTCTTGATAGTGGCATGCAGGGCGTCGAGGGGCTGCCAATGCGATGGAAGTGGAGCTGCGGGGAAGATGACCGATCTTCTTGGCAACGCCTCCCTCGACACTTCACAACACACTTCTTGATTTCGCACGCTCTCATTCGCGAAACGCCTCCAATATCAGCTGCAGAAGGATTTCAGGCCTCATTTTGCAAACGAAAAGCAGTTTGCACACCCCTTTACGATGTTGGACATGATCAAACAGCACCTGGACAGCGTTTAGCGACGTGTCCAGGTGTAGCTCTTGCCCACTTCCAGGGCGTCATGTCTGGCGCTTTCTGTAGTAAAAAATGAGATTTGATCCTCAAGATCACCCGCTGGTGAAGATTTGTAGTCGCCTCCATTTACTGCTGCTCATCTCTCATCAAGTCCTTCACTACGCTAGTGTCATGTCCGTTGTCTCATTGGTCCAACTTCCATTCCACGAACCAGTCCCCCGGTTACTACTCGTTTTTCACTTCCCTACTTTGTGCGACGTCGCGCTCGAGAGTCTTGTACCCCTCATCAAGTGAATCGTACTTGGTCTATTGGGCTACCGCCCTGACAACACATGGAGAAACCCATGCTCTGGCGTATATTAATCTGACATCTGAGGCTGGAACACAACTCTACGCCGTTATCCAATGATCAATCGCACCATCTGTTTTGAGGTTATCCCTTCTTACAATCGAGTTTCCCGATAGAAAACCCTTGCGCCGCACCGCTACCCTTGGCTACCCTTACGGGTCGCTACAACGGTAGATCCTTGCTGTTTCCATACCGACCTCATCTGTTATTCACAGAGAAATTACTTGTTGCAGCCTCACAGTCTACGCTACCTAACTAAACCATCAACCCAAGTTCCAAATCCCCTTCTCAACACGATCAACCATGGCAACTCCACTGTCATACAGCAAAGATCTTGCTCTTGTATTCGCCACACGGACATCGTCGACACTCTCTGTGGTGGGCTCAATATTTATAATAACCACATTCGTCTTTTTTCCCTATTTCCGAAAGCCGATTAACCGACTCGTCTTCCTAGCGACTTTCGGCAACATCTTAACTAACACAGCAACATTGATATCGATCGCAGTACTACCTGAAGGTGCTTCTCCGTCTTCTAGTCTCTGCCAAGCTCAGGGCATAGTGATTCAATGGTTCATGGTAGCAGATTCGTTCTGGGTAAGCCAGTGTACCATCATCGACATCTTCAGTGCTAATGTCTATAGGTGTTTTGCATGTCTACCAACGTTTTCCTCGTATTCTTCTACGGCTACGATGCTCAGCAGATACGTCATCTGGAGAAGTGGTACTTTGCATTCAGTTATGGGATTCCGGCCCTGCCAGCTATCCTGTATGTAATCCTCGAAAATACTGGACATCCAGTCATAGGGTCCGCTACTCTATGGTGCTGGGTAGCGACTGACGTCGAGTGGATGAGAATTGCGTTTTTCTACGCCCCAGCCTGGATCGTTATAACTGCTACTCTCACCATTTATGTTGTTACCGGATATAGAATATGGAGAAGACGTGTTGAGCTTCGCTCCATTTCTCGCAATTCTCGCCAAGCCGCCGCCACGATACAGACCCCAAACATTGTTCCAGACAACGACATGTTGCCTCTTTCCGATGCCAACAACATCATTGTAACGACTCAAATTACACAAGATACGAATTCAATCACCTCTTTTTCAAGCACTCGGATGCTAGCCGAGGCCAATACCGTCCAAGATACGACTATATGTATCTCCAAAGCTCTGCCTGAAGACATCGAAGGCCAGCGCACAGTAAATTGTGGCCGAAATGAACGCAGTGTATATAGGGCGACCATCGTCGCAATCGATACATCGGCAGAGTCTACTGAGGGTCCCAACACGTTGTCGACATCCTTCCCAGAAATTAAGAGAACCACCGAGGGCAATGCTGCGGCAATGGCATACTTCCAGGTCGCCTTCCTCATGTTCTTAGCGCTATTTGTTGTATGGTTACCCAGTAGTATCAATCGGATGTTCCAGTTCGTTCACAGGGATCCTAGCTTCTCGCTCAACATCAGCTCCGCAATAGTATTGCCACTTCAAGGCGCCTGGAACGCTGTGATATACATTTCTACAACCCGGAAAGAATGTAAGCGAGCTTGGGGCATGACCCTGTCCAGGCTTACCGGAAAGCCATTACGATGTCAGCCACAACGAAACGAGACCATGACAAGCTCACAAGAGACGCGGGATTCTACCGCCGAGATAGCGCTCGATGAAATCCTCAAGGAGGGCAGTCATTTGCGGTACTCAGAGGCTTATAGCACCGATGGAGTGGAAGGCGCTAGATGCCATCGCAACCTAGGGTCAGTCTAGAAGTTCAATGTTTCTCAACTTCTTTGTGTTACCGTGGCACTCCAAAAGTATCACACTGCATCTACCCGCCACCCTTCATATCGCTTGAAGCCATCATTCGCGCTTCTAGTGAAACCGATTCTTCGTTTTGGGGTATTGGAACGTTCGCTTGATTGGGCTTGGATGATCCCCTTCTTTTTTATTTTGATTTGAAGTAGTTCAGCGTCATGATACCCCTCGTCATCGGCGTACGGTGTTCCTATGAGATTCGCGGACTGGGCCCAGAAGTGCGGTCACAGCAGCTTATAGTAATGGATATCAATACCTTCTAGGAACTTACTCTGCATGGATGTGACGGTCTGTCTGACATACCACACGCATGAGCGTCATGCCTGATGAAAAATGACAATGTAGCATCATGCATAGAAGCACCCGCTGCATGCACACCGTTGCATTGATTGATAACTAATTTACACTATGTTCTTAAACTCTTAATTGCTTCGACTCTCTTCTTTCAGTCTTCTGTTACGTCAAATAGCATGAGTCGCTCAAACTATGGTTCTTGTCCTCACCTGTCCATTGGTCAGATTGTGGTGTTCGCAGGGCTTTCAGACGTTGTTTTGGCAGGCACGACACTTGATGCGCTTGCACCATTGCACTGACATACGGAAGTAGTAAGCCACTCAAACCCAGACATTTGATGATGTATGCTTGACCAGGTCTACGCCTTTGCTGCTTTGGGGTCTAATCCGTTTAGTGTCTACATGGAGACGGGGGGTTGTGCATTAATGGGGTGGAAGGTGTGCCATGGTTGGGTCTACGCTCCTAGGGTAGTCGCGAATGCTGTAACTGTGATAGTGACCAACGGATAGGAGAGTGCAGCTGCGCTTCATCTCCACACAAAGAAGTCGTTCGTATTCGAGAGAAGGCCCAGGACTGAAAACGATGTAGATGCCAGAATAGTACGGTAGATCTCAGAGTATACAAAGCAAAGCTAATATCTTGACTCGTTTCTTCTTTCCTTCGTTACTCATATATACGAGTTTTTCCTACCTAACCAACGTTACCAAGCCAGGTGTTGTTTACTTACTCTCCTAATACTCCCCTCCCTCATCTCATCCTCGCATATGCCTTCCATAGCCCCGATAATAGGCTCCACATTACCCTTAATCGCCGCCAGCTTCGAATATTCCTTGATGCGTGTATAAAACACTGGACAATCTCTACTATCGCACTTGACCTGCTCGCCAGGCGCTAGATTCGCGCATCGCCTACACACAGCATCCACCTCTGTAACACGTGTCTCGCTGTTCAAGACACGGTATTTGAGCGCGAGGAGCGATCGAGCAGGCTGCTTTATACACTTCACACAAAGCGGCAGCACTGCGTACGGACTAGTTTGAGCGCCGGGTCGCTGTGTAGGTGACGAAAGTTTCGAGCGACAGACGAGGCAGTTTGATGGTTTCATGTAGCTTTCGAGTGTTCTTCTTCCATTTGATTTCGACCCCACGGGTATCGAGATGTTACGGATGCGTTGGATCTTGGGCATTTCGTCGTACCACTGCCGGACGTTTGCGCCAACGAGGTTGAAAATGCGCTCAAGTGGTGGGATCAGATTTTTGGAAATGTAGTACTCTGCATCAAGCTCGAGGTGGTTCTTTTGTAGGAGCGTCTCTGGACTGACACAACGGTCTATGAGGCGAGCTCCTAGCGCACCTGTAACGACGACGTAGGGTACACGCTCACCATATTGAGGCTCGGTGCGCGGATCTGCGAGCATGCGTTTCGTGGCAATGAGGGCGCCGGGTGGTGGTGGGCCTCTGCCAGAGTATGTGCCTAATTTGACTTCTTTGGCGAATAGGAAGTCTTGGATGCTGATGCGACCTTCCATGATCTTGAAGCATTGTTCTTGAAAGTAGCGCTTGACCTGACTGAGATCGGCTGTTCGGAACAGGATCTTTAAAGCTTTCTCTTCAATCTTCTGTTCTGCGGGCGTACCATCACGGCGGACTGTTTCGATGCCTTTTGCATCGAATTCTGGTTCCTTCTGGTTCCTGTGCTCATACTTGAAGCCTACATAGCGCTTTTTGGCAAGCAAAACGCAGGGATGATACACCTTCTCAAACTTGAGCTTGATAGGTCGTGGGTTTGCGACAGTGATGGCAGCGGTTATCTCTTCACCGATAGTGAAAGCTTCATCCTTGGTACGTCCTTTGAGATGGATGAAGATTGAATCTGTATCTCCATACACGACTTCAGCGCCCCATTTCTGCGTGGCATGTATAAGTGCAATCGCCTTTTCCAGAGTCTCACGACCGGTCTGTACAATGCTATCTGCAATCTCCGAACAGGGCATGCGCCCGGAGAATGATGCAGATGTGTATCCGTAAGTGACGTTTGCAAGAAGCTTCAACGCCAATTGCCTGTTGTTTAACAGTTGCTGCAGTGTTTTATCGTTCTTGTCCTGCTTCATGCCGCTCTTGACCATAACGCGAGTCTCCAGAATCTCCCCAAGCATCTTCGCTAGCAGCGACTTGCGCATTTCCGGCTTGACATACATCATACCATTTGGCGCAATGTTGATATGATCCTTGACCAACTCTAGCAATTGGGGCTCTCGCTTAAAGTCCATGAAGCCCATCTTATTGCGCCCACGCCAGTTGACAATCCGCCCAAGACAAGTAGAGTAGCAGTAGTTGTATGCTATCATTACACTGGGATAAAGTGATTGGAAGTCCAGGACTAAGACTGGGCTGGTGTAGAAAGCACTCTGAGGTTCCATGACCAAAGGCAAACACTCAAGAGCGTTCTGCTGACCGACTTGCTTCCGGCTTGGAGATACAAGGATGAAGTTTTCCGGCTTTGCAATACGGAACATGGTCGACTCAACCTTGAACTGTGAACCGCGCGAGATGACTGCGAAGAAGTCGACACCAAGCAGACGAGCTTGTTCGCTGGTACGTGGTACAATATCATTTGCTTCTAGGATGTCCAGATTGAGCTGTACGCGCGTGGTGAAGTAATTGATGACCTTTGTCAGATCTCGTGGTCTACCGTTCGTGTACCAAGTAGTGAGATCCGAGTGCTGATAGTGTGGTATGCGCTTGTGTAGTAGATGAAACACCACATTTTCCATCGTGTACTGTAGCAGATTCAATTCTCCGCGCATCGCTCTCCAGATGTTGATCATGTGGCGACCGGTCACCCGGATAGTGGAGGTATGCGTAAAGCCCCAACGATCCGCGTCTTTTCCAACCTTACCGGGAGACAGCGACCTAACCCTACTGATTTCCTCGCACAGGTTGTACTCGTACTTCATTCTCGCGCGTTCTATAAGATAGCCCCATGAACCATTATGTACTTCGTATCCAGTGAGAATATCCGGATCAAACTGACGCACAATGTCAACGAGGCGATTGATGAGGTCCAGCTCGTCCTCTTCGTACTCGACGTCTACCCGGACCTGTTTCGCGATGCGAACAGCAATTCCATCTTCGTCAGAGAAGCAAAGTATACCCGCGTGGGGGCGGTCGGTGGTCGCATTCTCCTCACCTTGCACGCTCCAGAAGATACACTGAATCTCATCTTCAGCAGCGTCAGGCACCAGAGAGCCTCGAGAGTTGACGTGGACCTCCAAGCTCATGATGCTCATATATTGGACGTCGTGCTTAACACTGGTTGACTTCTGCTTCTGACAGTACTTGAAGCCGTATTGATTCTTCTGCGTCGGACCTTCGATCTGTGAGAGATGACTCATAGGATTGAATTTCCGCAGGGGAGAGGCAGTTTCGTTTTTTGATTTTGACTTTGCCAATTTACGCTGCTTTGCTTGCCGATTTGTCCAGTCTTCCACTTCTTCAAAAGATGGTGGAGGTTTGGAGATTTCCCAATGACGCAAGCTGCAACGTTGCGCTCTAGCCTTGTCCATTGCAGCTTGTTCCTTTTTGTCTACCATTACCGGTGGATGTTCCCCAGTACTGGAGAGAGATTTACCGGTTGGATCAAAAGGAGGAAGATAAGGTAGTGTCGTGCTTTGTAGTTTGAACTCACGACCCGCATACTCACGAGGTCGATCCGGAACGTCCTTCTCGTTGCTATGATAGGCATCTTGATAAATTACAGGCGGCAGCCCGGCGTGCATCATAGTGTTCCCCACGAGGTCGGCTGACGGAGGTAGGGAAGCATAATAGAGGGTAGTGTTACGGCTCGACGTTCCCAATTGCTTTGCTAGAGAGATCGCTTGGGAACCAAATTTCGGTGTACTGCTGCTCGATACCACAGGTGTAAGTTTATCATTTGTCCATGGAGTGACTGGAGAGTGCTGTGAGGCCCTCATCCGGAGATGCTTAGCAGGTGTCTTAGGACCGTCTTGGGAGTTGGAGTAGCCGGATTGACTCAAGCGATGCATAGTCTCCGGTGCATTTGGGTTTTTAACTACAGGAAATGCAAGCGTAGTCGGTCCTCCACGGCCCTGGGCTTTGATACTTGCCTGTGAATCCTGTTTGGATTGAGGTGGCTCGTCTCCAGAATTTTCCTGCAAAGCGCTCGCTCTTGAATCATCACCTTTTGCAATGGCATAGCGGAGAGAGATGCGCCCGCGACGGCTCGGTGTTTCATTTAGCGTTCTCTGACGCTTGTTGTATTCTTCACTTGTAGCATCGAGGGTTCGTGTTCGTTTCCGTGAGTTGTTGGAATTGCTAGAACCAGGCTCACCCTCGTCACTGGGGTCGACAAGATCAATACCTTCGTCGATCAGTATATTATCCAGTTCCATCCCACTAGAACTCTTGTGTAACGATGCGGTCAAAGGATCTAAGGATAGCTGCTCTTCAGTGTCGGAAAGATGGACATCTGGCTCATTCAATCCGTTGTCCTCGCCCACGATGGTATCGCAATGCTTCTGATATTCGCACTCAAGTTCAGGTTCATCAGACCGGGGCTCGTTGTTGCTCAAAGGATCTACACCGTCAGCCGCCAAGGTGTCATCGCTTTCATCAGATCTATCGTCTGGAAGCCGTTGTGTAGACAAAACTTCGGGGTATAGATCTTCGATGCTCTCCACAGCAGTCTTGATACGGTCTTGACCTTCAACAGGCTTGACGAAAGTGTCAAATTCGACGTTGCCTCTCTCACGTCTTTCTTCTTTGATTAGATTTTCAAGAAGTTCCCGATACTCCTCCTCGTGTATCCACCCGCTTTTGGTTTCTCTAGTGTCAGCCGACATTGACACGAGCACCTCATCAGGAAAGGGACTGCTCGATGTATCGTTGAGACCCATACGACGCTTTCTTCTGCGAGTTTCATCTCGCCACAAACCAGCCATGGACGGCACAAACTTGTCGTCGGGATTTCGGGGCATCTGGCTCGATCGCTCTAGGAAGTCGTGGTGAATGGGTCGATACTGTAATTCATGCCGATTGAGGATATCTTGAACGCATATATCGACTTCGAGGGTGGAATGACTCTGGCGAGGATACTGATCTGCTTGTGCCATGAATTCGTCCGGAATGGAAGCATCGTGCCACTTGTGAACGGAAGTATCTATTTCCTCGCTATCTGGAACAGGCCCCCGAAACCGCACTTTCGCGCAGTTGATATAATCGCACCCGTACAGGTTATAATCACACATCCATTGCAGGATATTTTGTAGATGACTTTCATATGGCTGAAAGACGCGGTTCAAAATGGCGCCCTGATACAGTAAATCGGCGAATCGCGTCATGTGCATGGGATTGAGCATGTAAACCTTGAGAAAGATCTTGTATCCAACACTGTATCCAAAGAAGGGCACGCCTTTGACCAGGGTGATGTGGCCAACGTATATGGACTTTCCATCGTATGCGTTTCGTCGGTAGGCCGAGGCAAGAGCATGATCAATCGATGTGCGTAGGTCGAGTATATATGAGTCCACTGAGAAGGTATCAGCACGTGATATATGTAAACAGTATGCTATACCTACCGACATGTTTTTCCAAACTCCCATTGTACTCCAAATACAGATAGGGTAGCGCTCCATGGATATGAGCGCACACCTTCTGTCCGGTCTCTGTCGCACCGAATGCTCTGATTACCGGCACTTGGGGCGCCCCCATGCGACCAGCCGGCCCGGCATTGCGCCGCAACAGAGGGTCGAGGTCTGTCGGCGCCGCCTGGTAGTTGTCGATGCAATTCAGACGAAAGCGGAACGTGTCCATGACTACCTACACAACCACCTGGGCAAGATGCAAAATGTGTGGGAGAGGAAGGTGGTTTGCATCGTGCTCAAGAAACCGTGCAGAACAAAGAGTACGCAAGGTGGACGCTACCGTGCAATGGGGGGCGACAAGCAGACGCGGTCGCGACTGAAATGCAGCGCGTGGTCCCGTGAGGCGAGTGAGCTAGGGATCGTCACTGCAGCCCTATGGCGCTAGCGCTCCACTCTCGCCGCCGACCTAAAGCTTCTACCACCACCTTCATCTCCCAGCACATCTCCCAGCACAACTCACCGCGCTCAACGCAGCCCACGTCGCCCAAGATGCCGCCCTCACAACCAAAGAAACCGGATGTCTCGGCCGCCGCCAAGGAGCGCAACGAGTACATCCCCTCCTTCATCTCGAAGAAACCCTTCTATGCCGTCGATGAAACTGGAGAGGACCAAACAGATTACCTTGAGCATCAACGTCTGCAGAAGCAGGAACAAGACTCCAAATGGTACGATCGCGGGAAGAAGGCCGGGCCGGCCGCGACCAAGTTTCGCAAAGGCGCATGCGAGAACTGCGGAGCCATGACCCATAAGAAGAAGGACTGCCTGAGTCGGCCGCGCAAAGCAGGCGCAAAGTTTACGGGGAAGAATATAGAAGCGGACGAAGTTATCCAGGATGTACAACTTGGGTTCGATGCGAAGCGCGATCGCTGGAATGGCTATGACGCGACGCAATTCGAGGAGGTTATCGAGGAGTACAATGCCATGGAGGAGATACGCAAGAAGGCAAAAGAGGCAGAGAAGGGCGACAAATCAGATGACGACGATGAAGGCGACAAGTACGACGCAGAGACAGACATGGGACGGAAGCAGGCCACATCTACACGAAACCTGCGGTTACGAGAGGATACCGCAAAGTACCTGCTCAACCTCGATCTCGATTCGGCCAAATACGACCCCAAGACGCGCTCCATGGTTGACAGCGGTGCAACAGCGGACAATGCAGCTCAATTGGTCGCGGAAGAAGGCTTCCAGAAGGCTTCGGGAGATGCAGCCGAGTTTGAAAGGGCACAGCGATATGCATGGGAGACGCAAGAGCGCGGAGACAAGAACAAGCTGCATCTGCAAGCCAACCCTACATCTGGCGAGGTCATGCGAAAGAAGCAGCTCAAGGAAGCCGAAGAGATGGCGGCGGCGAGAAAGAAGGCCCTGGCAGAGAAGTACGGAACCCAGGAAAAGTTCTCAGACGATACACTGCGGAAGAAGGCTATCACGGAGAACGAGCGATATGTCGAGTACGATGAGCGAGGCAATATTAAGGGAGCGCCGAAAGTCAAGGCAAAGTCAAAGTATCCGGAAGACATACTTCTCAACAATCACACATCAGTCTGGGGTAGCTGGTGGTCCGATTTCAAATGGGGCTTTGCGTGCTGTCACTCGACGATTAAGAATTCGTATTGTACAGGTGAGGCAGGCAAGGAAGCGTTTGAGCTAGCAGATCGGATGCGCACTGGCGCGGCGCTGGAAGAAGTTCCCAAGGAGATTGCATGGAAAGAGGAAGGAGCCCTAGAGAAACACGTGCCGAACGCTCCCGATCCCGCCGAAAAGGCCAAAAACGATGCTGCTAGTCGAAAACGGGCCCTCGACGAGATGACTGGCTCAGTGAATGAGGATGAGATGGAGGAGTACCGACGAAAACGCACAATGGCAGCAGACCCGATGGCGGCCTACCTCAGCAAAGGAAACAAAAGTGAGGCGGTTTGAGGTGTTTCCGTTGTCGTCCACAGCGTCATAGGTCGCTGGATTTTGTATTCGTAGCATTGCATGGCGTTGATACCCTAGGTGGCATATAAGCATATCAAGTAAAATGACATAGTAGTTCCTCATGACGGTTGCGCTGGCCTGCAGACATGGATGATCGGTATGGATCAAGGGTCTATCTAGCAGCCCCATTAGTGAAGGCGCATCTGCTCACCCTCCATGACGAACTGCCAACTCAGAAAGGGAGGCGGTTGCGCATGCAGCCGCGTATGCGTTGTTAGCACCACCGAAGGCAACAGTCTGGACGGGAGGCACAGCCTGGAGTGTTGCGGGTGATGGCGATGACGAAGCGCCAAGGAGCACGAACCACCGCCCCCAGGAGTAACTAGTAGTCTAAGTAGCTCCTACGATGGTTAACTGAACCAGATGCCCGAACCACCCCACCTCTTTCTTTACTTGTTTGTGGCTTTCTTGCATCTTCACCGACACCCTTCCTCGTCTGCGACTGCTTGCGACCGTAAACACGTAGTCTGAGAAAGCGCATACGGCCACCAACATGGCCCTCTACGGAAGCTCGCGCAACGTTGACATGGGCAAGTACGTACAGCCCAACATTCACGGCTATGGAAGATTTTCTGCATAGCACTGTCGCGGGCGCAATAGTTGCATGGACTAACAAACAAATCACTAGGCAGGAGTCGGAGCTTGCCATCAACATTCGTAAAGCGACCAGCATTGATGAGGTCTCGCCCAAGCGTACGTTGGGCCTCGGAATCTTGCCATGTTAGACGAAGCTTATACCGGCGCAGGGAAACACGTACGAGCATGTATTGTGTACACTTGGGACCACAAGAGTTCGGCCTCTTTCTGGCAGGGCATGAAAGTGTAGGTTCCCTTGGACTCGAGACTCTGGCGCCGCTTGCCAACACGCCGGAGATGCTGATAGCACGCCTAGGCAGCCAATTCTTGCAGACGAGGTGCAGACTTTCAAGGCGCTCATTACCGTCCACAAGGTCCTTCAAGAAGGCCACCCCATCGCTCTTAAGGAGGCACAATCAAACACTAGCTGGCTCGAAAGCTTGTCACGGGGCTCTGTAGCCGGCGAAGGCATGCGAGGATATGCGCCGCTTATCTCCGAGTACATTTACTATCTCCTGGCTAAGCTTGCCTTCCACAGACAGCACCCGGAATTCAACGGTACGAGAGGTGACAGCAGTCCCGAAATGGCCGACTGACATGAGACAGGAACATTCGAATATGAGGAGTACATCAGTCTGAAGTCGATCAACGACCCGAACGAGGGATACGAGACCATCTCGGACTTGATGACACTGCAGGATCAAATTGACGCCTTCCAAAAGCTCATCTTCTCCCACTTCAGGAGCGGCGCGAACAACGAATGCAGAATAGCAGCCTTGGTTCCATTGGTCCAGGAAAGCTATGGTATTTACAAGTTCATTACCAGCATGCTGCGCGCAATGCATACCAGTAAGTGGTTGACGCTCGCCTGCACTCCGGCCTGGACTAACAAGTTTAGCCCTTGGCGACGATGAGGCGCTTTCTCCTCTGCGCGGCCGATACGATGCGCAGCACTACCGCCTTGTCAAGTTCTACTACGAATGCTCCAACCTACGATACTTAACGAGCCTGATCACAGTGCCAAAGCTACCACAAGAGCCACCGAACCTGCTGTCCGAAGACGAAAATGCGCCAGCCTTGCCCGCGCGACCACGAAATGAGAAGCCGGCCGAACGCACTCCTGCTGTTGACCCAGAGCCCATCAACGAGTTTTGGAAAGACAACCAGAGAAGACAACAAGAGGAATACGAGGCAGAGCAGCAGAGGCTACAGCGACAATGGGAGGAGGCCCAGCAGCAACAGCAACAGCAAGCGCTGCAGGCACAACGCGACTTCGAGGAGCAACAAAGGCTTCAGGCTGAGCAAGCTCGTTTGGCGCAAGAGCAACTCATGCGCGAGCAGTATCAGCAACAAACGCAGGGTCGCCTTGCCGAACTTGAACGGGAGAATTTGAATGCGCGTGCACAGTACGAACGCGATCAGCTAATGCTACAACAGTACGATCAAAGGATGAAGGCTTTGGAGGGAGAGATCAACCAGATGAACCAAAACTTCCAGCAACAGATGGGCTCACGAGACGATCAAATACGCGCGCTTCAGGAACAGCTCAACACCTGGAGGTCCAAGTACGAATCGCTCGCCAAGCTATATTCTCAACTGCGACATGAGCACCTTCAGCTGCTACAGAAGTTCAAGGCTGTACAACTCAAGGCGAACTCTGCCCAGGAAGCCATCGACAGCCGCGATAAGCTCCAACGAGAGCTGAAGACCAAGAACATCGAGTTGGCCGACATGATCCGCGAACGTGACCGCGCACTCATGGACAAGGACCGACACACTGGTGGCCATCGTGAAGAGATTGAGAAGCTGAAGCGCGAGCTTCGCTCTGCCCTGGATAGAGCCGACAACGCCGAGCGTGGCAAGGGTTCAGAACTGTCGGCGCTGCTGTCAAGACATAACCGTGAGATTGCAGATCTCGAAGAGGCCTTGCGAAACAAGAGCCGCGCACTGGAGGACTTCCAGATGAAGTACCGTGAAGGGGACTCCGACCTTGAGCGTCAACTACGCGACAAGGAGGAAGAGCTTGAGATCTTCCGCGCCGGCATGGACCAGACGCTGCTGGAATTGAACGAGCTCAAGCTTAATGCCAATGCCAACGACAACGTCCTGGATGGCCATCTGGACACTCTCATTCAAGACAGCCTTCAGAAGATTAACGACATAATTGATTCGGTCCTACAAAGTGGCGTACAGCGTGTCGATGATGCTTTGTACGAATTAGACTCTCCCATGCAAGCTGGTAACCAGAATGCCACAGGTCCCTTCGTACTGTCGCAGATCGAAAAGGCATCAGCATGCGCTATGGAGTTTTCCACGGCCTTTAATAACTTCATTGCTGACGGACCAAACGCCAAGCATGCTGAAGTGATCAATGCCGTCAATAACTTTGGTGGCGCTATCGTCGATGTTTTGGTCAACACCAAGGGATTGACACGTTTTGCTTCGGATGAGAACAAATCGGATCAGCTCATCAACGGTGCGAGAGCTTCGGCAACGTCCACCATCAGGTTCTTCCGTAACGTTCAGTCAGTGCGCATGTACGATCTGGACGCTGAGCAGAAGATCGGTGTTGTCATCAACAATAGTACTGAGGTGGTGCGCAACCTGCAGAGTCTATCCAAGCTTGCGGACGCGTTTGCGCCCAAGAGCAAGATCACCAATGCATCTGGTGATCTTGGTGACCTGGTTGATAGCGAGTTGACCAAGGCCGCCAACGCTATTGATGCGGCTACAGAACGTCTATCCAAGCTGATGAAGAAGCCCAGAGACCAATATTCGACCTACGAGCTGCAAATCCACGACTCTATTCTCGAAGCCGCCATCGCGGTCACAAACGCCATCGCGAACCTCATCAAGGCCGCTACCGTCTCGCAACAAGAAATTGTCCGTGAAGGCCGAGGAAGCATGTCCAAGACGCAATTCTACAAGAAACACAACCGCTGGACCGAAGGGCTCATCAGTGCCGCCAAAGCTGTTGCTACATCAACCAACATGCTCATTGAGACGGCCGATGGCGTCATCTCGGGTCGCAACTCGCCCGAGCAGCTCATTGTCGCTTCCAACGACGTGGCTGCTTCGACGGCTCAGTTGGTGGCTGCCAGTCGTGTCAAGGCCAGCTTCATGAGCAAGACGCAAGACAAGCTTGAGAGTGCGTCCAAGACCGTCACAGCGGCTTGCAGGTCGCTCGTCAGGCAAGTGCAGGCGATTATCGCACAGAAGAACCGTGACGAGGGTGAATCTGTGGATTACAGCAAGTTGGGCGACCATGAGTTCAAGGTTCGCCAGATGGAGCAGCAGGTACGTTACATCATCATCATCGTCGTCATCCGCTATTTGAGGAACCAGTTGCTAACAGGATATCACAGGTCGAGATCTTGCAGCTTGAGAACTCGCTTGCCCAGGCTAGGACTAGGTTGGGCGAGATGCGCAAGCTTTCCTACTTGGAAGAGTAGAAACCTTTTTCGCATCTTCATCTCTTCATAGCATTATTGTTTATGGTACATTGGGGCACAGCAGTCTGTTTTGTATTGATCGTTGGGACGCGCTTGGGGAGGATTCGGACTCATTGTATTTGTCTAGCCAATACTCCTACATACGCAATCAATACCACGTGGTGTTCATTTCCCATTAGTCAAATCACTCTGTACCTTCCTTGGTGTGCTGTTCATCTGGCCTATCCGGCTCCAGAAATCTTAGCCTTCCCCGATATGGTCAAACCATGTGGTGTCCATTTCTCATTCGCTAAATCACTTGATGCGCTTCCTTGTCGTGCTTGTCTTCTTCCAACTTGGGTGGACTGTTCGACCCCAGAAACCTTAGACTTCCATAGCGGATACTTCTTCTTGATGCTTATTCATATCAGAGCGCGACTCCTCGAGAATCTGTTGCTTGATGGCCTTCTGCTTTTCGTGAATGAACAAGGATCCAGACGAGATTCCAGGCAATGGTGTTGTCTCCAGCTTAAACTCTGGCTTGTACGTAGGCAGTTCCTCGGGCTTAGCGACTAGAACAACCATATTAGCATACTGAAACACGCCGCATTCCAATCGTGCTCTTACCACGAAGTTCCTTGCAGATCTCATAAGCAGCAATCCTCTCAATCTCAACAGCTTCCTCCTTCGACTTGGCCGATAGAAGACTGATGATACAAGCACAGTATCTACTGTGCTTGGAATTGCGCGGCTGACAAACTGCATGTCCGCAGACGAGGCAGAAGCGCACTCGTCGGTGTTTCCGCAGGATGACGATGTTGCCGCGGAGAGGCTTTACCACCAATGCAGCCATATCGCAGTCGAAGCATATACCCATACCACCTCCTTTAGGCGGACGCGCTCCCTTGTCCAGACAAAGTACGTGGCAGACCCTGCATTCATACTGCTCGAAAATCTTTTCTTCCGGTAATCCGCGAGCCAGATGCTTTTGTCTCTTGGTTTGCTTGCTAGGTCTAAGTAAGGTATGTGTTAGTTAAGAAATCTCAGAAAATATACTGTACAAAATGCTTAATTGACAAATTCATCAATATTCTTTTTCATACACATTGGGTTCAGCCAGTAGGTTCGCAACACTACTGTCTTCTGGGGCTTTAGCCTCATCCTTTGTGGCTAGGTCGATCTTTCCGGAGTCGAAGAGCGCGACTAACTTGTCGATGGCTTTGCCCTTGCGCTTGCGCTTCTTCTCGACCTTCCTGACACGCACTGGACCCTTTCTAATCATCGGGGGCGGACCACCAGGTCTTGCGGGTAAACTTGACGGCGCCATGTTTTCAGGACGCAACACCGTTACCTTTGAGGTGGTAGTTGTTTTCAAAAAGGTTGTTGAACATCCGCTGGAGAAGTAGGCTGCGGGGAAGTGGGGTCATGCTTAGCGTAGCGCGCTATCACGTGCAAGGTTAGCGTGTTTTTGTGTAAACACAGCTTCGGAGCCAGCGACATCACTTCCGCGATTCTTGGAGACAGGAACAAGCCGTTTCGTCACAAATCGCCTCAGAACCGCTAGCCCAAGATGCCCACCGCCACAGAACCTAACTCGCGCTCCCCGTCTCCCACACCCGCCCCGCCCATCGCCGACGCCCCAGGCCCTCGCGCGCAAGGTCTGATCAATGTGTTCAACCAAGCCTCAAAAGCCACACTGGACAAATGCTCCGCCAAGAACTTTGCTTCCTGTTTCCCCACCGCTGCACAATACAGTCCAGAAGTGCTGGATAACCTGCGAGGCCAGATTGTAGACCAACTAGACCGAACATGGAAGAGCAACTTTGAAGATATCATGGAGAGGAGGAATGTAGTCAAGCTGCTTAATTCCCTAGACCAATGTATCGAGGATGCGAAACTGAGGAAGAAACGCGCCGAATCGAATGCGAATGGCGGGCCTGTGGAAACCCCTATTCCGTAAGCACATCAACCCAACTGCCTCGCTCAACAATGTCCCCAATGCTAATCTACCTGACTTGCACAGCCCTCACACACTCTCGCCCTCTGAAATACACCTAGCACACCTTATGCCCTACCTCGAGAAACAAGCGAACGACATGAACACGAAACTTGCAGAAACTCAGCAGTCAAACACCAAGCTACTGTCTACTGTAACCGCACAGCGCGCTGAGATCGAGGCGCTGGTCCGCGGCTTGGAAAACGTTATACAAGATCTGGATATTAGTGCACAGATGATGGCGCAAGATGAGGTGCAGGAGCTCAGCAAGGAGACGAGAGAGCTGGAGATGGAGATGAGAACTTGAATATACAGGCGTGGATTGATTTATGTGAAGAATAGTTCGAGGGCTGTTGCGATGCGGGTGGCGGTTTGATCTGGGAAGGATGGATACCGCACATTACCACAAATTCTTGGTGGCAAGGAGGCCAGAGGCTCCTTAGACGCGAAGTCAGACGGCTTAGGGTCAGCAGCAAGCAGACAGTCGTCTCCTCAGACTGTGACTCTGATGCCCTTTCCACTGAGGACCGATCACCACAGGTGTGAACCTTGGTGCTACGAAAAGTGGACTTCTAGCCACCGGTGCTACCACTGTAAACGCTAACAGCGAATGAAGGTGGCACTTTGGGAGGCTCCATACGCCTGGCGTATCGAGTGACTGGCATATTCCGCAGCATAGAAAGGAGTGTACGAAGTCGTGCAGACACGAGAAGTTGGCCATATCTACAGTGTACGGCAAAAGAGATGGACAACACAAGTATCTCAGTTAAAGATTTGCGCAAATTGAGGAAGAGACAGCTACAGAGAGAATTACACGGGTCGACACCCTGCATTTCGTATGTGGCATAGAGGGTGTTGACTTAGTTCTCTCTACAACTGTTTTTTACTCAACACGCGAAGATCATCAAGTGAAATTCAAAGGAGCGGATTGATAAATTTCTCTTTTATTGCATGCTCATCAGCACGTCTTTTAAATTCCGTGTAACTCGAAGCTTTTTATTAGATTACCAAGAAAAGGTACCCCATTCCACCCTTAAGGTGCATAGTACTTCAACAACGCCGCGAAGCTCAACTCATCCCTCGTCTGCAACAAGACGTTGAAAGCCGCAGTACCCAGATAAACCGGACACCTAGCTGCCTGCGCCTGCTCAACCGCCATCTTCAACACCTCCGCATACGCATCCAGCACCTTACCCTTGCCATCATTTCTACCCTCCAACACTTCAATCATCTGCTTACCCGCCTCCTTAAACATGGTACTTGCACCCGCGGCATCCAGTGCCAAGCCGTAAAACTGCTGCAGCGGGATACCAACGTGCTTGGCCAGGGATAGGGATTCCGCAGCGCCGACAAGGTGGATGCCGGTTAGCAGGTCGACGACGCGCTGGAGTTTGGTCTCCTTGTCTTCGGGGGAGAGGGTACATGTAATGTTTGCGACTGGATCGGTGGTCCAGAGACGGACGATGCCGCCGTCATCGTTGGGGCCGAGACCGCGGTCTACGGCGGAGAAGTAGACCTGCTCGGCGATGGAGCACATTGTTGCTGGGAAGCGGATGTCGCGGGACATGGTTGTTATGATACCCTATATCATGTTAGTGAAACTCTTCCTCGGACTTCTACTCCGGAGAACAGAAGCTTGTGGGTACCGGGGTAAAAACAGAAGAAAGAGAACATACCGTATCCTTGAGAATAATAGTCACAGCACTCGCCCCGGGAAAATAATCCTCCTTCAAAGTTCTCAAACTGCGATTCTCAAACATCCAGCTCCACCCCGGACTGCCCACAACCCTATCCAGCACATCCTTGCCATTGAGCCCCAAACGCGCCGCAAACCCATAAGCTTCGTTGAGTGCCAAAACGTGTACGGCAGCAAGCACTTGATGCACCATTTTCATATTGCTACCAGCGCCGACCCCACCATCAACAAGATACAACTTGGTTGGCGCAGACATCTCCTTGAGCAACTCCGTGCCCTTCTCAAACGCCGCTGCAGACGCTCCCGCCATAATCGACAACGTACCCTCAGCCGCCCTTGCAGCGCCCCCAGAAACAGGCGCGTCGATGAAGTGGATATCCGAGCGGCCAATGTCAACCAATTCCTTCTCCACGCTCTTCGCATACGCGCTTGGTACCGTGGAGCACAGGAAGAGCGTTGCGCCCTTGGGTAGCGCAGCTACAATGCCGTCTTTTTCGAAGAGCGCGGGTTGCGTTTGCATGGCTGTAGCCACCATGACAATGTAGAATGGCTTATCTTTAGCAGACTCAGAAAGCGAGGATGAAGGCGTGCCGCCTGCGGCTTTGAACTTTTCTAGCGAGGGCGGGTAGACGTCGAAGCCGGTTACGGGGTAGCCTTGCTTGACGAGATGGGTTGCCATGCCCATGCCCATGGCTCCGAGGCCGCAGAAGCCAACTGCGGGTTTGGATGCCATTGTTGAAGTTTGATGGTTCTTTTTTGAGGTGTGATTTATACTGAGGGGCTGGTATGAGAGTATGGCGTGTTGTGTTTGGGATACGAATAGCCCGTTGACGACGTGTGATGTCAAGTTGCAGAGCTGTCAAGTTTGGATGTATCGTAACTTCCTTCTTATGAACCCCTCACGTGTAGTCCTTGCTCTTTTCTGTCCCGTCAAGTGCAGGTGGTACGGTGTGTAGTAGGAACGAGGCTACTCCTCTATATTACTCCACCCTGTACACGTCACCCCCACACGAAAATCACTCTCAGGTACTTACGAATCCTCTTAGCCGGTAAAACAGCCGTCCTCGGCCATTGACTTTCATCATCGCTACCCCGCACTATGACCAAGACAGTAACGCGGGGCATCTTCCCCCCGCCGAAAGTGGGCTGTCGGCAAATGAACGATGGGCCCAAGGGATCCTAATTTGGGGAACCCGGCCGGGGTTTACGAGACAGCACAGAGGTCGAACGAGGTCGTGCACACATGACGAAGGTAAGCATATAAAGACTCTTTCATTACTGTATTTACCACAACTCTCCTATACGAACGTACCGCATCATAAAAATCGTCAAAAACTTTGATATCCGAGAATAGACCAGAGCTTGCAGCACACCATCCAGAACATTGCACTTCACATGGCCCAAGCCACATGAAAATGATAAGTTGGATCGAGCTCCGCAGTGTTACCGACTCTTCCGTCAGGGGTATACATCGTCGATCCTTGCAAAGATGGACTATTAGATGACGGAAAGTGGAACACTGTCCAACGCGTCAGTAAGACGTCTAAGCAGCAACAATCCTCTCGTCTTCCCGACCACGCTGGTGCTCGCTAGCAATGGTGGAGTTGATGTCATCGTCAAGTTCCTCGCCCTGGTAACCGTTACCATGGTGCTCTGAGGCGGGAATCCAAAGGCCAGATTCCCTGTCGAGGGCCTGGTCTTGGCCTGATAGGTCGACACCCTCACTGTGGTTGCGGTTGCGGCGACGCTGAGAAAGGGTACGCGATCGCTGAGAGAGTTTGGCAGAGACGGAGGCGTTCTGGGAAACCCAGTTGGTAAGAGCATCCTCGCAGTCCTGGATGATACTGTGCCGTGTTAGTGGAAATATATTCGGGAACATGGTGGAGAGATACGTACGCCTTGCTAGCCTCGTATCCGTCGTATGCCTGACGAGTCTCACCGGGGGTGACCGGGGTATCATCAACAAGCTCGAGAAGGTGCTTGCCGTAACCGGCGATGATGGCCAACTTCTCGCAATGTTCGCGCATTGCATCGAATTGATAAGTGAAAGCTGCCTTGAGTTTCTCACGCGTAATGTTAGAAAGCTGGGCCTCGGCGACCAGAGACTCGGCCTCAGCGCGGACAAGTTCTTGTTCAAGCACAACAATCTTGGGGGAGTTGGGCTCCTTGTACTTCAGTTGAGCAATCTGATCGGTGATTTTCTGCTTGCCTGCAATATTTTAATTTGGTTCACATAGCACGTGCAATTGCAACTCACGGTCGCGGCTGGGCTGGACGGAAGCCTCAATGTTGCGAATGCTCTTGATAGTCACGCGGTACTGGTCGTATCGATCGACGTATTGGTCCTCAAGCTCGCCGATTTCATAGATGAGAACACCAAGTTTGTCAGTGACATCCGAGACGTCGTCGTCGCAAGCCTCGCCCCAAATGGAGAGTTGTTGCTACACGGGGAGTTAGTACAATACGGTCTTGTTGCTTGCAACGTGGTACAAACATACTGCGACCTCCATGCGCTCCCTGGAAACCAGTTCCATGCTGCGCATGACGTTCTTCTCCATCTTGACGAGTTGTGAAAGCTTCTTTGCAAGGTCGGGGCCAAATGCGCCGGCAGACTTGTGGCGGAACGTATGTCCTGGAAAGAAGAAGACATGTTAGCACTAAAAACATGACATTGAGGAATTGACTCTGTCCACGACTTTGGCAAATACTGCGCTGAAGCGCAAGTAATAGTTGTATGACGTACCGATGTTGGCCTTGCCAAAGAAGCGCCCGCTCTTTGTCGAAGAAGCAGGAGGCGGGGGGCTCTGAATCTGCGACGCCGTAGGCGCACGAGACTGGCGCATGCTGTATGTTCGGTGCATCTTGAACTAGGTGTCTTGTTTGTGAAGCTGGTAAGGGTTCCGATGTGGTGTTGACGTGGAAGGCGCGGATGTGTCGCGGCAAGACGGACGTTTTGTTAAAGGGTGAGGGCAATGCTATGACGTATCCATCCCTCGCTCAGCCCCACTTTGTACGGCGATCATGTTCTCGGGCTCGCCCGCAACCCTGGGCCTCACATGGCACATCCTCCACACTGCCCTGGCCAGTGTTGGCATTGCTTGACTAGTATAACATACTCGTGTGCTACTGTGTTGCACCATTCACTAATATGTGGATGCATCATATGCACACTGAAGAAGGGTTCCACCGACTACGGCATGCCGGCAGTGGTTGCCCTGCTTTATGGCTAATCTGGTTTGGGGCGAGAAGCTTGTAAGCTATTGGCGCCAATGACTATCTTCTTTCCGGCTGATGTGACTCGCTTTGCACTTGCGGCTATTGACATACTACCACCTGGCTGCCTTGACTTGTAACTGATGCATCAAGTCTAAAACTGGGAATAGAGCGCTCCATCACGGAGCTGGTCCGCGAAGACCCCGAGGATACTCCCAGCCTCGCCTAATCCACCGCTTGGGCGCAATGCCCAAAAAATGAGCTCGCCCTCACGTGGCGACCGACGGTGGTGAATAGCCAGAGCCGCCAATCCCACTGTGAACGCGCTTGTAATGCCTACGAGGCTGTTGACCAACAAGGGAGACGGGAGCTCGGACTTGCTGCGCTTCGACACTGCCACAGCTGTCGATCCTCGCCAAAACTTGGATACGCCAGGAATGCTTCCGGCAATCTCCTTTGCACTGGCCAATGCTTTCGAGGCAAACGTCTCCGATTTTGCGACCCACGGCAACAGTGTAGTTCTAGGCGTCTTTGCACTGCTGCTAGAAATGGTCCACACCTCAGCAGGCTTGACCTCGTCGTAGCGAAACAGATCTCCATGAAGCTTGTTTACGTATGCTCCAATGCGTGGGTATTTCATCTTGATCGTCTCCCTTAGCCACGCTTGAGGCACTGGTGGATATATTAGTAGAGACAGATACCCAAAGGCAAGGCAATCCAAGCTGGAAGCTTCTTCTCCGTGAAGGAGATAGTCATGCCTCCCCAATAAGTCGGACAATGGGTCCAAAAGGTCCGCTGAAAGAGCATCCAGCTTGAAACGGGCGGCGTACATTTGGCCACCCAAGAGGCCGGTCAGGCCTTTGCTGCGTCCAATATTCAATGAAGTGGTGGCCTTGCTCTCGGTCGGTATACCAGCGGCTCGTTTGGCAGCCTCGTATTCCGACGATGCAGTCCCTCGACCTGGCGCAAACCCGTCCTCCGCTGTCGTGTCCACATCCAAACTGCTCAAACCCATGTGTGCCGTCCTTGTTCTCGCCAACTCTCGTCGCTTCGGAGGGACTGTGTAGTTGGCGTACCATGGTAGTATCGCAGTATATGCCGACGAGGTAGTAGTGTTGTAGTTCTCGGCAGAAACGTAGAGTGACAAGTCGATCAGAGGGGTCGCTGTGGACTGGAGGAAGGTAATGAAACTGCATCATTCATGAGAAAGATTTCAGCATTTCAATTGATATGCTTACGCAGTCCTATCGGTTCGCTGACGACTGGAGAGACTAGCATCAAGATCATTTGCGATGACAGGATAGTTGCGGAGATATGCAACAATATCCTCGAAACCAGATGCAGTCGCAACATCGTCGTCGAATAGGATCGGCAGGCTCTCTGCATTGGGTCAAATCATGTCCCACTCGAGGAGGAATGAGTGCATGTACCTGTTACTCCAACCGTAGCATCATGCTCAGCGACTAGTGTCCATTGTCCCCTCGGAATAACGCGCTGGCAGTAGGCTATAGTAGCTATACATTCGGGCTCTATCGAGGGGAGGCCAAACGCTGGGCCCCATACATGAAGCGCCAGCACCATCTCTTTCGCTGCGTTGCAATGTGTTGTGTGCGTGCTATGTACGTACCAACTCACTTTCTCCACCGTCTGAACGAACTTCTGCAATCGCATGCCGATCGGAACTAGCGTCGGAACGTTCGCACGTGATCACGCATCGTCGTCGATCTCGCCAGCCGATGGCCGTCCGCCATCTAACACAACCAACGTCGGAGGACCCGCTCTAGGCCCTTCAAATCTGCAGGATGGCTCCTCTCCGCCGATACTTGCGGATCACAAAACACTCTGTCCTGGAAGTCCGCATCTATCTAGATCAGCCTGCGGACGCAGAAGCGTGGCTGCTGAAACGCGACAACCCGGCTTTACCACGGGTAATACAAGCTATACGACCGCTCGTACTGCCCAAGCTTCGAGAAGAAAATGAACGAGGAAAAGGCAGGGGTGGTTCCAAAGGAAAGAGAAAAGGAGTAAAGGATGTCGTAGTCCAAGGTAAGATGCACGGCCTGTCATCACCTATGAAACAGGCATCCCCACTGGACTCTACCCCAGGCAGCTAACTAACCTCCTGTCAGACGATTTCGAAGTTTCAATCTTCCTGACGGAACTGTCCTCTCGTCACTCGGTCCTGACGAAACAAAAGGTGTTCAAGGACAAGCCTCGCATTCAGAGCAACTCGGGTAAGCTCACAAACTGGCTTGCAACGGGAACTAGCGAGAAGCCGCTTGTTATCAACGAAGATGTCGCAGAACCTATAGTGATCAGGGAAGAGGAGGACAACGAAACCATCAAGCTCAATGATATCCCCGAAGCCAACATGCCGGAAAAGCAATCTAGGCGCTCAACACGCGGAAAGGCTACAAGGGTTGACCGAGGTGCAGATGCACTTAGCGACAGCGAGGGTTCAGACTTGTTCGTCCCTGAACCCTCTCCCACACAGCCAAAGAATAGGTCCCGCAAAAGTGATGAAGCAGAGGACGAGGACGAGGAGCCTTTGGATGGCGACAAGAAGAAACCTGGCCTGAAGACATGCTATGATGGCTTCAGTATTTACGGTCGTATCCTATGTTTGGTCGTTAAGCGCCGTGGCGTACGACACCCAGCGGGAGCAAGCGGTGCCACTTCCAGCCAGGCCATGCTAGAAAATTGGGTGTCCACGCAAGCCGTGGCCGAGCCCGTCGACGACGAAGAGGATGCCGTATGAATCGCAATCGTATCCGTGTATGCATTATTATTATCGAAACAAGGAACCCAGGCTTTCTTCCAGATGTTTTCAGGTACCGAATCCGAAAATAACTACATGGACACGGTTGGCCGACCCTTGGCCGCCAGGGCTCCAATTCATGCTTCTTTCTCTACGAACGCAATGTGCTTTTCATTGCACCGAATGATTGCGCCGACATGTGTGTAACGGGTGTGCGTTCGTGCAACGTCAGGCAAAAGACATATTCACAAGCTGGAGAATAGGCCCTACAGCCAAAGAGCTGTGATGGCGAGTTATGCGTGGAAATAGGAAGTAATCCTTGTCTTGGTATGGCCTTGGGTAGGCGGTCCTGACGTGCGGTTCAGGGGAAAGTGTGATACAGATGGCGTACACGTGGAAGATGCAATATTCACGACAATCGAATCAAGGCAGTCTGGTACGTTTACGGCGCGTTCTGGCTACATTAAGGCTGCTAAGGTACAGGGCTTCATTCTGTGTTGCGACCAAAGGTCCATCACGACGCCCTTGGCACATGTCAGCGCGGTGCCTCTATGGAGCAAAGCTTCTTCGATCCCGATATACCTCTTCTGGAAAAGCTGTCGCCAAAGCAACCGAATTAGTGCTCCGGACTCGCCGGCCCCAAAAGTATGTGGCGCCACAGTTGATCGTTTAGAGTTGAGCAGCGCAAGCCACATATTGTACGACTGGCTTGCGCGTACCTGCAGCAGCGCACATGGACGTCCCATATCAGAATAGATCTGCTGACGACGACAAACTCAGCTATCGTTATCGTCACGATAGGCGACAAAAGCGCCCACATGGGAGAAGCTGTGAAGCTGTGACGCATGGATCGGCAAAGCTGTTACGACTTGTGCGGAGCCGGCAAATAGAGTTTAGTGGCAATACGCAATACTTTTTTTTGGCCTTGCCTACAAGAAGATTGTTATTGCAGGTAGTCCCTGCTGTACGGGTAATAGGAGGCTTATTGATGTCGTGAGATGGTGTGAATGAACGGCGAGGCAGGCGGCCAAGGGTGGAGTATTGCAGCGGATGTGCCATGGTTCGTGGCATGATAGAAAGCAGATTACCTATCAGCCTCAGCCTCAAGGCTCAAGGCAACTTCCCGTGGGCGCGGCACCGATCTGGTGAGCTGTCAATTAACGGCAGGCCGACTGAACGCTCGGTCGCCTCGCCTCTCCGCGTCGTCCGCTCTGCTGGAACGCTTAGCAGCCCCTAAACGTTGCCTGCTGGGAGCATATCTCCGATTTCGTCGCACGACTTCTGCATTGATCTGTAACAGCAGCGCATGCCCGCTCCACTGGTCTGAAACGGCAGTTTTTCTGTAGGGTTGAGACTGAACTACCGGAGGGTGGCAATGGTGAGGACGATGGCTATTTTTCCCAAGCTTTGACGTAACGGCTGCCCCTGTAGATCGCTTACGGATCTTGATACGTGCATCGCAATGTGTCTTTAGTTTTTCTGCCAGCATCCAAGGGAAATCCAAGGCAAATCCAAGGCAAATCTCTCTTGCTTTTGGCGATCGGTAACCAGGTTGCAAAGGGCACGATAGTCGTGGTCGTCCCCATTGGGACCGGACTAGGGCCTAGAGGGGTGCAGAGACATATTGCGAATGTAAATCAAACAAACGCTTTTGCAGGCTCAAACATGAGACTTGGCGGACCACGTGGAGATGGGTGCTGGTACAGCCTCCAAGCTGCGACACGGTAGAATAGACTCAAGGCCAAGTGGCTGAATCCCGCTCGCTCAACTCTCTTCTTCCGGACCAGCCGACCTTGTGGTATAACCTTTATCGAGCAGCCACTGCCAGCCACTGGTGATGGCCGGAGGGAGAAAAGGGCAACAGGGCATACAGGGCGCCGGCGTCTGCCTTGACACAAGCGCGAGGCCGGGATTAACACGAATCGCATCAAGGCGGCCGACAGACTAACTAGAAGGACGAAAATAAGCATGACATCGTTGCGTGTGCGATTTGCGCTCATCCTGACCAAGGGCAAAAAGCTAAACTCTCTCGGGCCCTTTTTTGCACAGCTACCCTACCATACCAGTACCGTACAGTCTGCGTGACCATGACGGTGCCAGGTGCAAACAAGCAAAGACGGGTTGGTGCATCAGACTGCTACTGTACCGTACCAGCACGGGCATGCATCAGCAGCCCGCAGTGGAGAGGAAAAATTCTAGGGGCCTTTCTCGGATTGAAATTACATGGAAGCTTGGGAGAAGCACGGGAGAAGGTGGGCATGCGCGCTAGATCTCCGTCCTGCGCTCGAAGACGGTGGGCGGAGGGCGGTGGGCGGTCGACTCCCAGGACACGGTGGGCGGTTGCGGGCAAATAGGCGACGTCGCAAATTGTGCGACCGAAATTTGTTGTCGCAGTGTCAGGACCTAATTCTGACACGCACGGGTATAGACACCGAGCGCAGCCTGTTCCTGAAGCTTTTGCAGGCATGGCAAGCAAACCCTCCTCCCAAGTTAGCAGGCCGACCCAAGGTGGCGACTGATGGCAGCAGCCCTGCGCACTGGCGGGTGGGAAAAGGAGGGCCATGTTTCAATTATCACGACCGTTCGCACTAGCCATGTCGACTAATAAGACTAACAAGACGCGGACAATGTCATGGAACAACAGGTGATGTCAGACTCGTAATGGTATTTCCCATGTATTATGCGCCCTCTGCCTGCTGCTATACGCCAGAGGTGATGCGTTGTACCAACGACATGCCGCGAGGAGCGCCAACTGCGACATGACTGGATCAACATCATCTTCATACGGTCACGAGGCTGATGAAACGGCAAGCGGTAACGCGCAGGTTCGTGTTTCCTTTTACCCCTGCGAATTATCTGACCGGGATCAGCGATGTTTCGCCGTGCTTTAGCTCATGCACACACCAGGAGCCACCCCTTTCCTGCTCATCAGCCCAACGCCTCTTTCACCGCTTGGACCGTGCCATGCGCTGCCTAGCGCCATTACACACCATCGTCAAGGTACGTAGCTCTGACCGACATTTTGGGCCTCTGCAATCTGAGCACAAGCATAAATACGTTGACCCCCCACCACGACCAGAAATCGTTTCATCATCCACCATCCTCGACTACCACGAAGAGTATACATCTCTGCAGTCTTCTACACCATCAACGTCTACGACAACGACTCTCACATCTTCAACGACTACTACTACTACTACTACTACTACTACTACCACCACTACAATAACTCGCCTTCCAATCAACCCACCAACAACCTAATATCAACTCATCCAATGGCTGCTCTTACCTACAGCGAGTGCAACATGGCCGGACAGAACCTCCCACCTTGCCCTGGCCCACCACCAACCTGCCCTCTTCCTGCGGTCCCAACCAAGTCCAAATAGACGACCATGTCAACGACTCTCATAATTTATTTGGCAGCTCAGCATTGATATCGACTACGCATCCTTATCCGCCTACTCCACCTTAATTCCTTATCATCCACAACTTGGAGCACCCACACTGCCGCCTGGAATGTCGCCATCATGCAGAGCATCTGCCGCATTCAGTACGACGCACCTCGTGCCTCAGGATCAGAACTACTCCTTGTTGCTCACCTGACACTCGACGCTATCACCGGTTAAAGGCAATCTACGCATTCACTGGTAGCAATGTCGACACTGGTGCCTCCGACTCCAACACATGGTGTCCACGACGTCCCGAAACATGTGACCCTGGCTCATTTGCCGGGTGTAGCTGGTCATCGGTCCATGGCTACGCTTGCATATCCCACACACGCGCTGGCTCGGGTGGACGGAACGAATCTTCTCTATAGACGCCTACTTGACTTATTGGCACCCTTACCTACCTGTAATAATCAGCGTTTTTACTGTTTTTGGACATGCGTTGGTCGGCGCTTGGGACCCGGTTGTACATGATAGCTTTGTTAACTGGCGGAGTTTTTGTTACTGGTCCGGCGGCACCATAGCCTGGAGGAATACCCAATATTGTCCCGTAGCATTAATCGTTTGGTCTATTAAGATCACCCACTCTTACTCTTACATTGCCTCTTTTATTGCTCAAGGTGAAACGTGTATGCAAGTCAGACGGACTCAACAGCATCGGAGACATTCCGACATGGTATGTAAGCCTGACGAAGCGATGACTCTGATACTGGCTGTTTTTGGCTGCTGAGTGAGAAAGTGGGCACAAGGAGCATGTGTTCGGCTACGAGTGTTGGCCCGTCATCAGCCCGCACCATAGCTCCCGTCCACACCCTCTTTGATACCCGCTAAGGCACATGGTAGTGACAGGATCCACCCCACCGTCCTTTGCAAGCGCGGCCGCGTGTGTATGAGGAGAGAAGGTTTGCCTCGTCAGCCTCCACAATTAGGCACCTGTACATTACAAGCTCGGCCACGACCACGACCACTACCACGACAAGCGCTGTGTGACGTATTCTTGAGTGAATCTGGGTCCTCCTTTGCCCGGGCGTGTTCCTGTCTCGCTACGACCGAAACCTTGCGCGTGACCGGTTCGCCTGAGATGTCACGGCAGCAACCCGGCTTGTGCAGGAACGACGATACTTGGCGCACTTCAGCTTGGAAAAGGCAGCGCGGTAAGCAAGCGATGATCGTCTCACACCCTCTTGACCGCGCGGTAGCAGGGCAGTTGCTTGCTTCAGGCCTGCAGCCCGTTCAGGCACGAGTGCAGAGCATCCAGGGAGCCATGCTAGGCTTCCAACTGTGGCAGATGACCCTTGACAGGTTGGCCAGCCAAGAGATGCATGGCTAGGCGAAGAAAAGTACTGCGACTATGCTACGCTAGTTGGCGTAATATCTTTGTCTACCAAATTTCGCTCCCCTTTGCCATGCAGTCGACGGCTACACCGCTCAAACAGGACAAATCAAATTCGCCAGTCTCCACAGTGATTAGCCGTTGGACCCTCTTCACGTTCAAACTTCGTATCCGGCGTTTTGAGGCCTTCATGTACAGCAAACAGCGCGTCGCGCGGTTAGGCACTAAGTACCATGAGATGGATGCCTGCGCCGCAATCCGACGCCAATGCCCCCCTCGATCCAGGGCTCCGAGCGGGTCCATCCACACCACATTATTCAGCCAGCATGTCCGCACGCGCTGACTGTGTCTTGATATTCGGATCCGCATGCCGAAAATATTTCAGGCACGTACGATACGTATGTGCATATCGTAGCCCAAGGACGGCTCGGCTCTCAGCGCGCGAACGGAGGCGCAGTCAGCTCGCGCTGCACTCCGCGTCCGACTGCGAATACGACAAGTCCGAAAGTGTATTGTCCTTGGTTTCAGCAAGAGTAGACATTGGAGTAGGGATTGGACAATGAGCCGTTGACTTCCGCTCTCATCTTCGATCTACCCGTCTCACCCCGGGTGAGCCGTACCTGCCGTATAGATTGGCATATGGGCTGCAATGGCGGAGTACCGGTCTGATGCATACAAAGCTATACTTACCAATACAATAATCCTGTACTGTACGTGGAGTACGCAAGGCCACGGGCCAATCGGTTCGAGTGGGTCACTTCTCCAGCCTGCCTTGGTTTGCTCGTCCATGTGCGACGTGGGCAGTGTCAAGCCAGACGTCAACTTCTTAGTATAGCTGCAGGCTCCAAGGCAGGCGTCCCGCCCAAGACATGGCCTAACGCCTGCGGTGCACAACATGTAGGTGGAAACCGGCATTGGTGCTTGGATACAGTGCAATAAACCTGCTGGCTTCATTTTTCTTTCTTGCCCATTACCTACTATCCCTGGCAGAGATCACTTCTGACTCAACGCCCGCAATTCCACACCTGCCACGTTCTGCATGCAGATCGTGGGTCTGTGGGCAGCAGCCTTACTAGCACAGAGTGCTCTGAGTTGGAATGCAGCCAAATGAAAACCCTAATCGTCATGGACGCTATTCGGCGCTTTCGTCATTTGTTCCCTCGTCTCTGACTCACCGCTAGCGGTGAATACCCAAGACCCAAAAAAACCCCTTGTCGTCGTCTCAACACGGACGCCGTTGCGAGTCGCGATTTGGCCGTTGCCTAGTCAGTAGAACCAGGTGGTCGGAACTCGTTACAATAGGACGAAGCTAGCAAAAGACCGTTGGAACCTGCAACTGCCGCTGCCGCTCTAGCAAAAGCTTCCATTGTCGAGCAGCGAGCTTGCTCACCGCTGCATGGCCGTTTGAAGCAATCATCATCTTCATCTTCATCTTGTGACCTCCGGTGCCAGGCGTCGTGGCTTTTAGCGAGCCGCTTCATACCGAGTAGCCAACAAGATCAATTCACCCCCAGGAAGATCCAATCACGGTATCCATCGTCTCCGGTTGATCATTGACGCTCGGCCCACTGCTTTTTTGCACTTTGTCTCCATCACGCTCGTCCAAGCTTGCACCGCCAGTTGCAAATTTCTCCGTGTCCGACCAAATCTCCGCTGCATCTGAATCTTGACATCATCGAGGTGATCCTACCGCAGTGTGAGATAGCGTCATGTACATGTCTATACTTACCCAAGACACGTGACATGGCGTGCTTGGCGAGACATTGTGTGAGTGTGTGGGCCCTATGTGGCTGTGGCTCATACACACCTCGGTTGCGCAATTCGTTTCGCAGGCAACCAGGCACGCGTGCATCAGCGCCCGTCGATCACACACGACCTCTCCTGAACGGCATGTTCATGCAAGGCAATGCCGCATCTCTCGCCACCGCGATTTACACCTGAAACGCGCCTCAGGTCGCCCTCACGAGTCGCTGGCTACAGTATTGCTATTGCCGTCCTTTTGCCGGTTGCGGCCTAGCATGGCCTGGCCTGGCAGAAAAAAGTCTAAATAGGCCGACGTCGACGCCGCTATGCCTCAGACTTGCCTTGGCCGTTACGGACCTCGACTCGTTGTCGTGTTCCAGAGGGCGTCGTCGGACGAGCCAAATGCCTCGGTGTTCCGTTGCCTTTGTTCTCATTAGCCGGGCCCTTGACTCCGAGGACGGCATATCATCCCATCTCCAACGAACCAGGTCCTGGCTGCGTCTATATCACACTTATGCCTCAACCTGAACGAGGTATACAGTGTCGTTGTGGGCCCCACGCTCTATTACTATTATGCTGATGCCTGGTTTCTGCCTAAAGTGTTTGCTAGGTATTATATTGCAACTACTATGGAGCCTCAGCTTGCGGCACCCTGATCGTCCACTGGGTATGCCGCGTGCTTTACATTAGCCATCTATTTCTGGATGCTGCCAAGGAGGAAATGGCCTGACACTGCGGTGCAATTCAGGCCGAGGTAGCGCCAAGCATGCACAGCCACACCCCAGCATGCAACGCCGGGCATGTGCTTGGAGACCCTGAAATGTACAAACTACATCATCATTAGCATTGATGCGGGAATTAGATGCACCAACTTTGCTGGCTATCGCAAGATTGCTAGAGTAGTTGCATGTGTACTATCTAGGTAGTTGGGAACGGGGCGTAACCCCGCTTCAGTGTCAACTACAGAAAGCGGGAGATACAGCTTGCAAGGCTCCTCACGAAACGAAACATCTTCAACTCCATCCCTGTGCTTCTCATCTCACAACCGCGACTATTATCAATCATGGGCCTTGTTGACTGGTTGAACTACCTAGGAGAGTTTGGCGAGTGGGCAGCCGGGCGAAAGCCGGTAAAGAAGAATGACGACGCTCTTCGTTTTGGGATACTAGGGGCCGCCGCGATTGCGTATGTTTGGTTTACCGTCTTAACTTCTAAGTTTAGTTTGATTGTCTTCGGGAGCTAATCCCAAGGGTGAAACAGTCCACAGGCTTTGATCATTCAAGCACGTTCCCATGCCGACGTCATTGTAGTTGCGGTTGCAGCAAGGGACAGGAAAAAAGCAGAGGCTTATGCGAAACGATGGGATGTCCCCATTGTCCACGACAGCTACGAAGGTTTGTTGGCTTCTACGGGGCATGCCTTGATAGTAGTCGAGCAACCTGTGTGCATGTGAGCACACTCACTAACACATCACAGCACTGATCAATGACCCATCGATTGACTGCATATACAACCCATTGCCCAATGGTCTACACTACAAATGGACGCTTGCCGCGCTCAAAGCTGGAAAACACGTGCTGCTCGAAAAGCCGTCAGTCTCCAACGCGCAAGAAGCACGCTCACTCTTTCACCACCCACTGTTCAATGCCCCAAACGCACCAGTGCTTGTCGAAGCAAGCCACTACCGCTTCCATCCCGCATGGCACGTCTTTCTCGCTCAATTTGACAAGAATTTGGTCGAGAGTGTAGATGCTAGCGCTGGAGTGCCCGCAGGTGCTTTCCCTAACACCGACATCAGGTTCGATTATAATCTTGCTGGTGGTACTGCCATGGACTTGGGACACTACACGCTGTCTTCAGTACGAGGCGTATTCGGCACTGAACCCGTACAAGTTGACTCTGCAACGCCTCGTCTTATACATCAGCCGTTCGATCAGCGATGTGACCAAGCCATGAAGGCTACCTACACCTTTCCCAATGGTGGAAAAGGACACATGTTCGCAGATTTAGGCAAGAGGGGTGGATACTGGTTCCCATGGCTAACATCCAACTGGCCCAATTTTCAAGGCCTGCTGTCTACATCGACCGTCCGCTTGCGACCAGAGAAGCTCGAAGCTCAAGATGGGGTTGATAGGTCTAGTCAGAAGACGGTCATCTTCTGGAACTTCATGGGTCCACATGTATGGCACCGCATCGATGTCACAACTACGATCAAATTCCTCGATCCCAAGACCGGCCAAATCCTCAAACAAGAACAGACTACAGACAAGTTGAAAGCATACACATGGCCTGAAGGCATGGGTGGAGAGAACAAAGGTCAGGGCTGGTGGGCTACGTATCGATACCAGCTTGAAGAATTCGTGAACAAGATCAAGAGGAGGGAGGGAAGTGGCGCTTGGGTGACAGGCGAGGAGAGTATCAAGCAAATGGAAGCCACGGATCGGACATACGAGAAGGCCGGCATGCTCATCCGACCGACGAGCGAGGCTCTCGAGTGAAGGATATGAGTTTTCTGTAGTCACCTCGGCTTAGATAGTGATACATACGGCTTCCATGTGTGAGAGAATTAGATGTTCCAAGCTGTCAATCCTTTCACGGGTACGAGAAAATGTATGCCAATCGGCGTTACTGATCTGACATTGACGGTTGACCATCGGCCGGCCTTACGCACTGACTATCCCCCCACTCCACGCCAAAGATAAGCTAGCAGCTAGTCTGAGAAAAGAAAGTAGGTAGAAACATGTTCACAGGAGCAGCAGTAGAGTCCAAAAAACTATAGCAGTGTAGTAAACACCCCCGTATCCCACATCTCAATCCCACTTCAACAATGTCTGCAAAAAAGGACCCCCAGACACCAACACATCTAAATTCCCCGCCCCCAACTACATCCCGTCCCTCGTCCGCCGTGTTACCCAGATAACACCTCGTAAGCAATACGCAGCCCGTCATCATCACACCCACTTAAAACCAACCAAGCTTCCCCAAGCTTAACCAAGCTTTGTACCCAACTGCCTCTTTCTGCCTAGCGCTCCTGCACCTGCCCCGCTTTCGCAACCTGAACTAGTAAATGCGCGAGCTTGCTCTGCTCCGAGGTGTGAGCTGGGGACGGGTTAAGGAGGTATACGAAGGTCCTTGATTCTCTTTTTCTTTTCTCTGTTCTTGGTTGAAGTTTCAAATAATTTCAAGATGAAGGGTCTAATTGCGTTGATTGGTGGACTGGCGGTTGTGGCGGAGGCTGTCCTGCAGCCGAGGTGGATGAGCAGCAAGAGGGCGGCGGAGGGGTATGCGCCGCATACGATTGATATGCCGGTATGTTTTTCTTTTGGTTCCTCTTGTTCAAGGTTTGTTGATGATGTTCTGTGGGGTTGTACCTGATTCAAGGCAGATTGATCATTTTCCTGAGAGCTGTCGCTATGTTCCGCATACGAATGATACGTTTAAGCAGCGGTACTGTAAGTCCTCATCCCACTGGAGCCCCGACAATTAGGACCTTTGAACTGATCGTTGAGTATTTAGTCTTTGATTCGTCGTACTACAAGCCTGGAGGCCCGGTTTTTCTCTACATTGGTGGAGAGACGAGTGGAGAATCGAGATTCCCGAACTTGCAGACTGGAAGTAAGTCTTGAATGCATTTTTGTCTGGGAAAGATGACTAACGAGTTGGAATAGTCATTCAGATATTGATGGAAAAGTTTAGTGGCCTGGGTGTAATTCTTGAGAATCGGTATTATGGAGAGAGCTATCCGTTTAATACTAGTACGACGGATGAGTTAAGGTTCTTGACTACGGAGCAGAGTAGGTTATACAAAAACTTCTTGCCAACGAAACTAACTAACAGATAACAGCAATTGCTGATAACGCCTACTTCAGGGAATATGCCACGTTCCCTGGTGTCAATGCTACCCTCAGCGGACCCGACGTTCCATGGATAATGTACGGTGGTTCGCTCGCTGGTGCACAAACCGCATTTACCATGAAGACTTATAATGGCAAGTTTGCCGGTGGCATTGGCAGCAGTGCCACTGTTCAAGCACTCCTCGAATACCCAACCTGGTACAACCCGATCATGAAGTATGGACCCGCGGACTGTGTCTCCCTTATTGTCGATATTATCAACAAAATCGACAACCTCATCTGGGACGACAACAAAGAAGGCATCCAAGCCGTAAAAGAAGTCTTCGGTCTTGGGGACCTCTCCAGCCTAGGCGACTTCGCCATGACCATCGCCTTCCCCATCGGCGGCCCAATGAATTACCCCACAAACACCTGGCAAGAGCTCAACTGGTCCCCTCTCTACGGCCACAACGACTTCTGGAACTTTTGCAGTAACGTCACAAACCCCAACCCACCCGCAAATATCAGCAGCATCGACACATCCCTCTCCAAATACACAAACGGCGACCCCTGGACCGGCCTCGGCAACTACGCAAACTACATCAAGCAAATCTTCCTACCCCTATGTACCACCGGCCGCATCAACTCCACAGATCCCGGCTGCTTCAGCACCCAAAACCAAACCTTCTACGCTGACCCCACAAACGGCGCCGCTCGCTCCTACCTCTACTCCACATGCGCGGAATCCGGTGGCTACCAAGTTGCCCCCGTAATGGGTCCCTCGCTTATCTCGCGCGTCCTGAAAATCCCTTACACCCAACAATGGTGTACCTGGGCCTTTCCCGACGGCCAATTCAACAGCGTTCCTGCTACGCCGTCTCTGCACTACTACAACAAGTACGGCGGGTGGGACCTACAAGCCGAGAACCTGGCGCTCATTGACGGGAACACGGATGTGTGGCTTGATTTGTGCTATCATTCCAACTTTGCGTCTAGTCCGAGGATTAGTAGTGATGAGTATCCGAGTTATTTGATTGCGGGTGCGGGGCATCATTGGGATAGCTATGGGATTAAGGATGTAGCTGCGGAGCCAGCGTATATTCGTGAGGCGCATTATTGGGAGATGAGGATTGTAAATCGGTTCTTGGAGTTTTGGAGAGAGAAAAAGGGGTAATGTGGGGGTGGGTTTGAGGGATATGTGAAGGGAGGTAGTGGAGCTTAGATCTGAGGTAAGATAGAATAAAATTGATAATACATTTTGATACTCGGCTTATTACATCTGCTTCTGGTTATCCATAATTGATTGATCGAGTGATACAAGATATCTGTGTAATCGCTGTGAGAAAATGCTTATACTACTTGTGCAGATGTTTATATAAGACGAGAAAATTTTTTGCGCCTGGTCTTGGTTCTTTATTGAATACGAAAATGAAATCTATAGGGGAACACCATGAATACAAGATTGAGAGAAAGAGTTGCCTAAATCAGTAGATCTCAATCATCTCCGTCTGCTCCCTAATGGGCCTCGGGATGCTGCATACGCCGTTCATATGCTTCTTTCTCTCCACCCAATGATCTAGGTCCTGAGTCGCCCCTAATAAACAAATACCCACTATCCGATGTTGTTGCGGACCGGTTGGGCGGAGAATAAAGGGCATTCGGGCGCCATCTATGGCAAAAATTTCGTCGTCCATCTGCGGAACCCGGTCGGTGTAGCCGTCGCTAAAGTGGGTTGAGAATAGTTTGCTATTTGCAAGTGATTTCCTGAGAGCGACGGAGGGTTCCACTTCTTCCGTCTCAGTACTCTGACTTCTGTCATTTCGATCTGCGTTTATTCAAAGCCCAATTGACCCTTTTCGCTGAATATAATCATATAAGGATAGTCTACATGTTTCAGGATATCTCTCACGCACGCTTTGCAACCATTCTTCTGCATCCTGGTAGGTCGTTCCTTCGCTACAAGGACACGTCCCGTCAACGCTATCGAGATAATGTGCCCGTACACGAAAGCGTAGACGTGGATCATTGCCAGTTGATGTGGCCTCCTAATAGAGCATAAGTTCTTCTCGTACTTGACTGCTTGTTCACATTCAGAAAACAATGTGATATTGAAGTCTGCGGTTGCGCGCCAGGGGCCGTTGCTGTCTCCTAGAAATTGGACTATTGGAGGAAAACGAAGAGGGCACCGAGTATGAAAGACGTGTTTCTCTGTCCGATTCAGGTAACATTCAATCGTCTTAGTTGTTAGGCTGGCGGGGTCGTTGTAGTCGTCCATGTAAGATAGAATATCGAGGTTCCGCTGTGTTGCGATGATTGCCACCATTACGTTCGAGAATACCACTTCAAGACTCATTGAGTAGTCTACAGGTATGAGTGACTTTGATTGAGCTTTCATAAGGCTTAGAACTGCAAAGACCCGATCACGAGGGTCGGTGGCATTGCCATGTATGCTGGTGCGCAAACAATCAATAACCCCTGCCTCCTCAATTGGACCTGATGACCATGCAAGAAGGGCGGTTTGCGCTCAGCCTACAAAGATGAGCCATGCGGTCAATAATGTGAGCGGTTACTTGGAGGACTTGATCGTGCACAAGCAGAAATACCACTCGCGCCAATGCCACTTCTTGAATAACCCATACCCTTGAAAAATATCGCAACGAAAAAAAGTGTTCTAGGGTGTTGTAGAGACAACTCTTGTCAAGTGCAGCAATGTCTTTCTCGTCGCCCAACCGGCGGAACAATTGGTCGTAGTCTACCGATTTGGTCCCGTGCGAGGTATCAGGAATACAGACACGAACACTCCGAGCTTTGGAGTAAATGAGGTCCATAAACCCAACCTGATGACTGCGCTCACTCGTGTTCTTTTGGTCGATACCTATTTGGCAAGTTGGAGTCAGCCGAAATTCGTACTACGGTCTCTGGCTACCACTTACATATTGCATCAATCCAAAGTGTTCGTTTTCCCCATCGTCTGTTTTGACGAAGAACGGAATGGCAGTTGGGAGTGATGAGGATGGAGCCACCATGTACACACTGAACAACTTTGGAGAGAGACGCGTCTCCAGCTTTAGTTGCCCAAGTGTAGGATACTGCATCGTATACTGGATCGTCGTCCAGATTGACATGTCTGATCTCACATCGAAGGGAATCTTCCCAGGCGCCCGGGAGAAGGATGATAAGGCGAACTTGGCGACCGCATTTGTAGTCAAGCAAAGTATACTTGTAGCAACCGTCTGCCAGGCAGATAGCCTTGTCCGAGAACGAGACTTCGAATTCCGTCGTACCACAACTCAAGCAAAGCCTGACGCCGTCGAATCGACATACATCCGTGTGTTTACATGCGACTCCAGACATTTTGGGATAGAGCCCTCTTTCGATGGTTGCATGAATGTAAAAGTTGTTGTTAGTTTGGCCCTTGCGAGAGTTGTGTTGAATGGATGCAAAGCAGCAGGCGCGGTTGCAGGTTTTAATGGTGGCATGGGCTATGCATCTTGGTGACTGTGCTGACCAATCGGCAATCGGCAATCATGGAAAGGCTGAAGGCTGATGCTGAAGTCCAAGGAGAACTAGCATCAATAAATCTTAATTGTCTGCGTACCCAATGGATCCATGTGGCGAAATGGCTCAAAATCCCATCGCTGCTCGAGCCCCGTCCCTGATGTGGCCCAACAATCCAAATGTGACAAGGCAAAGAGGTAGCAATTTCCAACAATTATATAGCCCCATGCATCCATACGTTCGTGATTAAGGCTCTTAAACCTTCTGAGAATCAGCGGGACTGTGCAGCCATCAATGGCCCAAACTGTGTCGCCCTCCTGAAAGTCGTGACTCGATATCGCAGGAAGAATGCCGGCCCGGAAGATGTACTTGTCTTTTCCCATCTTATTGAGTTCGAGACAAAACTGCTGTAGACTGGTCCAGTAGAGCTTGTCGGGGCTTTGGTGCTGTGCAGAGATGGGGCGAGCGTACGAAGGATCGAATAGCCACTGATATTGTAAAGGCCATACTTGTGAGTCGAATTTCGATCCGAGATTCTTGTCAATCAGAGCCATTAACCCGCGGCTAAAATCTTGAGCATCTTGCCATGTTGGCCTGTGAGAATTCACTTGTCTCGTCGTACCATCGATGGTCGCGAGACAATGAGCCCTAGCTGTTACGAATGGACTCGAAAAGCTATCAACGGGCCAATTCGAGGGGATATGAACCGCTGCTCCCCAGTCTAGCTTGGTGAGCTCCGCAGCACGAGTTTCGCTGCCAGATAGCTTTTCCAAGGATCTCCAGGGGCCGATCTTAGGTTGTTGAAATTGAGAGTGCAGCGTGTTGTCACCGCGATGCTCGGTCCAATCCGGAACCCACGTAGGTAGTCTATTCGCTGCATGTCTGCTCCCAAGGGATAACGATGCATATGCCAAAACTTCGAGATCCTCCTGGCAGATGATAATGGCGGCGGCCGTGCGTGTTAGAACCTCTTCCACACTTTGAGAGTAGTCGATCGCAATCAGATTCTGTAGGCGTTCCCCAACTAAACCCAAAAGCCCGTACACTTTATCTCTGGGATCTTTGGAACGACAACCCCGTGTCATGTATAACAATGTGAGGAGATCTCTTGTGGGAGCACTGACCAGCGGATCCCAAGCTAGCGGACCAGGGACTTGCAAACCATAGGCCCTGGCTCTTCCTCGTATACGGCACATTAGGCTCGCGTCCATTTGGCACGTGGCATCGCCAGTAACCATTACTACCTTCTGTGCCAATGCAACCTCCTGAATCACCCACACCCTTGAAACCCATCTCTTTGAAAAAAGCCTTTTGAGAGCCGATTGGCGTCGCTCGCTGTCTAACCATAAGCTCTGAGAAGCAAAGCCTAGGTCTTCTTCTCCAAGGTACACCAACACCTGAGAAGCGCTTGAGTAGATCTTTGCTATGAGCTCGACATGATGGTTTCGTTCTTGTGTATTGGCTTGATCGATGCAAATGGCATCAATCCACAGCATCCTTTCGTTTGATGCGAGTCTCAGCCTGCGTAGTGCAGAGGCACAGTTTGAGGTTACTAGAAGATCCGCCGTTTGCTCCTCCCCGATGTAAGCACATGAGATCCGCTGTGATAGGCTATCATCTCCCTCTTCGGATGCCCATGAGTACGAAACAGCTTCATACTCGATGTCGGCGTCGATGTTGGAATGAAGAAGGTCGCATCGAACCGGTTCGTGCCACTCGCCTGGATAAAGACACAAGAGGCGAAAGTCCTCGCCATCCGCGTGATTCAGCGGCCGATATCGAAACTGGTTGTAGCCTTGCGGTGATAAAAATCGTGTTTTTTCGTTTGGGTGCATGTCGGCGCGCTCTGCTGGTTGCGCGAGCTATCTGTTGTTTTGACTGAGGGAGATCTTTAGTCGAGGTGTGAGCGGATGCGGATCTTCCCAAATCGGGTTCGTGTAGTGAGCCATACCCAAGTAAAGTCACCGAAGTTGAGCCGAGCCACATTGCGTGTACAAGACATAGGTCAATCTTAGAATCTAAAAATACCCAATCCAAGGTTACGGTGTTCATTCAGTGCATGTGCCTGAATACATGACGGAATAAGAACAATGCTCCGAGGGGGACCTGCAGATTCAATGGACGCGTGGCTGTGGCGGGCTGGTGATGACGCAAGGTTTATGCGAACTCGCCCTAACGGAATGACTATCTCGGTCATATCGAACCCGTAGATTACCGACTGCTGGATGTTGACGTCTTCAAAGAAATGAAGCAATCGACACAATGGTCCTGAGAGACCTCAACGACGTCACAGTGTTTTGCCTGCTATCTCTGATGTAGCACGCGCTTACAGCTGTATCATCTGCTCGGGCAGAGTATAGCAAGTACCCAACTAGACTGAAGCATAGAGGGAATAACGGATAAGCGCTTATTATATAACATGAATATTTATCCAAGCAGTAATCGCTTCCTCTGACGACTGTGGCCAGGTACTCGGGTGTATAATAGTACTTGCACCTCAACAGATCCGACTACATGGCCGAAGACATAAAAAAATGATGTATGTATACAGATGAGTTAGATGCTCTACTTAAGAAACCTCCTTTCTGGTCAACCTTCGTTCGTATGGGAAAGTCTACCGAAAGCAGTTGGTACTATTGACGATGACTAAGCGGATCCTGCCTCACGCGCTCTCCCAGCGGCCCCACACTCCCGAATGCTCCCGTCCGCATCCTACAACTATCACATCCAAAGTCGAACGAGTTGCGAATAAGCATTATTAATCATAAGCATGCAATGAATAATCTGATTGGGTCTCGATTCGGCCCAGAAGATGCGTCGCCCACCAGATGCCCATTACAGCTTCACGATACCCTCCATACACGATGATACGACGCTCGACTGCCGCCTATACCACCCCGATGTCCTACTTAAGCCGAAAGACTCGAGTGAAATCGTACAATGGAAGAGAAGGGGCATCGTCATGGCACATCCGTATGCTTCAATGGGTGGCAGCTACGATGATCGGGTAGTGGGTATCGTGGTAGAGGAGTTTCTACACGCTGGGTGGATGGTGGGCACGTTCAACTTCAGGTATGCGTCTGTAAGAGGCTTTGACACAATAATAGCAAACTCATAGCTATTAGAGGTGCAAACACGTCTAAAGGACGTACCAGCTGGTCCGGAAGACCTGAGCTGGACGATTACAATTCCTTCGCTGCATTCTTCATGCATTACATGTCCTACATCCAGCCGCATCTTACAAAGACTCCCGGTGTCGCTTTCACGCCCAAACAGTCGCCAATACCACCTGAAATGCGAGAAGCAGCGCAGACACAACCGGATACTTGTCCTGTAGTCGTGTTAGGAGGGTACTCATATGGCTCCCTCATTCTCAAGAACCTACCGCCTGTACCTACCATACTACAACCCTTCTCTGCCCCGTTGGCGGGCTCTGCGGCCGACGAGATAATTCTTCGTGCGCGCAAGTTGGCAGCCCAGAGCAATCTGGATTGGATAAACCTCGCTCGAGATGAGACCCGAGCGAGGAAGAGCAGCTCAGGTCACGATCTGACCAGTCCAGTCATGATTGGTGGAGAAGAAACCAGCCCACATAAAAGGAGAAGCAGCAGGGACGTCAAGAGAAACCTTGAGGGAGGTACGCGTCTAGAGATACGAACGCGGCTGAGAAGCCTTAGTCACAGGCGGCACGACCACAATGAAGCAATATCAACACCAGATACGAAGAGTGTGTCCATCACCATGCCTAACATTCGTTATATTCTCATCTCGCCGTTGACACCGCCTGTATCTACTGTGGTGGCACCAGCATTGGGTTACAAAATTTGGAGTAAATCTAGGGAAGATTATCAGGAGGTCATTGCGAAGCATGCATGCCTTGCTATTTATGGAGACCAGGATATATTTTCCTCGGCAAAGAAGATCCGAGACTGGTCCGATCAACTCAAGGCAGCGCCTACGTCACGATTTACCAGCGTCGAGGTTGCTGGCGCAGGGCACTTTTGGGCCGAACCAGACGTCGAAGTCAGATTGAGGTCGGCGTTGGAAGAGTGGGAACACGATATACGGTAGCATCTGCTTGAGTATATATAGCATTATATCTCCTACCAGGTCCTGGATACCAGCTTTGCATAGTCCACTTGTATTTTGCATACCTCTATACTGTCACGGTATACTTGACTTCATTCCCAGGCTGACGTGGATAAAACTCCAAAGTGAACGTCGTGCTCTGCCCCGCCGCCCTAACAGCATCAAGAGCAGCAGCCTTGATCAAGACGCCCTGTGCCGTCCAATCCCACTGGTTGCTATACGTCATACGACCTTGCTGTAGTGGTCCCAGATATTGTGTCCAGTCATCTACCAAAAACGTGCCATCAGCCTTCGTCGCCTTTACAGCAGCTGGTCGGTTCAACCCAGACCAAGTCAGCGGGAGGAGGAGATCCTGGCCTGTTGCTGGTAAGGATCCAGAGATGCTAGCTAGCGTCGGCGTAGTAAATTGAACGACATCAACCTGGAGAGCCGCACCACGGTTAAAAGTCAAGGTCAAGTTCGCCAGACTACCCGTTCCAGCCGCCGGTGTGAGGATCAACTGCAAGTACGCAGCCGAGAAAGTGATACTCTCGCCTTGCAAGGAAAAGTCCTTGCCGCTAGCCAACTGCTTGCTTCCCTTGCTAATCTTACTCAACTTATTCCCGTTGAAGGAAAAGGGCAGCGTCACACTCGCAACTGCATCGTTCTTGCGGTGGAAGATATACGCTGAAGTCTGCTGCGTCGTTACCGAGCCATCCGTCGTGCTCTGCGGTAACGCGTTGGGGATGCCCTGGAAAGCATTGCGGTAGATGTCTATGGACACCTGGTCGCGCCAGGTATGCTTCGCGCGGTCTAGGAAGTCGTTTCCGTTATCCCAGAGGATGGTGGAAGTGTTGTACTTTGCGGCAGTGCGAACGAAGAAGTCAAAGTAACGCCATCGCGCTGCTGTCTCTGTGGCGACTGGCGAAACAGCCCATTCACCGATCATGAGGGGAATATCAGTAAAGTTTCCGCGTACGGCGGCGATGTCAGCTTCGAGGCTGGCTTTATCTGCGTCGGAGCCCCATGTTGTTTTTCCCCAGGCTTGGAAGACGTAGTCGTCTAGTCCACATTAGCAATGAACCAACACTTTTAAAGTAAGAGAATGGAGACTTACAAGGCGAATAATAATGATACTGAATCCCCCACGGATTCTTCCACTTGGAATCCGGTCTCTTAAACCATTGACTCGTCTTAACCCCATCCTCACCCGCACCCACAAGCGTAACAACCCTCTTCGAATTGAATCCCCCTGCCTCATTAATCGCCTTCAAAAAGATTTCATTCAGCCGATTAACCTCCGCTCCATGCTCAGCCGTCGTCCCCGGAATCTCATTGATAGGCTCAAACGCTACCTTCTCACTCTTACACGCCAGCTTCGCCCCGATCTGGCTCCACAGCTTTCCCAGTCTCTCCTCCACAGCCGTCACATTCGTACCAGATGCCGTCAAATCCGCCCACGTCCAGCTGTCGTGGTGCACATTTACAATGGCGTATAGGTCGCGGGATGTCACCATGTCGACGACATCGGAGACGCGCTGCAGCCAGACAGGATCGACGGTCCAGTCAGGGGACTGCGAGGTAAAGTGGTAGGCCCACGTAACGGGGATACGGATTCCCTTGAAACCGGCGCGTTTGGCGTCGTCGAAAGTGGCGGCTACGACGGGTGGATTGTTCCAGCTGCCTTCTGTTTCTACGGCGTCGAGTGTGTTCCCGACGTTCCAGCCCGGGTTTATGCGCGAGAAGAATGTACCGGCGGAGATGGAGGTGAATTTCGAGGAGGATGGGCAGGTTATGCTAGTTGTGTTTGCTGTTAGGGCGGGTTAGTGGATAGGGAGTTGGTGTGGTAGTGTGTAGGAGGGAGGGATGAAATACATTGAGCAGAGGCAAGAATGCTGTTAAGCAGCAATGCTGCACTTGTGCGAGAGACCTTCATTGCAATTTTTTTTGGTCTTCAATTGATCTGGTAACTCCCTGAACTTTTTCTATATCTTGGGAGTCGGCCAAGATATACATTTCTACCTACTGTATTACATACCCAAAACGCCCCCTTGCCCCTCAGTGTTGAAATCCTCCATATAGCTCTCACACCCACTCGTATGTCCTATCCCCGAAGTTTTAACAGCCTCGCCTGGCAACCGAGTTCTAGTCCCCAGAAAGACGGCTCCTTATAGTTTAGCGCGATCGTCAAGCTTTCACAGCCATACCTATGCTTAGAGTGCATACCCGCTGTATTCCCTGGATTTGCGAGTGCGGAGACCCACGTATAGAATACTTCTGGAAGGTGGGTGCATACGAAGCGCTGTTGATTGGTTTAAAGAGAACAAGTGATGTCCAAGGTTTAATGTTCGTCCAATATATCGTCAATCCTGCCGCCCCATATTCAATATGCAGGTCCACAGCCGGCCCTAATATCCAGATTAGCCAGGGTGAACCTGTATTTCCACCAAGGAATGATGATGCGACTGTCTTTACTACAGTACTAGCACAGCATGAGTGTCTGCAGTTTATGAAAACTACACGTAAAGGCGCTGGAATTTGCAAAAAAATAAATAGTATACAAGCATCTCGTTTCCAAACTGCTTCCAGGAAGCAATTACAAAGGTTCTAGAAGTTCCACAGACTTATGGAAAAGCAATAAACACAATCACCAGGCACGTGGATGTGACGAACAAGATGGTAACTACCAAATTTACACAAGGTTAGATATAAACATACACACATCCGACAAAACGTCGAATGTACTGATAACACACGAATAGAAAAGGATGAATTCATACACCATATCCCAATATCCCATGTAAACGCCGAAGAAAGTTGAAATCAGTTACCAAGTCGATCTGACTACGCTTGGCCGCAACATGCGTATAAAGAAGAAAAAAAAGCCCAAACTTTTGCCAGACTATCAGTATCATGATACCAAAGCGTGCATCATGACGTCGGTAAGATCGGGTTTAAAATGGTCAGAAAGGGGTTTCCGATTAGGCCTCGGACAGGGAGTCTTCGCTAGGCACATATTTTAGAAGTCGGGTTTGGTGCGTAAAGGCTGCTTGCGACCTGATCGTCTAACACCGCCAGGTTATGCGAGTTGCCGGCATCGGGTCCTGGGGGTGTCGACTACTCCGGGCGTGGTCGTTTAGCGCCATGAGGGTTTTGCCAGGTATTCTCATTGCCACCCTGATTACCATTAAAGAAGCCTGGGTTGAAGCCTGGGTTGCCACCAAAGCCGCCTCCTGTAAGTTCAGCGTTAGCAATTATCTAGGCAAAGAGAAGAGGATGTTGGGGTTCAGTCACTAGAAGAAGTTCTAGGGGGAGATTTCCACATACCCATTCCTCCCATCATGCCCATGTTGCCACCACCCATACCCATCATATTGGCTCCCATGCCCATCATGTTGCCACCCATTGGCATATTCATTCCGCCCATCGGGTTTCCACCCATCGGATTCATGCCCATGTTTCCGCCGCGACCACGATTACCCATGCCACCGCGCATGCCACCGCCCATCATACCACCACGGTTGAAGCCGCCCCCAAAGTTGTTCATGCCTCCCATGGGGTTTCCAAAGTTGTTCATAGGTGGCTGGGCGCCATAGCCTCCCATGTTTCCGCCCATGTTATTATTTACCGGACTGTAGTTGCGGTTGTTGTTATAGCCCATACCACCGCCTCTGTTGAAGTTCCCGCCCCTATTATTGTTGTAACCACCTCGGTTGTTGTTATAGCCGCCCGAGTTTCCGTAGTTGCTGGCAATCACACGGTCGTTCCTACCCTTGTCTCGTGTTGGGACATCCTTTGGTAATGTCTTGAATGGGTTGACGTGGGGAGGACTGAAGATGGCGGTCGGCTTTTTGGTGTGCGCTTGGTCTTTGAACAGGTTCTCAATTTTGTGCTTCAAAGCAGTAGCTGCTTGTGGTGAATTCATTAGAGCAAAAACTTGACTACAAGCTAATCAGCATGCGAAGTCTCAGGAGATTGAAACATATTTACCCTTTGCTCTTGCCGTTGACCTTGTGCTCGCTGAAGGAGACTTCGATAAGCTCGTCTTCGCAGCCGCTCTGGTTGGCCCATCCGCGAATGTCTTCTTCACTGACCCACCAGTTGACATCGTTGATCATCAGGGCTGCGGTAGCGCCAGGGTCGGTCGGACGATCGTCATCCTCGCCTTGCTTGCGCTTTGTGCCTTGCTGTTGTGGTGCCTGCTTGTGAACATCTAGACCAGCCGAGCCGCCTGTGGACGCTATCTGTTGTGTAGTCTGTTCGTGATGGCTATCTCCATTCGCCGGGTCACCGGCTGTGTGGTCACCGCTTTCGGGCTTTGTGTTGTCGGATGCATTGTTCAGGGTAGCTGCATTGGCATCTGTATCGGGGACGTTGGAGTCGGTCACTGTGGTGTCTTGCTGGGCGGTCGAATCTTGGTAAGGTTCATCGCCGTAGATGTCGATATCGAAGTTGTCGTCGTCGGCCATGTTTGCTGTAGTCTGTCAAGTCAACTGCAGTAAGCGAGCGCTATGATATGTGCCGGTATGCTTGTTTGATTCGCTTTAGGTACTCGAGGTGCTAGTATCAATAGCAAAAGTACATGCAATTCTGTGATTGGTATACAAATCAGCATGTTGAGATGGGATGAATACAGTAAAGAAAAGAATGCTGCGGCAGTCGATGCCATTCCGACGAGGACAAAGAGACAAACTGCGTAGAATCAGGCCATACGTACAGTGCCGCTGCTGGCGAGGGGAATGGTCCAGAAGGACAGCTCAGATCAAGACGTGCTCTTCCGATCGCCTCTGGCAGATGCGGAGATGTGAAAGGTACAGGATGTGGTGTCAGAGATGTTTGTGTGTGTAGTAGCCTCAGCCTCCCTTCTGCGCTTGCGTTGCCAGCTTCTAGTACAGTGTGCGCGAACCAGAGCCGCTGTGTACAATGTGCTTGGAATTGACGTGGCGCAAAACCGTGCGCAACCAGTAATGAGAAAATAATGGACAGTAACGAGGATGAGCTCGAACCAGAAGCCAAGCGCGTTCCCTTCCTGTCCCAAGCTCTGCGCGTGCCGCAACGAGAACAGTCGGGCTGCTAGTGCAGTTTTTATAACGTCCCTGTCTGTTTTAGTACTTTCTGCGTCAGCAACAAACCTGGGGAAAGATTGCAGATTCGAGTCGATTGCTATCGCCGGCGCGAAAGAGGGTGAGCAACATACGAGAACGCGATGCGAGAGCTCGGATCGCTAGCGTCGCCGTTAGTATACTCCTTGGCACGCCACCCACCCCTGTCGGCTCTTGCCGTCTCCGCAAGGCCAGATTGCCGCCAACTCTGAACTGGTCTATCTGGTAATTTGGCAGCTGAGCTACCCTGACTTCGCGACTTCCTCAATCCACGATACCAAAACTCCTCGACAAGTCATCCCTCACACCAATTCGAATTAGTCCTACGATACGAAAATCGCACATCAGTCGCCATGGAGAACATCAAGGAGTTTGCCGAGTACGCAAGACCGAAGACATGATGGAAGAGAGAAAAGGCAATTACTAACGTGCGCGCAGTATGCCCGCTGAGTTCCTCAAGGAGGGTACTCTCTTCATGAACCGCTGCACCAGTAAGACTTACATTACGTGTGCTTAATTACGGCACTAACTCGGTAGCAGAGCCCGACAAGAAGGAGTTCATCAGGATATCGCAAGCAGTCGGAATCGGTTTCTTGATCATGGGTCAGTAATATCTCTTTCCTCTTCGACGAATCTGGTCATCTGACGTACCCGCAGGAGTTATTGGCTACGTCGTCAAGCTCGTCCACATTCCCGTCAACAACATCCTCGTTGGTGGCTCATAGTCTCCCCAACTCCAGAGACATCGATTACCTTCCTCTTGCACATCCGACCACACGACGGATGCGTTCATCATATCATTTTTAGTGCGCTTGGAGGGTGGGGGAACATATGCGGCATATGGGGTTTGGAGGCCCAGATACCACGCATTGCATATGCGAAAGGGGCTGTACTATACCGACATTGGGCCAGCGGGAGTTTGATTGCATACAAAATCTAAGCATTTACGCACCGCATATCATCAATGTCCCGCACAGCTCGTGTAATGTGAATACCGACTAATACCAAACTGCCGCCAAATATCTAAATGCGAAATAATACACAGCAACCACCGAGACGTACAGAACACTCGGCCCACACGTGCATCGATTTCTACATTTGTCAGCCAATGCAGACTCTTCAATCATCTTCCATCATGTCTTCGTACCACGTTGGGTGTCTCCTGTACAACCGCTCGTCATGCTGTAGTTGCGCATTGACCCGTCGACCGACTTCCGGCGTTGCCTCGTCGTCCTCAACGCCATCGTTCCATGTGTGAACTGTGCATGTCCCTTGTGAGGTGCCCCATCCGTTCCATGACGTCGCTACAACTTGTTAGCACAACCGAAGAAGAGGTATGTCATGTTTCCTAAACTTACCAGCAATCACAGGCGCATTGGGGTGCCAGCTCGCGTCTCGGACACAAGTCATCCATCGGCCCTCGTTCCTACCCCAATAATCATAGGTTCCAGCAAGGAAGTCTGGATCGCGTGGCCGCGAATTCCTCGTCGCTTTTAGGACATTCACTTTACCGGCATGCGTTGCATCCATGTTCCAAATATGAACCGAACCGTCATAGCTACCAGAATAGACGTAGCGGGAGTCGGTACTACCAGGGGGCGAGAAATGACATCTAATAAGCGTCTTTAATACCTTGTGGCCACGGAAAGTAACAAGCGAGCAGTCGTAAGGATGTGGGCTATAGTCCTTAGGGTCGTAAGCGTTGGATCGATACTCAAAGCGCGTCGTGTATTTATTCGGATCAATCGTGTCAGCCTTCTCTTTGGACATCATCTTCCTCAGATCCCATAACTTTGCAGTTTGGTCTTTTCCATTGCTGAGCACGTATCGCCCGTCTCCTTTACTGTCGACGTAGGTTAAACCTTCAGTGTGGCCTAGGAAAACACCAGCTTCTCGGCCATCACCCATACTTCTTCGGTCCCAGACCTTAAGCGTTGTGTCGTCCGAGCCCGAGTATAGAATATGTGGCGATTGAGTGTCACCGAAACAGACCGCATTTACATCATCTTGGTGGCCTCGTATACGGAGCACTGATTGACGTCGCTCAATGTCGTAAACGTAGACGGAGTTGTCTCCTGTTCCTGCTACAATTTCACGGCCATCACCAGAGAAGCGTATCGACCATATCTGAAAAGGTCAGCTGCAAATCGCATGTGGATAGGATTCCACTTACACCGAAATGTGAGGAGAAGCCACGGGGGTTGCGAGAGCCCATGTCGTTGAAATCGAGTAAATGCGGCTCGGAATCATTATCTGGATCCGTATGTGCTAAACTCACGACGCTTCGAATCGAGCTGTATGCCAAAAAGCGATTGTCAGGACTTAATGAGGCATCTGTAATCGTCCATTGGCCACCATGGTATCTCACTGTCTACGACTAGTCAGCTTTGCGAAAGCAACATCTTGAAATACCGTTTACCTTGTAGTATTTCCAGTCGTATGGGTTTGACGTATCGTACATGCGCACTTTGAAGTCCTGCGCACAAGAGAAGAAGAAGTTGCCGTCGTCGGAAAACTGTCCAGAATAGCATCGCGCATTGTAATGTATGATGGTGTCGGCCGCTGATTCTGGTATCATGTCCTGCTTCATAAGCCTTGTTGCGTTCTTCTGCCGCCCATCACTACCGATGCCCAACTCTCGTCGCATGATGGCACTGGCTAATTTCTTCTTTTTCTTAATTGTGTCCACATTTCGTACGTTTGACCCAAAGGTCCCCGTCTGCATCAATTCCTGTCCTTGTTCGCTAGGCACCTTCTCAAACAAGTTTGCGCCGCGTGGTCGCCGCCTTCTGCCAGATGTCCCTGCAGGGCCGACAGGGTCATAACCAGTACCCGGGTCGCTGTCGTCGTCGTCGTCGTCCTCATCATCTTCTTCTTCATCATCGTCGTTGAATGTGCGCCGCTGAAGTGCGGACCGTGGGCTAAATCCAGCGGCGAATATCCGTCCCAATCCCGCATGCCCAAGTAACCGCAGGATCTCGTCGCGGCCAAGGATTATGGGTCGTCCATGCATATGTGTCTCGCCTTCTTCTGTCTCTTCCCCTTCGTCTTCGTCCTCCTCTTCATCCTCATCGTCCTCGTCTTCTTCTTCCTCGTTATCGTCGGTATACTCGAATGCGATCTCGACCCCGTTGAGATTACCCAGTCGTTCGGCAGCGTCTTGAAGTAAAGTCAATACATATAATGGCTATTGCGCACTTGATGTGAGCGCGTACCATGAAAGCTCAACTCGGCTTCCCCATCGTCCGCATTCTCACTGCCCGTTTCTGCCGGCACAAAGTCCATGTCGTCATCATCATCAGTGTCGCGCCAGAAGGGATCGTTCGGATCGTAGACTATGGTCCTTGCAGAATCCTCTTCGTTAGGTGGACTTGTCGGAACTTGCGACGAGCTCATTTCTGCCGTGTAGCTTCCGAAAGAGTATATAGTTGTACCGAGGCGATATCGTGGTGCTCGTATCGGGAAGCTTTGTAGCAGGCTCGGCAATAAGACTATCTCCGATGACCCCACATTCGGGCCACCTTATCGATATGCTGGTTAGGTGAAATAGATTATCACTGCAGCTGTCTACCGTACAATTACGCGATGCGCATGCTATATGATGCGAGATGATGATCGAAAATTAATTCACTGTTGAAGAATAACTACTCGGCTGTGAAAGACCCCAATGCCTCAACATTTTCAGAAAAAGCTCAACCGGTATCGTGATCCTGATGCGAAATCATCAGTTCTGGATCAGGATCTTCATCTTCTGAGTCGAAGAACGATGGCTTTGGCGGAGTTGGCTGCCTTTGCGGCGATCTGCTGATTCTAATAGCTGATATCGTCATATCCTCCTGTTGCTCCGTTTGAAACCCATCATGATCTAGTAGTGACCCTAGAGCTTTCTCCTTGCCTTTTCGTTTTGTGCCCAGAGCCTCGACCAACATGGTTCTACCTTGCGTGAATGCCTCAAGTTCTGCCCCAACAGCGCATACCAGCAAGTTCCAGCTGCGCGAAGTGGCGTAGTCCAGCTTTTCTTCCAGGTAGCTAATGGTCTTATCCATTTGCTCGAGGAGCTGAGAAGCATCAGGAGAACCATTCCGTCCCGCGTGCTGCATATAATCTTGTAGGCTTGTTTCGTAGTCTGCTACCTTCTTCACGACTTCTGTCCATAGATGTGCCCCCTCCTCAAGCGCGCCGCGGTCTGTGTCGACCTCTTCGCATTTTTCTGCTAACCTTGCGTACTCGTCTTGCCAATATTCACGCGCCATATCGAGAGTTCTCCGCTTCGCTGGGAGTGTAAGGAACGGCGAGGATGACATTGGTACATGGTCCGCGTTTGGAGGTCTTTCAAGGAAGTTTGAGATTTCACGATCCAGCAACGAGAGTGCCGTTTTGTAGGACGCTATCTTTGCTTCCGCCGAGTTCTCGGTATCTGCCAGCTCGTCCAGCACCCGTCGATGCCGTCGCTTCAGGGCCCAAAGCTCCTCTTCTTTTTGCCGTATTTCTTGCTCTAGCTTCGAAGCTTCAGTTTGTAGGCTCTTCGCTTTTGCGCCTGCGTCTTCGCATTCTATATCGTGGATCTTCTTCTCGAGTCGTATGCGCTTCTGGCTCCACGCGTCGGTCTTCTCCACTGTGGTTTGCAGTTTTCTCAAATCTTCGTCTAGCAAATCCAGTTCTTCAGACTTGACACTAGCAAGTTGTCTTATACGCCTGGAGATGCCTCTTCTCGCTGTGTCGAGACCGACTTTCTTCCGCTTGGGTATTTGCCGGGTATCCCCATTCTCTGCACTCCTATCACTCGACCTTACACTACTCACAGTTGGTGTAGTACTGCCATTTGACACGAGATCGTCCGGTATGACATCACCCGCGCCTAGCCCGCCCATTAAACCATCTGCCTGAGCATCGAGCAGCTCTTGCAGCTGTTGTTCGAGGTGTCGCGCTCGTCGTTGCAAAGCTATCAGATCGTCGGGCACCCGAGGTGGTGGTAATAAGGCGGTTTTGGGGGCGCTCCATAGTACTGAGGCAGTAACGGGGGGTGGAATTCGAGGAGACGGCGGGGAGTTGTACACCGGTAGCTCGTGGTCGCGCGCATGTGGATCTTCGAATGATTTCCTGAATCCCGGAGGAGGAGACAGCGAGCCCAGTACTGAATTAAAGATGGACATTATTGTGGGACATGGACATGTATGTAGGCGGTGATATCGTCGAAAGTGAGTTGCTAAGGTGTGTTTGTATGCCTGCTCGTGTGATATTCCTGTTACCTTGAGCATGTGAACGAGTCAGGCGCTTTCCGAGGTTTCTTAGTCAGCTACCATCACAGAGGCATCATGGAAAGCGCATTCGACACGCCAAACAACATCAGTCCATGAGTCAAAGATCTCTCCAAGTATGAGAAGCATATCGTATAATTTTCTGGTAAGTTCGGGAAGACTTAAATTCAAGATGGTCGACACAATTAGCAACGCGACGAATACGCAAAGTTTAGTATATGCTCGCATACTATGAACGACATCTTAGCCCTGATACTCCAGCAATCAGTCCTTGAATACACGCACATCTCTAACTGTATCACACGCACACGCATACGCACACGCAGAGGAAAAAGTGGCTTGTATGCCGGGTTGAAGAGTGCCTTATGGATAGTCCACTGTCCCGCCACGCCAAGCCTAATCCAGGCTAGTGCCCACGGATTGGAAGCGACGTTCGAATTCCAACATTGAATTTCGCGACTGCCTTCGCGACAACAGCACTAACTCCCAGGAACACCAAATCGTACGCTCTTCCACCTCTTTTCTTGCCGAGCAATTGCTAATAGCCAGTTCAGCAGCCGTATACCCCACCAAAATACAACATGGCTGACGCTCCTGCCCCCGCTCGTGGCGGTTTCGGTTCTCGTGGTGACCGTGGTGGTGACCGCGGACGTGGTCGTGGTCGTGGACGTGGCCGCCGCGGTGGAAAGCAAGAAGTAGGCATACACAACCTTAAAGGAAAAATTGCAGGAAGTTGACAATCGGTACAGGAGAAGGAATGGCAACCCGTCACTAAGCTCGGCCGTCTCGTAAAGGCTGGCAAGATCAAGAGCATGGAGGAGATGTACGTCTATGAGAGCGACAACATCTCTCCAGAAAGCCGGACTGACAAATGGCAGCTACCTCCACTCTCTCCCCATCAAGGAGTACCAGGTCGTTGACTTCTTCCTGCCCAAGCTCAAGGATGAGGTCATGAAGATCAAGCCCGTCCAGAAGCAGACCCGTGCCGGTCAGCGTACCCGCTTCAAGGCCATCGTCGTCATCGGTGACTCTGAGGGCCACATTGGTCTCGGTATCAAGACCTCCAAGGAAGTCGCGACCGCCATCCGCGCCGCCATCATCATTGCCAAGCTCTCCGTCGTTCCCATCCGAAGAGGTTACTGGGGTACCAACCTTGGTGAGCCTCACTCGCTCCCCACTAAGGAGAGCGGAAAGTGCGGTTCCGTCACTGTCCGTCTCATTCCCGCTCCCCGTGGTACTGGTCTTGTCGCTTCCCCCGCCGTCAAGCGTCTCTTGCAGTTGGCTGGTGTCTCCGACATTTACACTGCCTCGTCCGGTTCCACCAAGACCCTCGAGAACACCCTGAAGGCTACCTTTGTCGCCGTCGCACACACCTACGGTTTCCTTACACCCAACCTGTGGAAGGACAACAAGCTCACCCCCTCTCCTCTCGAGGAGTACAGCGACATCCTTCGCGAGGGCAAGAGGTACTAGAGGTAGTTTCTGGGCGATATGGGTCTTTTCTAGCATTCATGGGTTATGGCGCGGGGTATTACATTCAGGACCTCACGTATGCATCCAACGATAGTGCTGGAGCAACCGGCATGAAAATGAACAATTTCCAATGATGTCTGAAGTTATGAAATCCTTGGCGTGCCATGCCCGTATGTTTGACATGAGTACAGAGATGAAGTTTCGTCACCCTGGCAGAACCCCATCTTCTCAGAAGACCTCCACATTGCATGGATGGTGTTAACTACGCTGAGACGTCCTCCTGTTCTCGCACACTGTGTCACGAAAGCATTTCAGGGAGTTGTTGGAGAGTCCAAATGTAGTGTAGCAGTTTATACGGTTTGAACGGGAGCAGTATCCGCCCGCCTCAGGACAATCAAACGCACTAAGAAACCAAATATAGTGATTAGAATGCTTTTATATATATATATATATATATATATATATATATTACACAAAACTATCCTAATGATACAAAGCAGAAAGGATTTACTACAAACCCAAACGTAACCGAACGTCCATAACCAAACCCCTTTCCCCTGAGCCCAATCCTTACCCCAATAAGAAAGCTATTCACACCAGCACACCTAACTACTAGGCTCCGTCTTTACACCCTCCTTACCCTTATTCCCATGCCTCCGCCCACCCCTCCTATTCCTCCTCCTCCCATTCCCACCCTTCTCCTTCTCTCCCTCCTTCTCCGGCGGCGGAATAACCCCCGTATCCATAATCCTCTGCAACTTGGCGATCCTCTCCTTCTGCGCTGACGAAAGAGGATAGCACTTTGGCGGATCATTACCAAACCTACTTTCAAGATCCTGGAGCAGGTTAAACAACGCCATCGCTTTTTGGTACACGACGCTGTCGACCTTGGGCTGCACGGCTTTGTATTTTTCCAGCTCGTAGGGCGTGAAGTTGCCCTTTGCGGCGCAGACTTGGAGGAGGTCCACGCGGGGGTCCCGAGGGTTGGGAATTTCTGGGAGTTGGGGCTTGGGGGGTTCTTCTGAGGGCTTGATGGGTGTCGTGTGTAGGTGGTAGCGTATGCGCTTGATTGGTCGTCCTTCGATCTTTATGGCTTGGTTGTTGTTGGTGTCATCATCGTCATCGTCGGCGAAGAGTCGCTTACGCGACTCCAGGCAGTCAAGTTGGAATTGGGAGAGTCCTGTTGATGCGGTTGGTGTGGCATAGACACTTGACGAAAGGGAATTGCTGGAACCGGCAATTGGCGCTGCATTCGTTGCTGGCGCATACCGTGCTGGTCTTGGTGGGCTGGGGCTTGGAGTCGCAGTTTGTCTAAGGCCGGGCTCAGACTTAATAGCCATTGGGGCCTGGGTGAATTGCAATCTCCGTGACTGTAATGGTAGAAAGTCCTGGTTCTTGTTTGATACTCGTTGCTGATGATGTTCGTATCGGAATAGCCGCGACAGCACCATCATCAGCATGCATGCCCGGTTCCTGCTTAATATACACAGACATATCTTTTCGCTAGTAACGTAACGTAACGTAACGTAACGTAACGTAACGTAACGTAACGGGGGTCGCGAATAAATAAAATACAAAACGATACAAGAGTCTAAGGTACTTCAATCGCAGTACCTGTAGGTAGAAACGCGTGGGATACATAACGAAAAACAAGAAAGCGATGGATCGCGATCGGAATGATCGGAACTATTGGAACAAGGTCTCCTCTGGTGGTATGACTACCATAGGGAACCGAGTAGAGGTATGTTAGGTCACCACGTATTGGATTGAACTACACTAAGAGCTGTTGTTCTGTCTTCTTATTATCATGATGATCTGGGGATTTACATGACAGATCATCATTCCGCGTCGGTCCTTCTGCTCGGGCTTACTTCCACGAGCCTCATCCCCGCCGACCTGGACTGAACCTTACATCTTCTCAACAGGAACCAAGATATTCGCCCAAAGAAGAAAAGGGGCGTCTGTAAACCTTCTGAAATTTGATTAGAAAGCCTGTTTTGAAGATATCGGGTTATATCTGTCTGAGATTGATTGGTGCGTTGAAAAAAAGAAGTAATTGTGTGGAAAAAAGCAAGGTGGGTTAAGCAGAATGTAGCGGACGGGAAAGATATCGAGGAACGCGGTTGCGCGGCCAACTCGCAAATGTCGCGCTAGGATAGTATAGAGGGGCAACCCTGGAGGTGTACCCGCAGGTGGCACGACCCAGACACACTAAGTAGTTGAATCTCTTCTCAGCACTTGGTAAAGAGTGTTCCTTGCATCCATTACGTGGACTTCTGATCGTTGATGTATTGAATACAGCGTACTGGTAATGAGATACATAGCCCTGAACAACCTGGATTTAACACTTTACGCAGCCTAATTACTGCACACTCTCCCTGTATAGACCTATTACTTAAACATACACTAGAACAAACATAGTGATCGTCGCACAGGCGACGCTTAGCTCCCACTCATTTTGCTACAGACATAGAAGCAGATACTGACATAAGAGCCCCAGGCATATCATGGCCTATTCTCCTGCTCGAAGATCAACTTATCTCGCCCGGACAAGCTGAACTGGACACTATCCTGACCAGCTAGCCTCAGCAACTCGTTGATCTTTTGGACTGCGCTGTTCACTAATGACATGCCGGATAGGTTGTTTATATCCAGGTCTGAGAGGGCCAAGACCTGGCCGCCCTGTTGAGGAACAGAAAGTTGTGTTTGAGGTTGTGTTGTGGCAGCTCTAGCTAGTGGTTGGGCCTGGACATGTCTTTGTGGTGCTGGGGCGGGTCTTGCTGGAACAGGTGCTGGTCTGGTAGCGACAGGGTTTCCTCTTCCATTGCCCGGCTGGTTGTTTCGTCGAAAGCAAGCGATCGTTTGATGCAGCTCTTGTAGAATCTTTTTTTGGGCATTTGATAGTCGTAGTCGCATCCAAGCTGGGATTTGGCTCATGACATCGACTCTGGCCTCCCCGCCACCAAGCACTCTGTTCACCTTTTCTTGCAAGTCATCCAGAAGCTTCACCTCCTGGGGTGACAATTGGCGATCACCTGATCGCTGTGGTTGTGGTGTACAGAGCTCCCATACGTCGAACGTGGGATATGCTGGATGAGGCGCCACTCGTCGGATTGGATCGTTGACTCTGCGTGGCCCTGTAGGCGCTTGGCTCATTTGTGGAGGTTGGAAGGAGATTGGTGGCATCGAAGTGCCGAATACGTGAGTAGATGGATTGGAAGGCGGGGGTGGAGGAGGAGGTGTGGGTACGTCATCGGTCAACGGTTCCTGCTTGATCATGACTCCTTGAATGACTTCACGCTCTACAGTGTCCCGGTCGGCCGTCGATCGTCCTGTTGTCTCTTCGCGATCAGATGACACATGTCTATGTTTCTCATTCCTCATTGTTGTATTAGTCGGCGCCCATACGTGCCCTGACCATTTGCTAGGGATCGTCTGGTTGTTAGGGAACGTTGCTGTACTGGGGCCTGGTGTACATGTGTTGTCAAAAAGGCGGGCTCGCTTCATCGATCGAGCTCCTCCATGGTCTGATTGATCTTCAATACCATCTTCGGCTAATGACCGTTTCTTTGGACTGCATTCGGCGGTCGGAATTTGCGCATACTTGCTCTTGTAAAGTCCTCCTAAAGGTTGAGGTGTTTGGTTCGAGGTGTTTGGTGTCGGGACGAATGTTGTGGAGTCTGGCATCGGTGTTGGGGCACCGAGTGACGGCGGCTCTCTTTCTTCGCTTCTCGACACGGATTCCGGCTCGGGCGTCTGAGCAGCGTGGTCGCCTGGAATATATCTCTGTTCGTTCGCAGCTGGCTTCGTCATGGCAACTACAATGTTGTCTTCCGTCTGCATTTCTTCATCCACAGCAAGGGCCACTTCAGGCACGCTCGGTGCTGGTGTTGTCGCTGCTCCTGAAGTCACCGGCATGTCGTCTTGGTCTGATGTTGTTGCCTGAATGCTTTCGCTCTTCCTCGAATTTGCACGTGTCGAACGGCGTAGGATGGTCTCCGTTGCCTTCACCGTCAGAGCTTTGGTAGGAGTTTGGTTCACACTCTTCCTTGGTCTTCCAGGTCTGCGGCGTGGTGCTGGCTGTACCGAAGCATCAGCAGGCTCATCCATCTGCTCTGATCCCGCTGAGGCAGGTGCTGGTGTTCCTTCCACCTCTTCACTTGCACGACGTAATTCGTTGCTGTCCATCGTCATCGTCGAGGTATCCTCTAGAACCTCTGGCTCTGGTGCTTACTCCCTCTAAGCCACCTTGTCATGGCAGCCATATCTGGCGGAGGATGTAGCGGAGAGGAGGGGCAGGAGGGTCGGACACAACAAATCGTCTCGTATCGGAATCGTCGGAAAGGGTCGGAAAATTCGGACTTGGAAGTGACGACTTTGGAAGCGTCAACAGTCGAGGCTGCTCCGGTTTATACAGGTGCTATCAACAACGTTGCGCAGGCAATGAACCCGAATGTAGAAGCAGCGGCCAAGGGATCCCTGGATGGATGACGGAGTCGCGTTGCGCTAAGCAAAACTTCCAAGGTTCCACCCTTTCGCGAATCTGACGCGCTAGCGTTGCTTCTCCGATAGCAATGTGATTTGTCCTAGTCGGCCTCTACAAGCTAGATGGGAGGCTGGAGATGGGGAGTTGTTGAGACTTGGTGCGACCGAGGGTACTAAGTTTGATGTGCTGTATTATGGCTGAAAAAGCTGCGACAGCGAAAGCGATATTTTGCTTTCGCGAATCTTCACCTGACCGGCTGAAAAGACCACCACACGACTTTATTCGCATTGCGCAGACTCCAGCCGGTTGGAAATGACTGGAATGTTGCCTTGGAGCGGTTTCGATTTCATGTGTATCCCCAGACTTTGTATACAAATTTCATCGTGGACGGGCGTTCCTAACAGCCGAAAACCAACTACTCGCCTTGCAGAGGCTGTCCATTGCCACCCAAAGTTATCGTCTTTGTGACAATGTACTCATCAATGCCCAGATGGCTTCCCTCTCGCCCAAACCCACTTTCCTTGACACCGCCGAAAGGTGAGGCAGCATCCGAGATGAGACCTGTGTTGACACCGACCATACCAACCTCCAACGCTTCAGCCACTCTGTAAACTCTCTGGATGTCTTTGCTGAAGAAATAGCCTGCAAGCCCCACGTCAGCCGCATTAGCAAGCTTAATGACATCTGCCTCGGTTTCGAATGGGAAGAGACCGGCTACGGGACCGAAAGTCTCGTCTTTAGCGAGCTGCATGTCCTTGGTCATGTCACGGAGGACAGTAGGCTGGTAGAAGTTCTCTCCAAGATCAGGGAGCTTCTGACCGCCGAAAAGAACCTTTGCACCGTTCTTGACAGCGTCTTGAACATGTGCATCGACCTTGGAGACAGCGCGGTCGTGGATGAGAGGGCCATGTGTGATGCCTTCTTCGTAGCCACCGCCAACCTTGAAGGCCTTGACCTTTTCGGTGAATTTGGTGCAGAACTCATCGTATATGCCAGATTGTACGTAGATCCTGTTGGCGCATACACACGTCTGACCTGATGAACGGAACTTGGAGGTAATGGCTCCAGTCACCGCCGTCTCGAGATCGGCGTCGTCGAAGACGATAAAGGGTGCGTTTCCACCCAATTCGAAGGAGAGCTTCTTCAGTGTTTCTGAAGATTGCTTCATCAGGAGCTTACCAACACCGGTGGAGCCTGTGAATGAGACCTTCTTGACGGTTTTGCTTGATGTGATGGTTTCACCTACTTCAGCCGTATTCTTGAGCGCAGTAACAAAGTTCACTACACCCTTGGGAATTCCCGCTCTATGTGCAAGCTCGGCGAGAGCAGCGGCAGTGAAGGGCGTCTCGCCAGGCGACTTGGCTACCACTGTACAACCAGCTGCGAGAGCAGGTCCGATCTTCCTTGTAATCATGGCTGCAGGGAAGTTCCATCTATTGATGTTAGCCAAAGTAGTTTATCGTGGGGTTCGATACTTACGGTGTTATTAATCCGACGACGCCAACTGGTTCTTTGATTGTGAAGACCCTGTTTCCCGCAACCGATGCTGGGATGGTAGCTCCATACATTCGCGGTGCCTCTTCAGCAAACCATTCGTAGAAACTCGCAGCATAGTTGACCTCTCCCTTTGCATCTGCAATGGGCTTGCCATTCTCCCAGGTTATGAGCTTCGCCAAATCGTCGGCGTTATCGATGATGAGTTGGTACCATTTTCGTAGCATGCGTGAGCGCTCCCGGCCTGTGAGCTTGCGGAAAGAGGGGAGGGCAGCCGCGGCAGCTGCAATGGCGGCCTCGGTGTCGGCGCGATCCATCTCAGGCATGGTGCCAATGAGCTTGCCTGTCGCTGGGTCTGCGATGTCTTAGTAGAGGGTTCTCCAAAGCACGCAGATTAGTAGCATTACCATGAACCTCAAAGCTCTTGCCCAACTTTGCGTCTATCCATTCTCCATTGACATAGGTCTGGCTCTTCAGAAGAGACTTGTCGTTGAGCTGTGATGGTTGTCAGCCCTGTCTTTTCGGTGCGACTACCAGATGGGCGTTGTGACATACGGGTGGTATCGAATGACCCATGTTTGCGTAGGCTCTTGAAACGATTAAAGGTAATGTTCTTTTTTGGAAGTTGCTTCTGCAAGCTTGTTGACGGGCAATTGATCGGGTAGCTGTCACAAAAGATCGCATGGTGTATTGGCGTGGGCGTTGAGATTGATTATAAGCTACCACGAATGCGCCGGCTCTAGATACGGCACGCGTGACAACCGGGAACCTCGGAAAGCTTTGCTCGCTACAAAACGACTGCACTTCCTCATCTACTGGTTCGGTGTTGGGGCAGGTGGAGTTGAAAAGCTTATGACGTATCACAGAGCTATTGGCACACTGCGGGGTCGGATGCGCTGAGGCTTGGATTAATTCGGCAGCCCTTCACGGTATTCACGGCAACAGGACAACATGAACATGAGGTTCTTATAAGTTTCAAGTCTAATATATATGCCTTTCTAGCAACCTTTTGTTGTTATGTTATGAGTGTTTAGGAGCCAGTATTACATTGTGTGCGCATGTAGCGTTTAGAGCGTTACCGGCGTGTAGGAAGTCGACGGCGCAAAAGATAGGTTGCCATGGGCTGATGAGTTGTTAGAGCCTACGGCGGCGAACCCTGGTTGTGAGGGGTATTCAGTCGTGCTGGTACGGGTAGAAGAATCGGCTTAGTTGGGCTTGGCTGGGATGCGCCCGCTATACCTAGGTAGTCTCATTCCTGAAGCGTGCAACCTCCCATCGACGAGGTATAGCTTGCATCCCGTCTCGATCCTGAGTAAATCATGTATCATTTTCTGTCATGCACGAAACGAGACTGTGATGCAAAGAAGGCCAGCCTCGCACAGTCGTGTTGTAATCGGTCCCGCCCGGGTGGCTCCTGGTCGACGTTGGTCAAAACGCAACACCACTATTCCTGGACACGTGCACCATGAGGACATGGCCATGATAGCCTCTTCCAATCGCGCGAGGAAGCAAAATCAATATCCAAGGAAAGGCAATATGAGGTCGTTGGTCAGTTGGAGGTGATGATTACAGAGAGCCACGCTCATTCCTATTCGGCATTCGTACATGCGCGCCGCATATCCTATCAAGGAGGAGTTGAATCAACCTCTCATAATAAAAAACATTATCAATAACTGTACGTCACTGACACCAACGCTCAGGGGCGGTTTGATGGAGTCGATCCGGCACGTGGCGCACGTGCATGGTTCGCTCTTCCCCACACATGACAGCGAGCTCTAAACGCGTTAAGCTTTTAGAGCCGCATGCCGATCATGCAGGAACCGACAGCAGGAAGAGCCACGAAGAGAAAAGGAAGAGGTTGAAATGGGCTTCTAGGCATGCCGGAAGACTCCCGAAAAGTTGCGGAAAATGACATGTGGATATGCCTTGTTCGTATTCTGGATTCGTACATGTTGATCGATAATGAAAAAGTCGAGGAATAAAGCTGCTCGTTGTTGTCGCGGTCGCTGCATCTAAAAAGTGTTCCTTGCTCTAATTTCGTGTTGCGTGTTAGCGCGGGTTGGATTGGACGGGGCCCGTCATGAACATTAGGTTGACCTAGCCGGACATGCGCTCCCCCAACACCCACACGCCCCTCGATCACCACCTGTCTTGTTTCACTTGATTGCTTGTCGGTGGCATTTGTTCAGATAGCATTTGACTTCCAAGTCGCTTGAACGCCGTTTCTCGCCTTCTTTACCTGTGCATCGCGCACCCGGCTATCACACACGCTTTCACAACAACACGACCTGGGCAGTCACCAGTTCGCATCGCGCACGCTGCCGCCGTCATCGGCGCACATGCAGGAGAAGCTTCCCAGCTGCTAATGTCACGGTGAGAATTGAAATTTTCAACAAGCGGTGTAAGTGCGCTCTCACTGCGACGTCTCTGAGGGGTCTGTTCGCTCACTGTACCGACCAGGACCGCGATAGGCCTCACCGCGACGAGTCCCCATGTCTAGCCGAGCGAAGCGCAAGTTCGACATCGACCCCAACGCATCTGACCCCGAGGACTTTGATTACGACGACTCGGAAAAACGCGCAGCTCCTCAACGGCGCCGTCACAAAGGCACGCCGGGAGCAAAGAAGAAGCCTTCCAAGCGCCAACGACGCGCATACGGCGGCTCCGACATTGACGACGACGACGAAATCGAGTCGGACGGCTCATTCACCGAGCGCTCAGAGTCCGAGGAGCCCGAAATCAACCCAGCAACAGGCAGAAGCGTACGCCGCGCCACCAAGAAACAGATCAAGTACGAGGAGAGCGAGGACGAGATTGAAGACACGCCATCAGAGGACGACTCTCCCAAGCCAGCTTCGCGACGCAGAGCCAAGCCGTCTATTGAACAAGTCGACAAGCCTTCGCTCATTGTCAAGCTGAAGATGCCTGATCACGCACCAGGCCGCAACCTGCGCACTCGCACAGGAAGCAAATCCCTTGCGCGTGGAAAGACACCAGAAGTACAGGGTACGCGACGTAGTAGTCGTCTCTCGCACGATGTCGAGGCCCCCATCGTTGAGCTTTCAGACTCTGGAAGGCATGTCAAGATTGTGCGCGAAGGAACGCGCAGTCCTGAGCCCGTCATCGCGCGCGCGACCCGAGGCGGCAAAGGCCCAAGGCCAACAGAGTACCCCAGTGCCATCATGGAAGCCTCACAAGAGACATCGATGATCCGCGACGAGAGTCCTGGCCCGCTCGACGCCATCCTCGCTGGTGCCGAAACTCAAGTCGAGGCCAGCAAAGAGAGCTCGCCTACGCAAGAAGCCCCGGGAGATGATGATGCCGAGGGCGAGGATGAAGATATGGAAGGCGTCATCCAGGAGTCTCAGCACGATGAAGGCGCTGCTGACGAGTCTGACGAGGAAGGCCCGGTTTCGCGCGGCGGCCGGAATTTGAGGGTACGTCTGCATGACAAATCCGTCGACCATCGTAAACTAATCTCTATTCACAGAACCGTGCTGCATCAGCCAAACGCAAACGAGGTGCCGATGAGAGCAGTGATTTCGAACCCCCGGCCGAGGACGAAAAAGAAGAAGAAATGTCCGAGTCAGACAAGGAAAAGGGCAAGCGCTCCGCATCCGAAAGCGCCTCTGGTTCAGGACGGCGATCGAACCGTCTACGAGGAAAGACGCGTCAATCTGGTCGCAGCAGGCGCAACTCCTCGTCTGAAGAGTCTGGGGTAGATCAGGATGAACTACAAGACGAGCTACAAGACCTCGAGTATAACAAGCGCCGGCGTCTTACGCGACGTAACCCTGACAACGACCTGGCATATGATGCCGCGCCTAAACGTCGTGCCCGCCAGACAGGAGTTGATTACCGCGTCATCCGACCAGAGCAAAACGAGATATTCGAGATTGATGAAGATGCACCGGCTATCGACAGATCTCGGGCACGAGGTGGTCGCTCAGCATATAAGAGCCTGTGGCGTAGTCAGGGGCCCTTTGGTGGTGGTGTTGAAGCCGGCATGGGAGTAGCAGGCGGTGACTCTGACAGCAGCGATGACGAGAACCAGAAGATGCCTAAGCCTGTCGGTGGCATGATCGGCATGACTCCCACAACAGCGACGGCCCCCACATTTGGATTTCCACAGACTCATAATGCAGACGCACAAAAAGACTCTGGTGGGGGTCCTGCAAACCTGGGCAAAGTCAAGGACAAGAAAGCCCTGGCAGATTCTGACCCTCTTGGAGTTGACCCCAACGTCAATTTCGATGGTGTTGGTGGATTAGACGATCACATTAACAAACTTAAGGAGATGGTGATGCTTCCATTGCTATATCCCGAGGTGTTTCAGCGCTTTAAGATCACTCCTCCCCGAGGTGTTTTGTTCCATGGACCGCCTGGTACAGGAAAAACACTTCTTGCCCGTGCTCTTGCTTCTAGTGTCAGCACACATGGTCAGAAGGTCACTTTCTACATGCGCAAAGGCGCTGATGCCTTGAGCAAATGGGTTGGAGAAGCTGAACGCCAACTCCGTCTGTTGTTCGAAGAGGCGCGCAAAACCCAGCCTAGTATCATCTTCTTCGACGAGATCGATGGTCTGGCACCTGTCCGTTCTAGCAAGCAAGAGCAAATCCACGCGTCAATAGTGGCAACACTCCTTGCCCTCATGGACGGTATGGATGGTCGTGGCCAAGTCATCGTGATAGGCGCCACCAATCGTCCAGACTCTGTAGACCCTGCCCTCCGGCGTCCAGGTCGTTTCGACCGAGAGTTCTACTTCCCTCTACCGGATGTTACAGGCCGACGCTCCATCATCGACATTCACACCAAGAATTGGGAGCCACCTCTCAAGCCGGAGATGAAGGACCAACTTGCAGAGCTGACCAAGGGTTATGGAGGTGCCGACATTCGTGCGCTCTGCACAGAAGCCGCCTTGAATGCGGTACAAGGAACATACCCCCAGATCTACACTTCCGAGAAGAAGCTCTTGATCGACCCCAGCACCATCAAGATTCTCGCTAAAGATTTCATGATCTCAGTCAACAAGATGGTACCATCATCTCAGCGAACAGTGACAGCCAGTGCAGCACCACTAGGCAAGAACATTGAGCCACTACTGCGCAAGCCCCTTGATGCAATCCTGAAGCGGATAGACGAGCTTATCCCAAGGCGGAAGAAGCTTACTGCACTCGAAGAAGCTCAATACGACGACCGCGACGACGAGAAGGGTTTCGAGCGAGAAGCCACAATGCGCAACTTCGAGAGCAGCAGGATCTTCAGGCCCCGTTTACTCATCAGTGGCTTGCAAGGCATGGGCCAGCAGTATCTTGGTGCTGCGCTGCTGAGCAAGATTGAAGGTCTGCATGTGCAGTCATTCGATCTCCCGACTATCCTGGAAGACTCTACCCGAGCACCCGAAGCGGCGATCACGCAACTGTTCACTGAGGTCAGGCGGCACAAGCCAAGTGTCATCTACATCCCTTCAGTCGATGTCTGGTACCAGACACTCCCCGCACAGGCCATCAAGACATTCAAACTCCTCCTGCGGAGTGTCGGTGCAAACGAGCCAATTATGCTGCTGGGTGTCATGGAATTGCTCAACGAGAAGGAGAAGCCAGATCGACAGATGATGACTGATCTCTTCTCGTTCTCACAAACTAATCAGTTCCACCTCGCTCGACCTGATCAGGAAGGTCGCTCTGAGTTCTTCAACAACATCAGCCACTACATTCGCATGTCTCCTGCAGACTTCCCCGACCCTGATAACAGGAAGAAGCGAATACTTCCGGAACTGGAGGCTGCGCCTATTGTTGCCCCAGTGGTTGATCCCAAGGAGCTCGCGGCGCGTGAAAAGTGGCAGAAGAAGCAGGACAGGTTGACGCTCAACAAGATGAAGATTGTCATCCAGCCAATTATGGATCAGTTGAAGAGGAGTCACAGGAAATTCTTCAAGCCAATCCTGGAAGAAAGCTGGTATGCTTATTTGCTGGATGAACAGGATCCCGAGCATGTCGGGTCAGACTTGCCACGTGATCAGCAAGAACAACAAGGCCTTGAGCGACCTTGGGAATTTTCCAAAGACAGCAAAGGTGTAGATGTTCTGTTGCACGTTGACAGTGGCAACAAGTACTACAACCTGGACCTGGGCACTATCGAGAAGCGTCTTTCAAACGGTTACTACAAACGCCCTGCCGATTATCTTTTTGATATCAAGACCTTAGTTAAGGATGCCCGGACATTTGGAGACGCCGAACGGACTCTGAAGGGCAACGAGATGATAACCAATGTTGAGGTGGATTTGGATAACTTCTTTATGCACCAAAACCCTGGTCTGCTTCAAGAGTGCGAGGCAGTATACCAACGCGAACTCGAGAGGGAGCGAAAGGCGCGCGAGAAGCGAGAGAAGGCCATCGCAGCGAACAAGGACTTCCCTGATGTTGCACGTGTGCCTCCAGAGCAGTCCATCGGTACAACAGAGACCTCGGGACCAATCACTTTGGGCGAGCCTGTGCCCGGCCGTTTGCCTATGCCACCTGTCACTCCGTTGCGAGCACTTCATGAGAGCGGTCTATCTAACGGCACCGTTGGAGAAGGCGCACAGCTCATAACTAATGGTTTTGCTGTGCCTTCCAACGATGAAACACATATGACGGACAGCCAGGATCTGAATGCCAACACACAGCACGATTTCCAATTCCAGACTCCTAGTAGGATCGATACACAGGGAACGCAAACGCAAAAGTCGCAGGTCTTGGGTCGCACCTTCATGGCGCCAAACTCACATCCCAACGATTACAACAACAGCGCGTCAACGACCACTTCTGGTCAAAAGACGTCGAACAGGTCTTCAGAAAACAAGTTTGGCACTCAGAGTAGCAACGGTGGTGTGCTACCCGGCATACCAAACTTCTCAGAGATGATGCCCCAACCGAGCGGGTCGCAGCTTCCCGACACACAAGGTTCGTCACTTCCCTTTTCCCCACGACTCCCCCGCTTTTCACCAGAATACCCAACTGACCATATTTCCAATACAGAAGTCACTTATGGAAGTAGTCAGCCATCAAATTCGCAGCCGTCGCAACTTTCGCAGTTGTCGCAGCACGTTACCTCAATGCCTGCACCTGCACCCCCTCACCACTCGAACCTCAACCAGATCCTTAACGACGAAGAGCCCAAGCCACAGCTCATCATCGACGACGGTCTTGTCACAGACTTGCACGAGAAGCTCGTCCAATCGACCTCTGGCTGTTCCCTGGAGCAGTTGGAGCAGATCAACGCTGCACTCATGGACGCTATCTGGAAGCACCGCGCAGACTACAATCGCAACGTTGTCCTGAAAGAAGTCACCGAGGCCTTCAACACCATCATCAAAGACATTCAGACCATGCAGGAGATTCTCAAGTCGAGCCAAGAAGAAGAAGAGGCCGAGTTGCGCCGTCAGTATCACACCTCCACACAAGATGATTGGTTTTCGCAGACTCAAGCGCATCGCTAAAGTAGGATGGTTTATTGGATGGATGAATGGGACGGATGGATGCTTTTAATGCGTGGCGTTCAGGGCGCATGGGAGGGATGGCTTGCTTGGCAGGCTTGTTTGTGTGGGAAACCGGCTCTCGCTACTTTGGCACGCATTGCGGTGGCGCAAAGATTCAAGGGAGGTCAATCTTCTTATTGACACACTTTGTTTCCATGTACTATGTTATAATGTCCGCGTTTTTCTGTTTCGCGCTTCAGATTGTTCGTCCAAGACAAGACATTTGGGCAGGCAGATTGTATATGCGTGTTTTGTTTAGAAGCGCTTTTCCCTGGAGGCTTGACTTGGTACTCTTCCCCGCTCCTAGTTTTTGGGTAGGGGAAATGTTAAAAGTGTATACCGTTGAGTTTATGATACTCTCCCACTTGCTTCTGCGCATTGCTGTCTTGAGTGCCTGACTGTCTTTTGATTATAAGTACTATGCGGACGATTAATTTGACAACACATTACCGTTCATTCTCGACGCGTGGGCCATCCATAATAACGTCTATGCTAAACGCGTTCACGGGGGAGATCAGACAAGGCACGTACTTACTACAGTCGCAGTGACTTATAGCATTGAAATGTGCGGAGACTCACTCATCAAACCTGTGGATACAAATAAAACCCCACATTGATATCACAGACAGAGGAGGCAATGCCGTGTCCAGCACGTTCCCGTAAGGCCCTCCATCACGGGCCCGAACTAGAACCGTTAATCCATAAAGTGAAACAAGCATCCCCCAGTACAGAGACGGCATGTGACAGCGATCAATCATGGATGATACAACAGTCCTTGTCTATAAACCCGGGGCAACAATCAATCGGGAGAGAGAGAGAGAGAGAGAAAAGTTGAGTCATTGGGTATGTCGCATACGTTGATCGAATGATCATTGGTTTCATTAATGACTCTACCACTGGTATATGCACCCGACAGGTTGGAATGAATGTGTCCTGGCTCTTCTCCCTCGTATTATCCACCCGACACGTTGGAAAGCAAGATTGCGGTATGCACGTCAGGTAGGGGGCGTACCCAGCACTATTCATGTGGGTATTGACAAAACAGGCAACTTTCCGTCCCCGCACATCAGTCTATCGTCGTATATGTAGAACCAGGATGTGAACTGGACGTGACCCTCATTGATGAAACAATACTCAACCCAGATATTAGATTTTGATTAAAAACTCGTCTCCAAAACCTTGGTTTGTCGTCGTCGTGGGGGTTTTGGAATGGATGGACTGAGGTGTTGATATTGCTGTTTCAGGTGACAAGTACAAGTGAGTGAGTGGACTTCCCGGGACGACGGAGATTGAAGCTTGGCGCCCAACGACCCTCGTGCCCTTCTCCATTCGTCGGAGCATGGTGTGGGGCGCGTACTAGTTGAACCGTAGCTTCCCTTTTTGCTTTTTGTTGTGTCAACGTTGCTTTGCTTGGTGGCCGGTGTTTCTTTGGTTACGAGGCGTTCGGCGGTTCCGCCGTAGTGCCACATGTGGTCATGCTGTGTGGAATGGGTGTGCGCGATACCTTCTTCCCCGTCGGCTATTCAAGTAGCGTGTGCTTCCGGATCTACGATGGGATGGTGTGCTCGTAATTCAAGAGCCAACAACATGTCCTTCTTCTCAAACACAAGGCCCTTGTTTGTTTGTTTTTACCATAAAATGGAACTATTCTTGTCACACAACCAAGAAGATCAGCAGCAAGGTGTCATGGTTATAGAAAAGGCTGGTCGACCGACCATTAAACTCACACCCCCTTCTAGAAGCACAGTACGTGAGATGCGAAAAACCGGGCTCTTGGAAAGTTAGAGGCGTCGGATCTGCATATCAGCACAACAGTGAGGCTCTGTGTTTGACGGCCGCGGCTCGAGCCAGTCAGCCAACATGAGGGTTTATAAAGCTTACCGGTAGCAAACCTAGATCACACATGCCGGTGGATCTACCCGAGACGAACCTTGGTTTCTATCACGGTAAAATGTCATGGCCAGCGGCCCGGGGGTTAAAATGTCATAGAAGTGCCGAAGCAGACTGGGTACATGCGTCAGGCTCGCCCAAAGCCGAAGGCAGCCTTTGGGAACTTACACGAGCCATAAGATGAGAGGGTTATGGCACAGGATGATGCACTCGCTTGGCAGGATAGCGTTTAGGCGGCTTCTCTGGGGACGGCTAAGACTCCTTTTCCTGGGGTAAAAGTAATGTGGTCCCAGGACCGAAGGGTCCGAGCCGGATCGGGGGTCAGCTTAATCAAAGAAGAAAGTCTCCGAGGGCTGACATTGACTTTGGACAACCGCTATCTAGTCAGACCCTAGACATTACTTTTTAGATTCGGTCGCGTGGTTTCCTATACAACCTCGCACCCGGGAATGGGCCATGTCCCATGCTGCGGCCGTGTTTCTGCCCGCACTGCCTATCGTCAATGGCACATGCGATTCGTCCAACGGGGGTCCACCATGACTTGCGCATGCAGCAACGCACGGAGTTGGTCGGCAAACCAGCTTCATTCGGATAAGGCGAGCTACGAGGTGGTTGCTGCGGTGGGGATAGCCTTAAGCTTAAGCCTGGGCGAGATTGGGCAGTAGATTATTCAGACTATTCTCCTAACGAGATTGATTGACTCCTTCCTTGGTAGCGGAGGTTTGGAGGAACCTGGTTAGGAGAATGTTCCATTGGAAGGTCGTGCGCAGCTGGCGCTAGTGCCGATCAGTTGGTACTTATCAGCTTCGTGTGAGCGAGACCGAGAAGTCGCCGCACACCGAGAGGCCCGAATGCCATGTTGCTATCAGCGTACTTATGTAGCTGTGACACAGTACAAGACGGTTGCGATACGTCAGCCTGCCCAATGCAAGTCTTGCATTCACCCGGCCGTGACTGCAGAAGGTCCCGGAAGCGGGCGCGGACAAAAGTCAGTCTGCGTTCGGGCCACGTCTTTAACCGGAAGAACCGTGGAAGAAGGCCCCCTCCTCGTGGGCCAGACAAAGCCACCTACCCTCTCATATGGCATGAGAAGTGCGATGCCGGGCGTGCCGCGGGGTGGTCTTTGTGCAGGCCGCATGCGTGATACGTACGATGATCGTACTACCTGTCAGATGACGCTTTGTCCCCTCTTTCCGCACTGAGTTGTCCTGATGGTGGCTCCGGTGCAGATTTCGGCGTGGATGACATTGCAGCAGCCACGGGCTTGAGGAGAAGAAGTAGGAATGTTGTTGAGAGGGTAGTCTGTTTGATGTGGTGGCATGCAAAGTTTGACTAAGGAAAATTCCCCGCGCTGGTTATACCAAGTTGCGCGTAGACACCGCTGTAACTGGACCCGCTAGCAACGTTCTTCACGGCGGCTAGGGGCATGGAGGCCACGAGCAGCGCTGGCGCTATCCGCTTAGTGCGTCCGCAATCTGCAATCGGACGGGGACCAGGGTCATCGAACCCTCCAACTGCAGTGGGTCCCTACATCACAGAGCGCATGGCGTGGTGCGAACAGCACCGAACGTGCTGGGCCCGCAATTCAGGCAGTCATACATCATTGTCCTAAGCCCCTGGTAGTACCCTCAGATCTTCTGTGTGTCCCCACGCCCAGCGCCGCCATTGTTCTCTGCACGCTATTCACTTCTTTTTACCTGGCCTACCACTTACTGCGACCCTTCAGCTCAACATGGTAGCGCCGGAAAGCCCGACAACACTTGCTTCTGCCATGTAATGTATATACACCATATCAATTCTACTATCGTTATACCTACAATTCGCAATGGCCCCTCTGGAATCACTGGACACCGACTCGCGCTCTGCCATACTACCGGATAACGTTCAACCGTGGCTGTGTGCAGTCGTCGCCCTTGGCTTCTTCAGCTTCTTCGCTACAGTATCACTACTCGTCGTTCTCACATACAAACTCGTCTCTTGGCAGTTGCGATCGAAACGAAGTAACCAATTCGTCATCCTAATCTTTAACCTTCTTTGGGCCGACATCCAGCAAGCCCTCGCTTTTCTTTTGAACGTGGAATGGCTGCGGCTGGGATCCGTCCAAGTTTCGAACCCGATATGCTTTGCACAGGGCTGGTTGGTTTCGACAGGTGATTTGGGGAGTGGGGTTTGGTGCTTCGTCATCGGACTGCATACTTTTGCATCTGTCGTCCTGGATTACAGAATGAAACCGCGATACTTCTACCTGTCCATCGGCTTGATCTGGATCTTTATCCTCGGCATATCTTCAATTGCCGTTGGTATGCACGGAAAGGGTGTTTATGTACGATCTGGTGTGTGGTGCTGGATTCAACATGACCTAGGAGATCTTCGACTGTGGACTCATTACGTCTGGATTTTCATCTTGTAAGTCTCTCCATCCATTAGCATGTATATGTCTAACGTGAAGTCGCAGCGAATTCACCACTGTCATCAATTACGCCCTGATTTATACCATTCTGACCTTCCGTATTCGCTCGGGCTACTATACGGTCGAAGAGTCAAAACGAGTGCGCTCAATCGCCAACCTCATGGTCGTGTACCCACTTGTATACGTGATATGCACCATTCCGCTCGCTTCCGCCCGTATGGCGTCCATGTCCGGTCACCCTCCGTCGCTGAAACGCCTTTGTCTCTGTGGCGCAATCATGGTCTCGAACGGCTGGCTGTACGTATCTTGTAACAGGCATACCCAGCATATACTAACGACTTTCATAGTGACGTCCTACTATACACCTGCACCCGACGCATCATGATCTTCAGTGACGAGCCACCTGCCGATGGTGACGGTATGGACACATTCGCCGCATTCTGGATCTCAAAACCTAAACGCTTCGGCGGCGAATGCACAATCGAAGCCATGCACCCACCTGCGCGAGCCAGACGAGCCAGAAGCAGGGTCACCCTACCATCCAGCAGCAATAGCTGCGACGAATTATTCGGCTCCGGCAGCACAGACATTAAGCTTGTCACTACCATGCACATCACCAGCGAACCGGCCCAACCAGAAGACTATGAAGCAATGGAAGCCGAGGCACGGAAACAACGTCCTCGAACACCAACAGCACGATGGAGCTCAGAATCGAGTGAAAGCTTGAACTTGAGCCTGAAGGAATGGGGTAATCCCCCAAACACTGAACGATGAAGGGGACTCGTGGACGAAACAGATGTATTTCCGCCCCACGATATAATTCGGCTGTACATATGCCCTGCCGAGGGTTCCTCGATACATTCGATACATTCGATACAATAATACAGGCAAAGCCAGAAGCCAACGGGCACGCCTTATACGGAAAAAAGGAAGGAAGAACAATGTCTGTGGTCCAAGAAATCCTTGGAACAACGTGGATCACAGACACAGGAGCGCGACTCCACGCCCACAAAGCGGCCAGTTATGGAAGTGCGAAAGCAACACATCCCCCTTCGTAATGCTTTACGCAGCACCTGTAAGAGGCATGAAGTCTGCAAGCTATAGAAAATGTGCAAGATCGCACTCCTTTCTCCAAGCACCGACTTCACGCCTCTCTCAGGTTCGCATAACGTTCTCACGCGTTGGGAAGAGGAATGAGTCGCCATCACACTACATGCAATGAAGATAGAACACACCCCCATAGATACCCATGATACGTCAACGACCAATACCATACCATACCATACCATATCCGTGTTCATATCCACATCCACATGTAGGAACAAGACCCTGAAAATCATTGCACCATTGTGATCAACACGGGTCCCTGCGTCGTATTGTACCCTGGATCTCCCTTCCCTAAGCGCCCCGCTCATTCCTTCCCGCGTACTTGCTGCTCCCAACAACCGTAGTCTCGGACCGCAAGGGCTTTCCTGGATGAGGGATTTCGGCGGGCACTACGCCATATTTGTAGAGGTTTTTTTTATCATGTCAGCATCGCGAACGGTCAGTCATCACAACAAGTTGCCTGTAAGTCATCAAGGTAGAAAACCCGGCTTGTGAATATCATATATTCGTAGTCCTTCATAAAACTACTCCTATTCGAACAACCAAAGGGCTGCTAATGCTCCTGCCTAAAGCATGCCCAACAATAATCATACATCAAAACACAGCGTATTTGGCTCCATCCCGAACGTAAGCTCGACCAGACAATCGCCACCTCCGCTCATACTCATCGAAATGGAGATGCCTAGAGAATGTGTGGCCTGAGAAGCCAGCTGCTACTCACATGCTGACCCAATCCATCCATGCTTCCAAGAATCGCAATCTGCCCTCCCGCATGTGCTTCAGAAACTCATCGAAGCTGATCAAACCACTTCCCTTTCGTTGGGTAATTTCTTGCTCCACAACTTCGAGACTGGCCAGCATTATGAGATGCAAAGACGAACTGGGATTCATGGCTAGGTTGCGAACGGAGCGGTGCAATGACTTAAGGTGTCCCGTCTCACTATTGTCATGCTCAGAATAACAGTTAGTTGTACTCATGCACCTGATGAACTTCTCATCCGAGTCTGTAGTGAAGAAATCGTACATCTCAGGCGCGTCGGTATAGTTTCGCCAATTGATGGTGAGCAAGTCCTTATTTGCTTCCTGGTCTGGTTGGGAAGGCTGATCAGGCTCTGCAACTACTACAGGTGGCGTCGATGTACGTGGCTCCCGTGTTTCAGATTCCATGGAAGCTATCTCCAGCTCTTCCCGAAACTGATAATTACTTGCGTATGCAGATACAAAAAGTTGTGAGTACATAGTTGGTCCTTCGTGTGTTCCCAGTGAGAAGTCATCACTCCCAGAAGCCGAATGTATTTCTGGAGAGTCAGGCGTGGTAGGCCGAGAGTTTGGGTGGGCAAGTGAGTTTGGCCGATACTGAGGCATCGTAGGATCTTTGTAAAGGCCAGCTGTACTTCCATTCGTGGAGGGATAAGCTAGCCATCCCTTTTTAAGTGCGCACTGAATGACAGCATCAACCGTTTCTTCTCGGAGTTGACGTCTGCATAGCAACGTATTCCACAACATCGTGTTGTCGAGATTTGGTGTTTTAGACACACCAATCGACCTAATGACCCTTGCTTCCAGTGAGTCATAGATTCCTTCTATTGCCGCATGTGCGTCTTTTTCCGTGAGAGGGTTACTATTGGCGGGATTTTGAAAGAGTTGTTTGATGCTCGACTGTCTTTGGTTGATCGTGTCAATGAACTTGCGTACAAGACACTTGGAGAACCGAAAGATGCCAACCTTGGCAATAGCTTCAACATCAGCCTTACTTTTCGTGAAGAGGTCGTTAGTCGTGCTTTCGATAGCGGTCGCCATTTCTCTACGCTTGCTGCGTGTTTCATGTGCATCCATGGCCATGTCTTCCTTTTCGAGAAAGAGCGGGTCGAGCATTTCATTGAAGCCTTGCTGAGTGATTTGATATAGTACTTCGTTACTCAAGTTTTGCTCAGGTTCAGGTATGTCATAGCCACCCCATCGTTCACCGACGGGTCTAGACGATGAAGCGTTGGATCGCGTTTCTATCTCGATATCGTCCTGGAAGCGGACCCTTGACGATGACCGCGAATCCCTATATCTACGTTGTTCATCGTTCAGGACTTGGGCTGGGGCTTGATCCACCTCGTCGTTGGCTTCCTGATTGTCCAGATGAGACATTTCTACTTCGTTTGGCCGAGCCAGGCCTTCTTCTTCATCGATGTAGTATTGTCTGCGCGCCCATCTCGCACTCACAATATCTGTTTCAGATCCATCCCACGGGTGCCCGGGGGTGATGTAGTGGCTGTCGAACGCTCGCAGGATCTCATCTCGCTCTGCGACGTCGGTGTGATTCTCGAGTAACGGTGAATTCGGCGTATCGGCATTCTCTTGCTTCTCTTGTAAGCGAGCATTGGGGGCGTTTGAGCCATTCATACTGCGTGGCGGGAACGCAGAACCAAGCGGCTGACTAGACTGTATGGTGTCCAACGCGTTCCGCACGGTCAGATCGTCGGAAAGCTCTCGGATGTGGTTGTGGGTGGCTTCCTTCTCAATGGCAAAGAAAGCTCGGAAAATGCGCAGTATATCCTTGCGAGATATATAGCCATCTCCGTCGATATCATATCCGTTGAAGACAATCCTCGCCTTGACATCTATGTCAGTTGTGTGCATGCCGTCTAGCCCTTTGACCCACTCATCGAAGCCGATGAGTCCGTTCTTGTCTGTGTCGTAATATGCGAAGATGCGATCGTAGACGAGGTTCGGAGCAGACACAAGTGCCTTGTAACGAGGGACGAATGCATGATTGAACTCGCGTCGATCGATAGCCCATCCAATATTGGATGGGTCGCTCGTCCACTCGGTACCCGCTAGACAGGTAAATTGATCCCAGAGAGCCTCGATTTCTTCTGCCTCCATCTTGGTCTCTGCTACGAGGCGTCGCTTGAGCGGCGAGTGAATCGAATGACACATCATATGGGGCTTTCCCGGGTACAAAGGCTCTTGTTTCTCTAATGAAAGAAATGGTGCGGGTACGCGGATTTTGTAGAAGATATGGGTCTTGGGGTGCGAGTTGGTTGCTTCGCAGTTTGAACAGAGGTCGAAGTCTGGGCAGTTTGCGCAATGCCATCTGGTTCCCCGAATAGGCTTCTCGTCGCAGCCATTGCATGTGATACCGCGATGTACTACACCCTCTAGTCTCGCTCGATCCTCGGCTATGTGATACAAGGTGCGCTGGAGGGTTTGTCCTTCTGGGTCGATGGCGCCGTCCTCTGGGTCCTCTTCGCTTCCCACAGATAACTCTGTAGGCGCGATACTCTCTGCATCATCGTGGGCCGGCGCATCGCGGAGAGGAAATGACTCTGCATGCCTCTGAACTGCGCGACCCAGTGTGCTGGTATTACCGATGGCTGTGTGGTGCGGGTAACGGTGGTTGAGCCAATCTTGGATAGAGGCTATATCTGATGAGGATAGAGGTTGATCTGGATATAAGGCGACTAGTAAGCGATTGAAGAACTCATCGTAAAAATTTGCAATGGCAATCCTTATGGTGTCAGGACTGGTGTTTGCTTGGGAGTGGACAATGAGATCACGCAGCTCATGCGGCTGGATCAAGTTATTGGCATCTAGCGTTAGTCGAACGCCCATGAAGTCGTAGACGCCTAGCGCATAGACGTGTCCCTCACTCAGTGGAAGGGCGGGAGTTTGTGGTGCATCTCGTGGACGACGTCGGCGGATCGCATTACGACGCTGCAGGTGGAGACCATCGCTCGGTGCCGGGGTGTGGATGAAGTTGTAGATGAGGTATATTCCATAGCCAGCCGAGATGCCGGTGAGAAAGAGCACAGCGGGTCGATAGCGAGATATGGATGAGGGGGTAGATGCTGTCATGGTAGAAGCCTAGCAATTGCGCCGGTTGTGTCGAACGAGCGACTGTTGGCTGTTATCGAATATGAATAGGCGTTGAGTGAAACATGGCCGGTCATTCCTACCAGCGACAACATATTTACCCGTTGGCAATCTTCATGGCTCGGCAAGGGGGATCAAACACGCAATGGCCGGCGTTGAGGGACTCTCTTGCCCGCGCCTCGAGCTTCAACACATATGTGTGGCTGACTCAGCCAAACGGCCGCCCACCGACTTCCGAAGCCTCGCATTGGACGGCAAACCCACCTTCATCAAACAGCAGACTCAACTTTGATATTGTGCTTTGCATACAGAGCTATCCTACTACCATGCCGCGTGGCCGCCGTCCATTCTCAAATCTGACCCCGTCATGAAAGAGCTCGCGTCGCTGAGCAGAAACACTGCTGCACCACGGTATTCCGATGGCTTTGAAAGCCGACCCAACATGTTTTGCGTAGGCCATGTATCTCTTCGCTCGGGGTACTTGATGAAAAGCTCCTCCACCATGGCCGTCACAATGTAGCCTGGCGAGATTGTGTTGACACGGATGTTGTATTCGCCCCATTCGGACGCCAGGTTGCGAGCAAGTTGTATGACGCCTGCCTTTGATGCGTTGTATGCCGAGCAAATGAGACCCTGTCGCCATTGTCAGTAAAGGAACAAACCAGGTGTTTCGTTTGTCGTACCCTGTTTGCAACGCTGCCAGACATGCTCGCAATGAGCACGATACTCCCGCCATTGCCAAACTTGATCATCTGCTTAGCAGCCGCCTGCGCAGTCATCATGACCCCAGTAATGTTGACCCTCGAACATGCGGTTGGCATCCTCCAGCAGTGTATTCCCAAGGCAGTCGTCTCCTGTTGGATTCCCGGCAGCCCGCGATCAGACCATCCAGCCTTCCTTCTTTACTGGCCAATTTCTTCGACGATCTCATGCAGCTTCTTCACATCTCGTACGTCGATTTGGCGGTATTCCAGGTAAGTCCCGAGTTCCTTCTTTGCTTTCTCGGCAATGGGCGCAAAGTCTGCAGAAGGTTCGGCGAGTCTGTCAAGCGCGTACACTGAAGAATAATGTTAGTTGACAGAAGGCTTCAAGTATTGGATATATCGAGATGCATACCTCGTGCGCCAGCTTCCAGCAATGCTTCGGCTTGTGTAAGACCGAGACCACGAGCAGCGCCCGATACCAACACGACCTTTCCCTTCAAGCTGAACTCTGGGAGTCCGTGGGTAGACGACATTGTGTATTACTTAGTAGATGAATAGGATGAAAGTATAGAATAATAAAGGTACACGCCAAAATATCGCTAGAAAAAGGTATTTATACAACAAGCAAGGAATACGCAATGCGTTCGCAACCTTCACGCAACGGGGCCATTGTGGATTCTTATACCGACTCCCCACTCATTCAGAGGTCACCAGACTCTCTTGGAATAGGCCTGGCCGGAGACTCTCTTCTTTCGTACACATAGTACAATCGCGCAACACATCTGCCCGTGTGGCCAGCTGTTTGCGGGGAAGCAACATACCGGCATCTTCGGAAATTGCCTAATCGGGCATGCCGGGCGGAGGCTGCGGGGAAGTCGACTTCGGTGTTTGGAGCAACACCCACATCGGCTTTGAGAGGCTTTGGCTATACGACAGTAGGGTGCTCGGATTAGTATTAGAACATATCAATCTGTGAATGACAGGCTACGTGTCATGAATGTGTGAGCCCGAGTCGTCCAGTGTGATTGCAGGCTCTCGTCGCTACCAAGACTACAACCTTTTTGCATGTGCTTGTCCGCACTGCAACCAAGCAGGCCAAAGGGTGAAGAGTGTCGAAAGGGCATACTTCACATGTCAACTCCTGATACTGCGACGGACTTACATGCTTGCTCATCCTAGTAAAATCGTTGGGGCTGTCCAAACAAAAAGCCCCGCGACTGTCTGTGAAACCATCCATGGGCTGCATCAGTCAACCATATATATTCCCTCCATATCAGGTGTCCTACATGTCAGTGTAACCGTTATTTCATCCACAGTGGACCAGAGTAACTCGACATACAGCAACCTTGCTGACTGCGCCTTCCCTCTGCCAATCACTCAGCAACCGCCTTGGGAACCGCCCTGCACGATATATCCGGTCAACATGATTGCGCGACAACAGGGCACAGCTGAGCCCCAGTTACGGCACAGCTCTGCGTCAGGAAGCGCCGTCCAATCCAACAACTGCAAGCAGCCAAATTAAAACGAAAAAATTCGCGACACCTTGTTCGCCGCACAGCATCAGAAAAGTAGACGCAGTCGAGATTAGGTATTATGCACAGCGCAGGAGTCCGTCGACCTCGCCCATTGTGCGCCTTAGGAAGCCTTGCGCGCCTGAGGCCAACATGACCCCACCTAGCAAACCATCAACAGAACCAGCGATCCAGCGGAGAAGTAACTAGCCATCTCAACTAACCACCAAGAAAAACTCCCTGCCATCGTACCAGACACTCAGACCCAGAACAATTTTTACCACAACGCTCCGTCCCCCCCCATGTGCAAATCCAGACGCCAGCGCCACGCACAGACTAACGTTAAGCAACACCGAGCAAGGCAGCTCCCAAGGCAACACGCGGGGGGCAGTGCACCGGCCATGTGTTGGGCCAAAACCCAAAAAGACCCAATATCCAACAAACCAAACCATGGGACCGGCGTAGCCGCCTTCTGAAAGCGCAAGGCACAGACGGGCAAACAATGTTTTCAGACGTTTCTAATCCCAGGCGCTGGTGGGTGGGTATGTGACGCCGTACAAGGCTGCGCCTGCATGTTGGCCAGACCGGTGGGCTGGGGGGATGGGGCCAGCGTCTGTCCGGTGTGATGATGGAAGAAAGGATATGTATAGTAAAGCGTTTGGCCTCTGCGTCTCTTGTATGTCTCATGTTCATTGTGTATTTTTCTTCTCGTCGGAGTTTTTGTAATATACATGTGGACGGATTGACTTTCTGAGGTTTGGATTCATTCACCAAACACACATTCATATACTCCGGTCTCAGCCATCTAAATACACCACACCACAGCATAAGATACCATGGCGCCACTACCACAACCCCACCACAACATATTCCCCCGCTTCCTTTACACCCGTTCAGACTCCTGCGACGCAAACTACACCCCCTCATGCTCCACCCACCGCATCGTCCTCCTCATCATCATAATACTCGTCGGGGCCTTTGTCGGCATCATCTTGAGTCTAGTCTACGCCCGCAACTGGACCCGCAATAACGCCCGTCAACGCGCCTTACGCGGCGACGACCGATCAACCAGTGACTTTGACTTGCTGGGTCCGCATCATCAACATGGAGTCCTGGCTTCAGTGAGGTTTCCGCAAGGGAGGGTTGGCCATGGAAGGGTGGTACCTGACCAGAGCTGGAGGAAGTGGGATGAAGGGGGTGCGGCGGGGTTTGAGGCGCCACCGCCGCCGTATATGCCGAGGATGCCGGATGCTGCGAGGGTGGGGAGGTGAAGGGAGGGATGAGGAGGAGTGAGAAACCTAACGTCCGCTACGCTACGCCATGCGATAAGCGTTGTGCGCCACCCGAAAAGTGAGATTTATTGGTATCCAATAGCATCTCTAAGAGGCCAAAGCCACGAGCCAGGGATCTGCAAGGCGCCTTCAACTTGCTACCATAGCAGACTGCGCAGCCAGGCCAGGAAAGTGTATACCGCAGTCCAGGATATTACCACTGCATCTTCCCAACTCTAGGACGACAGTAATGGAAGTGTAAAGACAGAAGATTATAGAGAACGTAGTAGAGTATTCGGTGACAAAGAAGCAACGCTGGTGCATCCCGCGAAGATTTAGACGCGTGGTGTACAGCAAAAGACCAGAAGGGTAGTGGCAAAGAGAAGAAATACACCGTAGCACATTAGATTGATCCAACCATCTCAAATCCCTTGATATCCTAAATGGTAACATAATTTCCGTCATAGAAGCATAAACGCTAAAGTCTTCCAACTCCATCTCGCTAAGTGAATAGCCGTTGTCTTTCGTATCTTTTCTTGTCTCATTCCATCATCATGTGCCTTGCAGACCCAAGCCTACACTATCTCCGTTTCGCACGGTGCTATCGTCCCTGCTCCGATCTCTGCTTCTGCCCATCTCTCTGATGCGTCGGCCTTCCATTAGGCCTCTTAGTCCTCGTTTCTGCAGTCCAACGACCGAGCTAATCTCACCATTCCATACATCTCTTTCTTCGTACATGCTTCCATCTCCGTAACCGTTATCCGAAGCCGACGCTGATGTGGTGTCTGATACTGCTGAGCTGACTTCGTCATCGTGGTTGCGTTCGACGTCTGTGTTGACACGAAGCGCGCGTAGTCCGGCATCTAGACTGCGTTCGATATCGGAGGCCGTAGTGCCATTGCCTGAGCTGGAGACGCCATTCGATGTGCCGTTTGTAGCTGAAACTCCGTTCACACCCATAAAAGCAATACCCGAGCCCCCACCAGCTGCCATGGCCGCAGCATTGAAAATAGCTGCAGTATTCCTATTGTCCAGTAGAAGATGTAGTCGTTCGATAATGGCCTCGAGAAGGCCGTCGATGTGGTATGGTCGGGCCAGCTGGAGCAGTGAGCAGAGAATCTGCGGTGAGCATAGAGGGGAGTTGTGTGGTGGTAACGATGAAGTGTATAAAAAGTGTATGAGTGCTTGGAGTGTAAGATGTGTGTGTGGTAAAAATAATGTTCTGGGACGTTGAGACGGCAAGTGCGACGTGGGTTCGGGTGGGCTTAACGAAGAATATGAGGTTGCCGAGATGGCTGTAGCCTCGGACGGCGTCACAGTGTTAGCAGTAAGTGTCGTCGCTGCTGAGTAAGTCGTCCTAATCGAAGGTGTAATAGTGATGCTCGAATTCCGCGAGGGATGCATTGTGGCGGAAGGTCGAAGTGTTGCTGCCTCGGCAGTCTCCTTCTCAGCGCTTTGTGCGCTTTCACGAAGAAGTTGATTAAAATACGGACCCCAGCGTCGGGCAATGATGTGGGAGTTGACGGGGATGCGTTCGCCGTTCAGGGCCAGGAAGTCCATGTCGGCGAGCTCTCGCATACCCAAAGCCATCTGACCGAGCTCAGCCGCTGCAGGTGATAGCGTTCGACCTCCGGCAAGCGTATCAAGTCGATCGTGCTGCGGCGGTGCGCTCACGGAGCTAAAACCTGATGCAGGCGTTACTTTGCGAGGGTTGTCGTAGAGTCCGAATGCCTCTAGCTCTACCACACACATATTGGAAAAGTTGATACGTCGGTGGTTGTAATCCTCGACCAAGCTCCTCCTCCTATTTCCCAGTATCACAAAACTGTTCCTACGATTCCATAGCACTCCTCGGTTCCAACTACCTTGACTGAAGATGTTGCCGCCGGCTTCTATGCGCCCCCAACTTAGGGTTCGTAAATCAAGAGCCCAGAGCGCGTATTCTTGTTTTGATGATGTCAAAAAAGTGCCGCTTACTACAAAGTGGTTATTGATAACACCGCCATTTGGGAATCTAAGCCCAGGCGGTGAAAAGTTGCCATGCATTGGCTTCTCGGAAAGTGTTCCATCGGGATGCCGTACTTGTAATTCGAGCTTGACGTCCAGAAAGTTATAATTTGAGTAGATGAGCATCGACGATTCCCCACTGCCGTCAGAGGATTGTCCGTCTATTGTTCTTGCGTCGCCACTTCGTCGTGGTCCTGCGCCGATGTCATTAGGGTTGATGCTGGTCAGAGGCGCAACCACGCTTCTGTATGCGCCACAACTTCTGCCCAGGGTACTAGTTTCTGTCCACTTGAGGCTCCGCAGATTGAACACGCTGATTTGTTCAATGTAATGGTTGGCGCTGTCCTGTCCACCCACTACCAACATCTCAGCACCACCCTCGCCATCTAATTGAACACCTAAAGATCCCTGGTTTGGATTCGACGACGATGGATTGTGCCGTATGGCTGTTACTGCAGCTCCGGTTGAGCTGAATACTGCAGAGCTAGGAAGTATAGTCGCGCAATGAGCATAACGACCCTGCGGTGGATCGCTTGTGGCAACGTGCATCCACGTTCGCGTTGGCGCATCGTAAATGTGAACGTCGGACATGACCACCACCTCAGGCTGGGCATCCGCGGGTGCACCTTGTATTACCGACGCTGCCTGATTTGACGAAGGACTTGCAGGCGACATGCCACCGTAACATACGAGCTTCGTATCGCCAAGTGCACAGACGCTGTGGAAGTACCGTGGAGGCGGGATGTCCCCTTTGGCATCAACCTTGCACCAGTGGCGTTTGACAAGATCGAGTTCGTACAAGTCCGACGTGAGCTGCGGCCTGGTTCGTGAAAGTCTTCTGCCCCCAAAAACATAGAGTTTGTCGCCTAGAATAGTCGTGGTGGCGCCAACGAGCGGATGTGGTTCTCTGCCGGTGGTGCGGTGCACGTTACACACTAATCCTGATAATCCAGCTGTTGAGCTTGTGGGGGTCGCTGGACCGGCAAGCATGGCTGGGGATTGCGAAACAGCTGAACCGGGGGTCCGGCCAGATGATGTTGGTGGGCGTTCGTGTCCACCATCCTGATGGTCTTGGTGGTTCAAACTTGCTTGACTACTATTTAGACTCGATATGTAGGGTGCCGAGGTTTGAGAATCGATGGTGTTGGTCCGGCTCTGAGCCATGCTGGCCGGACTTTGTGGAGGAGTTGCTACGTTTTGGGGATCTTCACGGTCTAAAAAAAGTTTTATAGGCGAAGATGAAAATCTCTGTACAGGTATAGCCCAGTCCGGTATCACAATCTCCACATGGCGAGACTTGACGCTGGAAGATTCGCTCGAGGATTTGCCGCTCGGCAAGGGGAACCCGGAAAGGCTGGGGCGACTGCTCGAGACGATAGTCGACGTCGGCGAAGAGCTGAATTCAGTCCTCGTACAGGGGCTTTCAGGTGCTACAACCTGATCATAGCGCGCAACGACGATGGGAACGTGCTTGGTCCTGGTTTGACGAGACGGACAGTGGCTGCCAACCAGTGAAGAAGTGCCACAATGATCGGATTGATTTCTTGAGTGCACCCGGCGATAGGTGCTGAATAGGGAGCCTGCAGATTCGACGGAGTGTCGCTTGCTCGTTAATGCTCGCTTGAAATTTAATGTTCTCGGCTTTTTCCAGAAAGATGAGATGTCACCTAATGGCTCGGAGCTAGCGCCAACAGAGGGGTAAGATAAGCCTAGGGGGAGGGCCATGGTTAGCGATGCGATTCGAAAACGAGGTTGAAAGACGCAAAGTGATACTGAAAGAGGAGGAAAGGCCTGGTTTTGAATATCCGGACGTTACCAGCTGCAGCAGATGTCAAATGCAGACCTTACTGCAAGGTCTCAACCACGGATGAAGCGAAGTGACTCAGGTGGGAAAGCCATGTTTACAAAGCGGGCAAGGAGACGTTGCTGTAGTGCGACTCTCTGCTGTCGTACAAACAGTGGTCTTGCATGACGCAGCGCCTCGTGGTGGGACAAAGTAAATCTTCCAGCTCTCGTAAACATGCTACTTGTATAGCGTACCTGTAGGGTACGAAAAGCAAGGAATTCCGATATCAAGTTAAAGTGATGGTATCCGATGGTCGCTCCAAAAAAGCACGAGTTGGGCCAGCAAGGAGGGGTGTGAAGGGATTGTAGAGAGAAGATGAGCCTTACTTGAGAGAAGTGGCCACAGGCGGGAGCGGGGAATGGCTGATCCAGCAGGACGGTAAACGTATGCAAAGAAGGAAGAGGCGGTAGTCAACGGGCAGTCTTGCTGAACTGGCGCGGTACAGATGACAGCGAGGTTCGTGTGGAGCGGCAGAAGCTTCCTACGCCGGATAGGGACTGGTGGCTTGGCAAAAGTTGCAAGGAGACCCCTAGCTAGTGAGACGTCGCTGTTGTAGGTCTCGCTGGTCCCGACGGCCTCCTGTACTGCGTTACGACTGCGGGAAAGAGCTGAAGAGTGTGTGAGACGGGTCGCAGGACGAGCCACGCGACGGCGAGATGCGGGCGAAGGAGGCCCGAGATCAGATGAAAGGCCGAGACGCGAGTCTGGCAACAATGACAAGACGTCGGTAGCGCGACACACGGATTCGAAGACGCGAGGGCGTCACACAGCTTTTTGCTCAATGGGACCTCCCGCAGATGTGTCTATCCAATGTCCTCAGCCCATTTCTCCCGGCGCACGGTCGGCTGCAAAAACAATTAGCGCCAGCGGAAGGTTGCGCGGCAAATCATCTGTCGTGTGCCTGTGAAATTAAAGGTCTTGTTAGCGTAAGAGGCCCGTCTAGGTGTTCGCATCGGTGAGCGTGAAAACAAGCGGCTAATGTTCAAGAGGCGGCTACCTGCCAAGTAGCTGGACATGTGCACTGAACACTGGACTTTTGCGCAGGACGCAGACGACTCAATCGCTTTACAGGCTTCCGGGATGCCGTGCCGTTGTCGGAAAACTCAAATCAAGCCTCCATGTCGTAGAACGGATCCGGAGAGATGCCGCATTACACCCAGCATGCTTTCAGTAGTGCCCACAAACAAACGTGTGTTTATGCGATACGCAAAACACCCTCACACGCTTGTGGATTATACAAAAAGCAAAGCAGTAAGAAGACTGCATTTAGTCTCATGTCGACTACAATGACGATAGTAGCGCGAAGATTGTCTCACTTATATTGCTGGCTCCCCAGGTAGACCCAGTTTGCCCAGCTTTTGATGACTTGTTTCTACCCAACACAGACACCGACGAAGCGCGTAGCACGGGATGGTATCGTACAAGAGCATCACCGGCAGCGTAATGACCGGCAATGATACTCATCATTCGTGGACGAAAGCGGTTTCGTACAATGTCAGTGCTCTCTCACTATCAGTCGTGGCTGCCCCTTCTAGATTCTGTATGGCGTGGGGGTGGGCCTCTAACCAACTTTATTCACACCTACTCGCTGTATGTATGAAGCCACAATGGGAAGGACCAAGACAACCAAAGCGACTACTACATTGGCATTCAACGATTCAAGGGTGACAGACCGCGATCTGTCCAGGTCGCACAATTTGAGCTGCTATGCCCTCATCATCTTATGTCATCCTGATCAAATGGCGATGCTGTATACTTGGTCAATTCCAGTCTCTACATAGTGATTTCGCCATTCTTAGGATATTGGAAGGCCTCATGTATTCTGATGAGGTGCTGGAGAGACTAAGGAGCAGTAGCAGGCAGAGATGCACTAGCGGCATCGAGAGAAGAGGCAATACTATGGCTATACTACATCAAGTACCAAGCTGCGTCCACGAGCATGCTCAAGCAAACGCATCGCTATCGTGCCAGTATGTTGCATATGTGTTACGCCCCTTTTCCCATCTAAAGTAGTCAAGGGGTAATTGACACTGCGTCTTTATATCGCCGACTTGGAGAGTAGGTAGAAGATTGAAAACTTCATTACCTCTCGCAGTAATGTTTGGCGAATGCATCATAGCTTGAACAGCCTCATCCCTTCCCACATCACCCATCACGCACGTAGACCATGCGAAAAATGAAACTCTTTCATTGCATCTATCCACTGTAATATACACAGCCCATTCTCGTCGGGTATACTCCACAACCGTCGCTCGCATCGATCGTAATCGCGATCGCGCCGCGTGCGCATTCGCATTGCGAATATGACACCGTCCAGTTTATCGAATCAGAGATGCCGTCAAAGCGTCCGTTATGTAACAAGGTGGGTGTGCCGGACGCGGAAGTCATGCAACCACATCCACATCTACCAGCGAACCACTTGAGCCCGGTGAAGGGAGAGTTCGAAGGCGGAATACAGAGAGCTGCTCAGCTGATACACGCTAGGCTTTCATCATCTGAGGCGTGGTTAGCATAAGTTTGGCTGGAGCTGAAAAACAGAATGGCTTACATTGTATAAACTGGAGGGATACCGAGAGAAGCTGGGTGTGGGCTGCGGAAAGATTTTGAAGCTCCGAGACGTGGTCTGAGCGGACGCTAGCCTCTATCGAGACTAAGACTCACCTTGGCTTGGCAAAATGTTGATATTCAACTGAGCAGCATGCAAAGACACAATACACGGCATAGTATCTCCCAGGGGTCAATACGAGACTGTAGGGGCGATGAGTCTTCTCCACGCTTCTCGTTGTGTAAGAGGTCGCAGAAGTTGTCTGCGCACCTCCTACGCAGATATTTCGAGATACCCCCAAACAGGTCATCATGGGATCACACCCAGCCATACAGCGCTATGTCCAAGCAGTTCAGTACGGTTTTTCAATAGCTCAACTCCAAGATGGGACACGATTACGCCAGATGAGAGTCTAAGAAAGACACTCGACAACTTTAAAGCGACGAGTATGTTAGCATCACCCCTTCGATGCTAGGCACATACTTACCAAATCTCAGTCCAGTCGTCAGGCTGGCAAAGAATCGATAATGAATGGATGTCTAAAACATTTCAAGAAAAACCTAGTGGGGAAGATGTTGAGGTATTCGGCTATCTCAGCACACGGAGAGATGTTAGCAGCAAGCTATCGTTTACTATGCTTCGCCACAAGAACGGAACACAGTGCATACAACTTGTCTCTACCTCTAATAATGAGGAATCGCACGCAAAGATACGATCGTTGAAAGAATGGACACCCGTGATCGTGAAAGGAAAGCTCATGGACCGCAAACCTCCGAAAGACGACACATATCTAGACATGAAACTAGAAGCACAGAAAGAAATAGCTGTTGCTCACATCCAGCCGCTTAATGACATTTCAAATGACATCATCATCAAGAACGACACGGTATTTGGTCCTCATCAGCGACATCTGCAGCTTCGTACAGACAATATGTTGCGTCAAAATCTCATTCTTCGGTCGGAAGCCATGGCCAAGGCAAGACTGCATCTCAACGCACACATGTGGAAGGAGATTGAGACGCCCATCCTTTTCAAGTCCACGCCAGAGGGTGCACGCGAGTTCCTTGTGCCTACGCGCCAGAAGGGACTGGCTTATGCGCTACCACAAAGTCCCCAGCAGTACAAACAGATTCTCATGGCCTCTGGCATTACAAAGTATTACCAATTTGCAAGATGCTTTCGTGACGAAGATCTCAGGGTTGATCGGCAGCCGGAGTTCACTCAGGTCAGTGGCCAATTCAAAAGCGCTCGGAATTTGCTCTAATTATAGGTGTAGCTCGATATGGAGATGGCTTTTGCTGGCGAGGAAGAGGTTATGGAAGAGATCGAGCAATTGCTGAAAGAGGTCTGGCAACATGTCAATAACGTAACTCTCCGTGGAAAGTTCCAGCGGATGACGTACCATGAGGCCATGACATCCTATGGGTCTGATAAACCAGATCTACGTTTCGAATCAAAGGTAAGACGCCTATATCGTCTCATAGACGATAATGGGACTGACCAGGACAGATCCACGAAATTACTCAACACCTGACATCCGATCTTATTGGAAAGATCACTTCACTACAGAACCCAGCCATCGACGCCATAAAAATATCCATATCCGAAGACCCTAAGGTAACCCGCAAATTCATTGCCAGCTTCCTCGATAGCCCAGATGGCAAACCCTACCTTGACAACGCAGACGGCCAACCCGGCATCTTCATCGGCGACTTATCCCAGCCCATGCAAGGCCTCGGTCCACTAGGCTACCAATACGTGATGGAGGGGCCAGAATCTCTTGCCGTCGAGAATGGCGATGTTCTGGTCCTACAAGCCCGACCCAACGCGCCCTTCTCAGGCGGGTCAACCATGCTCGGAAACCTGCGTCTCGCACTCCACAAAGCAGCCATAGCCCAAGGTCTTATGACTGCACCCGAAAATTCGGACTACAAGTTCGTCTGGATCACAGACTTCCCCTTGTTCACCCCATCTTCGGACAGCGAGCCAGGTCAGGGTGGCGAAGCAGGCTTCTCATCAACACACCACCCGTTTACCGCACCAAAAACACCAGAAGACGTAGAGCTACTCCTCACAGATCCCTCCGCCGCCAAAGCAGCTCACTACGACATCGTCGTCAATGGTGTTGAGCTTGGTGGTGGCAGTCGCCGTATTCACTCAGCTGCCGTGCAAGAGTTCATTTTCAAGGATATCCTCAAGATGAAGCCTGAGCGTGTAGAAGACTTCAGACACCTACTCGACGTGCTAAGAAGCGGATGCCCTCCCCACGCGGGTATTGCGCTGGGATGGGACAGGCTGATGGCAGTCCTGTGTCATAGGGAGAGCGTTCGGGACGTCATTGCTTTCCCCAAGAGTGGAAAGGGCGAGGACTTGCTCGTCAAGAGCCCGACGCGTATGACGGAAGACCAACTCAGCACCTATCATCTGCAAGTGAAAGAGTAGGCTGGGGAGCCGGAACATGTACTATATGATGTTAGGAATAAGACCTTGTACAATAGATGATAGTATTGATATATCGCCATTTACAGCATGCAGGACATCTTGAATCGAGTCCGATCAAGAGGAAATTGTAACCTTGCAGCCGTTCTTACTTTTCGCACTCGCTCTAACCCACCCAACCCAATTAGATGATCCATCGTCCAAACCACACATCTGCACGCCCTGAACCTCCCCATTTTCCAAGCTCACAGATACCGTTCCGGATTACAGAGTCGCCATGTTGTCCCTGACAATCCTCTGCCGTTCTACCCCGCCCGCTCCACAGTGACGTCGGTTCCCGCATCAACGCCATACCCCATCGCCCGCAGAATCGCCCTGCCCTCTAGTACATCCTCATGATTCCAAACCCTCAGCCCATACGACTCCAAAAAGGCCTTGAAGCTGTCGAACCCCATATCCTTGGCTGCCCTACCGGTACCGGTTATTTTGGCTTTGTCCGCGGCGGAAGACATGTCGAGTTGCGTCGGGTTGTTGTTGGGGAATGGCGGTGAAGCGGGAGAATTGAATGGAGTTTGCCTTCGGAGAGCTCGGATGTGAGTGCTTCGTGTGAAATCCGGTGAAGAGTGAAGTGCGGTGTGAGATTGATGGTTGAACAACAGATGCTGACACGGCCTCGGTGGTTTTTCGTGGGAGCGGTAGTTGATCGCGACGTGTCGAAAGCGAGGATACCCAGGTTAAATAGTTTACCATGTGATCACGCGTGTACACGTAATAAGTGCACGTTATACATCATTATGAGTTGTGTCTACAGTAATAGTGCAATCCCCACAACGCCTAAAATGGCGTTTGTCCACCAGCCCAGTTCACTCCTCCTACCAGCGCCAATGCTTTTATTTGGACCTGGAATGTCGCCCAGTCTTGTAGCATAGTCACCTGGTCGCGCAGCGGTGGTCACGCTTGCCTCGAAGCCCGTTTTCGGCAGAGTTACGGTGGCGGGTGCATTGCTTACGGTCGCGGTGATGGCTATTCCGCTCGAACTGATTGTTACTAGTGTGCTACCGTTTTTGTTTGTCGCCAAGCCTAGGAAAGTCGCGTCGGTAGCTGGTCCAACTGTGGTGGAAAGACCGGGTGTAAGGGTCAGTGTTTCTGAGCCGATTGTGACGGTTCCGCCTGCCGGTACAGTCACCTGTGGTGACGTCGTGTCTGTGCTGCTCGGTAAACCTTGACCTGGAGTAATTGGCGGTTGGGAAGGAGCTCTGCCGCTGTCACTGCCTGTAGGTTTGACCAGTTGACCAGAGCCGTCGGTCGTAGACGATGCAAG